CTGTCCTCAACAGTGTTCTCTGCCGTATACGGCCAGGCAGCCAATATCTTTGGCCGTCGGTCCATGATTACAGGTGCCATCGTAATCTTCATAGTGGGTAGTGCGGTGGCAGGCGCAGCACAAAACATCGGAATGATGCTCTCAGGGCGCACTATCCAAGGTATTGGTGGAGGAGGCATTGCCACGATGTCAGAGATAGTTATCTGCGACATGGTGTCCGTACGTGAACGAGGCATCTACGCCAGTATTATTGGGGCTGTGTGGGCCGTGGCATCCATCACAGGACCCATCATCGGCGGCGGCTTTGCGCAAAACGTCTCCTGGCGCTGGATCTTCTCATCAACTTGCCCATATCTGGGCTAGCGCTGGTCCTGATTATAACGCTGTTAAGGCTTCATAACCCGCGCGGTAGCACTAGTTTGAAGGCCCGGGTGCTGAGCGTGGACTGGGTTGGAAACACTATACTTACATTGGGCGTCACCTCCATTTTGCTTTCGCTCACATGGGCCGGCACAAAACATCCGTGGTCGTCATGGCAAACGATTCTTCCCCTGGCTCTCGGCGCTATTGGACTGGGTGTTTTCCTGGTATATGAAGCCAACCCTTGGGTCGGAGAACCCACGATGCCTATTCGTCTCTTTACCAAACGCACGTCTGCCGCCCTCTTCGCTATAAGTTTCATTCATAGCATGATGCTCTTCTGGGTCTGTTATTTCATGCCGGTGTATTTCCAGGCAGTGCTTGATGCCTCGCCCACCCGATCAGCCGTCATGCTCTTCCCCATCGCGACCACCACATAGGCTGCGGGTATTTTAGCCGGGATAATGCTCACCAAGACAGGTAAATACCGCTTCTGGCATTACTTGGGCTTCGCACTCATGACAGTAGCCTGTGGCCTCTTCTCTCTACTCGATGAGCACTCATCCACGGGCCGATGGGTGGGATTCCAGGTTCTCTTTGGATTAGGCACAGGCACAGTCTTCACTAGTGTCCTTCCGCCTATATTGGCCTGCCTGGATGAGGGAGACGTGGCCACGGCCACTGCTACATGGACATTTTTGCGCAATTTCGGAGCCATTTGGGGCACTGCGGTTCCGGCGGCACTATTCAATACTCGGGCAAATCGCCTCGCAGGTACCATCGAAAACAACCAGGTGCAGGCTTTGCTTATAAACGGAGGTGCCTACGAACGGGCCACTAAAGCGTTCATGGATATGTTCCGAGAAGATCCCAGCCTGTTCGTTGCCATCAAGCATCTTTATGTATCTAGCCTGAAAGATGTATAGCGCCTGTCGATTGCGTTCGGTGGTGTAGGTTTTCTCCTTGCCTTCCTGGTGCAATCGTATCCTCTACGCGACCAACTCACAACCGAGTATGGCATGAAGGCTGAGGAGAAGACTTCTCCCAAGGCTTCAAACTCGGAGGCAAACACCTCTATTCGGGGTAATTCAAAGTACGACAAGGTCCACTTAACACCTACATATAATTATACACAAAGCAGCCTCAAGTTAGTTACCGGTCTTCCTGACCAAGATAGAACACCTCCACCACTCCGTCCGAGTTATTTGTATGCATATTCGACAAAGGGGGAAGAAGGCAAGGGTATCACTCTCACAGCTACATGCACCCTCCATTCAACGTGACTAGTACGAGCAGGGAATGCAAATGCAAGAACTTTTCCCATATCCAATAAAACATGTAGAAATCACTCAACCTTGAACCGAGATGTTGGCTTGCATCCCAACTACCTGATAACTAGTCAGTTAAAGTAGACAAAGTGGCGTGATAACTAGGATCCCACTACAATAACAAAGGGGGAAAGATAAATCAACCCGGTGGCTGAGGAGGAGGAGCATCTGGTTAACTAGTTGGGTCTTGTCCGTATATATAACCGCTAGTCATTAGATATCTGATAGGAACCTTATCAGCTCTATACACACGAAGCAGGCCACTTTTGAGATACTTTGTTCAATCTTTAAAAGAAAAAAGATGGCTACGGTCAAAGAACGTCCGATCTCTCGACAGGCATGCAACCGATGCCACACAGCTAAGCTTCGATGTTCTCGCGAACCTGAAAGTCAGAAGTGTGCTCGGTGCATCAAGGCTGGCGTTGGGTGTATATACGATCCACCACACCGGCTCGGTCGACCCCGACGGACAGGCTCCATCCAAACATGCGCCAACTCTAGCCTTGTTATAGCCTATAGTGCCGCCATGAGCCCTGACAGTCCTCTAAATGCGACAACGGCGGCGGATATCACAGGTGCAAACGGTAATGCCCAAGGGCTGGAGAGCAGTCCTGGGTACCAAGAGCCAACAGGATTAGACATTTGTAAGAAACAGGCCGGAACAGGGTTCAATGCCGCGATATTGACTGATAATGGGTGACAGACGGCCAACCTACACAGACTGACGAATTCTGTCTTTTTTCCCATCTCTTCAGTTCTGGGTCCAACTTCGATATCCCCATGAGTCCTTCGCCGGCCGCTGAATCTAATAAAGGCTCTGGGGAGCGAAGCCCGCAAGCCATACCGACACCATCATCTACCCAGCCCCTGCTTCTATCCTCTGTGGATGAGATGAGCTGCCCTGACCCAAATATACCAGATGACCCAGTACTGGCTCTGACCCATCTGCAGGCCGAGTTAAGTAATATTCATAGCAAATTGGCCGGTATAAAACAGGCTCACCCGTCTCAGTTTTCTAACAAGGGAAAGGAAGAACTACTAATCTCCAATGACTGCTTCAAGGCCCAGCTTCGAGCCAACATTAAAGCCTCGGAGCAGACATTGGATGTTCTGAGCCGCATTAACGGGCAGCCCCGTCCCAATGCCACCGAAATGGCAGGATTAGGGCCACTAGACTCCTTTGGCCTATCCAGCGGAGACTATTACCACCCGCAAGGTAGCCCATCGTTTCCAGCTCCCGATCCCTGTATGGGCCATCAGAGGCGATTGTGGGTCTTCCAATGGTAATTCCTCCCGGATTTCCCCCTGGTCCGCAGGGCAGCATCGTAACTATGCATCTGCTCTGTATTTATCTATACCTGCCGGCTAACTTTGACATTCTGGTCTCGGTGATGGATGACCAACTCAAAGAGCCTGTCGGAACCAGCTTAACAACGCCAGGGCTAGCAAGCTCTACAACTGAGCCCACCCACAGGCCTATGTTGGATATCTCACTAGGAGGTTACTCTTTTTCCTCTTCTTCTGCAAGGCCGTTACAGGTGGCCCTAACCATACAACTGATCAACACCCTTCTCGCCAAAATAAAGTCATCCCTCCAGCGCATGGCTTCCCCACAGACGGCATCTACGCCACTCGGAGCTGCTCAAAATATATCGAGTAGGGAGTGTTCCCATATGCTCCAATACCAAGCGCACCCGACGAGCGACCCCCATCGCCTATCCGGATGCGCAAGGCAGCCCAGCACCCCGAGTTTTTTTACTGCCAATATCAATAGCATGGTCTGGAGAGCACTGAAGGAGATGGACCAGATGGACTCGGGCCTGCACGGGAAAATCGCCTCCATCCAGCAATGGACGATTGAAAAGAATTGATCGTAGAATCCAACTACCGTCCAACTTTATAATTTGCGGTTTATCTGAGATGAAATTGGAGTTTGCGTAACTAGTTTATATTTAGTTACCTTCATTATTCACCTCCGCTCAACCTTCATGATGTACTACGGTGCCTTCATCTGCTGTGCAACCCGAAAAATTGTTGACTCATTCTGCCCTAGCACATATGTAAACTGAAACCTCCTTAAGAGCAATATAACAGTCAAGTGCATCTCCTGCATGGCAAAGTGCTTTCCAATGCACACACGGCTGCCCGCTGAAAACGGCCAGTACGGCCTCTCCCGCCCGTCAGTGTCAAGCCACCGCTCGGGCAGATATTTGGGATCATGCCACCATGTCTCAAGTTGCACCGCTGCGTAATGGGGAACACTGTTGTCCCTCTAGGGATCTGGTATCCGAGGATGTTTTGATCGGTGGGACACTGTCGCGGGCTACCCGTCGCCTGAGCAGGCACCAGGCGCATCGCCTCATCAACGCACGCCTGGAGGTATACCATACCGGAGAGGCTATATTCGCAATCTGCCGGGCGGGAGTCGCCGGCGGGATACCAGTGGTCAATCTCCTCATACAGCTTTGTTAATTTGTCCGGATTCTTGACCAGCATTATCAGGGTAAAGAGCTGAGCGTTAGCGGTGGTCTCGCTACCAGCCGCAAGAAAGACGTGGCTTCTTAGAAGTCCGAACGACGGAATTCCGACCCAACATGGTCATCCGACGCCTCGACAAGCGTCTGGAGCAAATCGTGAGGGGTCAAGTTTGGGGAGAAGGGGGATATGCCGAATCCAGGGAATAAACTGTAGGATACCAGAGAGCTTGAGTGCTTTATCTGGCAAGGGGTGCGATCCATTTTCGACCACTTGGAAGCTTTGGCCGAATGTCGTTACACCGATGATATCGACCGCTACGCCTTGGATGAAATATTGCATGTCGAATTCGGCTATGCCATCAGCTGTAGTAACCGTCAGCCGGTGCTTTGGTAGAAACATTTGTGGACAAATATCTTACCTGCTGGAGCTTCGGGGCTACGAAGGCGAGTATCAACACGCTTGATATAACATTTCTAAAAGTTATATGTTCCCACAGAAGCTCCTTGGACCTGGGTATGGCGGTATCAAACGCTGCGGTGCTGTCCTTGGTGTGCATCTTGCGGATCTGGGCGCATAGGTAAGGTAGTCGGAACAGATTAAATCTATAATTATATATATTTGGGCCGATTATCCGTATTATTCTACGAGTAACCACAGTATGAAAAGGGCCTTAAATCACTGCTGGGGTAGCTAGCTATACACAGTGGCTGCATGGCTGGAAAGTCGCCGACTGGCAAGATTGGCCAGCTTCGGAGCTGGAGAAGCAAGCACATTTGTTAGTTCGCAGATGCTCTCCGCCTAGTAGAAGCGCAGAGATCCTCCAATACATACGCCCCAATAGTCTTGCTTTTCTTGTTATACTGTTATTCAGATGAACAATCTCCAAGTACTCGGCACCAAGCACACTACTGGCGTCCAAAGCCTTAGTTACCCTGAATCGGAAGTGCTAGTTGTGTATACGCAAATTATCCACAACCAAATCACCCCCATTTTTTTATTTTCTGGGATAGGCTCAGCATGTGTGGCCGGATCAGAGACTCGCGGGCTTATACGTCGGTATCAAGGGCAGAAGTAAGGGATATCGTTAGGTAGAAATTGGTAACTAGTGAACAACTGAGAGGCTCTCGAACTAACTGCTTTGCTGACGTTAAATCAGAGTAGCCTATGATATCCTCACCGGAAGTCACCGTATAGATGGATCCTCTCTGACAAAACTCGCCGCAAGGGGCTCTGGTATGGAGATGTATCTATTTATTATACGACTGACGACTCACACAATGTGCTAGTTGTCCCATTGACACTATATCATAGTAGATTCCGGTAGACACTATGGGCCGTGAAAGAATACTCACCAACAACGTGCCTGCAACGGAGTTTATAGTTCAAACTCATCCCTCCAGCGCGCTGCAATGCTGCATGCATTGCCGTTGCTCTCTGCAGTGGAAAGGCTTGTGGCAAGGAACCAGGCTCATCCGCAGTGCATTGATAGCCATCGGGTAGATTATGCGGATACCGTGATAGATTGGTTTATAGCAGTTGTAGCAGGATACTTTGAAAAAATGCTTCGGGTTGAACGATGGTGACCAATTGCTGAGAAACTGGGTTAGAAGGACCAAAGCCATTTTTTTGGAGAAGTACGCGGATGAAGAAGTGTACTGCTGGTTTATCAATGTGCAATTACAGCGAATCCAAGCCTTCTAAATACTGTATTAGAGTTGGTTAATGTCGGGACTGGAAACATACATGGGTGAGTCTCGGAGGCTGGTGGAAGAACAATGCCTCAGCAGGTAAATGTGATAAATAGGCGTAGAATGAACGAATGATGATGGCCAGAAGGACCAGAGGCTATACTACGGCTATTTATCTATACAGAGCAGAGGGCCGTCGGCCGACTGGTGCCTAAGCGTGTGAGACAGGGAGTGGCTGCGGCGTATCGCTTTATCCGATAGTTCCAACCCAGATAATGAAGGTAGAGGCAGATACACCCGTTAGCTACTTAGTGTTCTTGGGCAGTGTGAACTTGCGCTCCTGGATACCGTTGTAGACGACGCGGTTAGGGCTGTCCTTTGCGTCTTTGACCAGGTTGGGGATGGTCAGGTTGAGGACCCGCGCGGTGACGGCCGATGGAGAGGGCAGGTTCTCGAGGCTCATCAGGTAGGCGACCAGGCCGGCGACGTGAGGGCTGGCGGCCGATGTGCCCGACTGCGTCGAGGTAGCGTTGTTGCCGCCCTTCCAGCACGACTTGATGAGCTCGCCGGGCGCCCAGATGTCCACGATCTTGCCGTAGTTCGAGAAGCTTGGGCGGGTGTTCTCCCAGCGGACGGCGCCGACGGTGATAGCGTTGGGCGACGAGGCCGGAGTGTTGTTTTTTGCGTCTTTCTATTGGGAGCATCCCTGTCAGCATCGATGCCCCTTTGGCCCGTTGGTCTGTTGATTCCCCCTACTTACACCGTCGTTGCCAGCAGCCACCACGGTGGTGATGCCGGCCTTGAAGGCGTTTTCCACGGCATCGTCAAAGGGCTGGTACTTGGCGCCGGCTACTTCAGTTCAGCACACGCCGGCCGTTGCAGGAGGAAAATGAACATATACATACAGATGCTGAGGTTGATGACCGCCTTGTTTTTGCGGTTGGAGTCGGTGATGTTCTTGACGATCCAGTCGTACGTCTCGAGGATATAGTTGTACGTGCTCTGCTCTCGTCAGTAATACTATATCGCAGGTCGTCTCTGTGTGTTTGTACCCACGGAGCCAGTGTCAAAGGCCTTTGCGGACACAACGTTCGCCTTCTTTGCAACGCCGTACGTCTTCCCGGCGATGATACCCGCCACGTACGTCCCGTGGCCAAACTCGTCGGTGTGTGGCTTGTTGGGGATGGCGTTGTGGCCCAGGATGCCGCGGCCCTCGAACTCGATGTGGTCGACGTTGATGCCGGTGTCGAGGACGTATGCCCACACGCCCTCTCCGGCCTTGTCGTCGTACAGGTAGTCCACGAGGGTGCTGTGCAGCGGGACTGGCTTACCCTTGCTGGACATATAGCCCAGACCCCAGCGAGCCTGTGGCTGCGTCACCGTCTTCGCGAGATAGACGTGTTGGTCCGGGTGTACCGATTTGACCTGGCGTCTCGTTAGTGAATATTGTTCATATACGGTTAAACGGGCATAGGTATGCAACTCACGTCTGGGCTGCGTCTGAGGTCTTCCGCCGTCTTATCGTCGAAGCCGCCGGAGTACATGTTCAGGTTGTGGATGTGGAAATTCTTCATGATACCCACGGTCTCGACTCCGCTGGCGCCAGCGGCGAAGCTGTCAAGGTTAGCCTGGTGCACGGAGCTGACCCATTTCTTGTGCTCCCTGATCTGCGCAGAGGCGAGGCCCTCCTTCAGGGTGACGATATACTGGCCTGGAACGATGTCGCTGGGTCCAGCACGCAGTGGCTCAGGCTGTGGAGCAATCTCACCCGCCACAAAGGGGAGTAGGAGAAGCAGGCCGAGGTTCAGGAGCTGCATAATGGGCATATATATGCATATAAAAAGGTAATATGTTAAACCAGGAGGCTATTCAGTGATGGCGAGACAGACGACCCAAGACACCGTCCTGCCCTTTATATATCTATATAATAGATATATGGATACATCTGACCATCGGTGAACCGGCTATTGTCGCCCAACCCTCTCATCAATTGATAGAATTCATCCCTGAAAAACACAAGATGTGCCAGGAGAGTCAGGCTTAGAAACAGTATTCGAACCCTTTCGACACCTACACACTTTTACCTGCATAGGGAGCTCTTCAGCCGGATGTTGACCGCGCCATAGATTCCATGCAAACCGTGATATTATCATCATCATGGGTATCAAGAGACACATCCAATGTCCTTCCAGAACAAGTAACCCCCTCAAACGGTCTCTCCGTCTTCTCTCTTCCTCTTAGGAACACTTGCATAGAGATATGCTCTGGCTCGTTATCTATACCTGTTTCACCCTATCCGGGACTCGAGGAACGAGATGTCAACCATCAGATGCCATCAATAACCACCTCCTAACCTTCGTATTCCTCGAATAGCCTATCTCTCCTTCCTGTCTCATCTGTTTATTGATTGCTCCAGAGGTGCAGCGAGGTTGAGCTTGTTCTGCTCCTAGTTTTCCACGCTGAGGCAGGCGGCTCCTCGGAAAACTAGGGGTGGCCGCCTCAGATGATATCGTAGATCAGCTACGGAATCCCGTTAGCTAAGACAGGAAATCGGTGTGAGCAAGGTTGGAGGCAGCTCGACTCACACATATAGTATTACGAAACGGCAGCATTAAGATCATTTTATACGAGATCGATCTCCCCTACTATGTAAACAGTGAATTCCTTTGTAGTCATGCGGTTAATCATTCCTCCATTAGATCGGCACATCCTGGGCAAGGCTGCATTTTTTTGCTGCGAAAGATACCGAGAAGAATCAACTGTTATAAGACGCCGCCATGTCATGTAAAAAGATATCAAGACAGAGAGGGACTTTGGGATCATAGTCTCCGCCCTATTTCTTTGGTTTATTCTCTCTCTTTCTCTCTGGCCCCCGACCTTGTCGCATGTGGCCTGGCCTGGCTCAGCCTTTTTTCCTCTTCGCCAGCCATTTCCCCCCGGCTCTCGCTTCCCAAAGAGGAAGCTGGTTGCATCCTCTTCTCTCTCGCCGGCGACTTAGCTGCTTCATAGATTCTTGAGCAGAAATCAAAACTAATCATGCTCAGTTTAGCTCAGCCGGGCCAATAGCAAGTTTACGCCTCTGGGCACGGCCTGTCTTCTCATCTCCCTGGATCCTAGATGCTGGCCCTTCTTCTGGCGTCGAAAAACGTCACAACTCACAGCGTGTCGAGTTGAGTCCATAGTATCATCCAATTTCGACCTAGCCGGTCATATCGTCGCACTCCGCATCAGCCACAGTCTAACACAGCCTATACGGTGTAATGTGTGATGGCTTTTTTCCCCCTTACCGCGGTATCGGTTTGCCGCTTGCCGTCCGTCAGCCTAAAGCTTGATCTGTGTGGAGAGTGCTTGCGCCAGGCTTATATAAGGGAACTTGCTCCGTGCAACAGGCGGGAAAGCAGGGAGGTTATCTCCCCTTTGACCCTTGGTCTCCAGGGTAATAAAAAAAAGAGTATGAACCGCTTACGGGGATCTTCCGTAGCACACTCCTTCACGGGTATTTATTGTAACCATAGGCGTGACTTATAATATTCCCAGGGCTTATTGATTAAAGAGCTTAAATACAGAGTAAAATTGCCCTGTATTAGGAAGCTTGCGGAGTGCAAGGGTGCCGTATCGACAGGGATGGGTTATATACCTTTTACAATATTTATATGTGTAGTTGGACATCAACATGCAAGCCGAACCGTGAGTAGGAGAGCTCAAGCTTGCCTTGAAATATCGACTTCAGAGTGGCATTTAATTCTAACCCGGAGTTGATGACAACTTCAAGGAGCTGGACATCTAGAGAGTATAACTAAACAATCTCAGTCAAACAGGCCACATGCTCAATTTGTTATCGGTATTGTTAGGTCGACAACGCTCTAGGATATATCGATTAACCGCTAGATAATCGTCAGCGGCGCCGACGTCGAGGAAGCCCATTACCTCAATACGGATAAATGGAAGGCATCTTTGCAGCCATGGATGCGTGCCAAATATAACCAGTTCCACCGCCGCCAACTGGTGCGGGCCCGCCCTTCTGGATGAGTAGCAGATCCTGACAATGCTGGATACTTGAAGGTTATCAAGTTTGGCCATGGCAGCTTCAGACCTGGAGGCCACAAGCGGATGGTTCAGGGTGCCGTCCAGTCCCACTTAACACGGATGTGCATTGAGAGAGCTATCGGGAGCGTCCTAAAGGACCAGATCGCTTCTCAGCATCTCATTCGCGGCAATGCTCTATAGGGAGTTATACATCGTGGCTTGAGATGATTAAGATACCACGCGTTGACGTTGCCGTATGTGCCAACGCCGCCTCTTATAGGTCTATTAGATAACTAGTTAATGAATAGCCAATAAAAGTGCAGAATGCTCACCAATCATATAATTTACATTTAGGACAATAGAGGCCGGGATTCTTCACCCAAAGGTTCCCCCCTAATTATTATCTTGATATGTCTAATTCCTCCGTTTTCTTGGACCATGTAAGGATACTCCGTATAACTTCTATTTTGATAGGCAGATTTCAAAACACTCCGTCACTCTCGGTAAAGGCCCATACGTCAGTAGCTAGCGTCAACCGAAGCTGCCGATCCTACAACTCAGCCACATCCGTATACCATATATATATAACAATGCAATATAACTTCCCAGTATCATTTCTGGATACGGGAACAAGGATAGAGCACAGATACAAACGGCCATCTTCCTTGCGAGGAATATCAAAATGCAACTCAAAATCGACGAGAAAAAGCCAGGAGAGATCACCGTGTTCACCGGTGCACAACGGCCGGATCTTCTCGCTCTCACGAGCAAAAGCGACTGTCCCCTTATCTTCCTCTGGCCTGAGTTCCTGGATGGCGGCATCACGACCCAGCGACATTTCGAGAAACTGTACGACCTCCCTCAGCTTGCCGGATATCAGCTGATCGCCGTGCACACCCTCGACGGAAAAGAGACCGTGGTCGGCAGCGGGAACTCCACCCCTTTCTTCTGGAGGGAGCTGGCGGATATCGGGAATGATAGCAAATCTGTGCACTTTGCCAAAGTTCTGCAGACCCTTCCGGACGGGGGCTTCGACACGATGCTCGCCCGAGGAGTCCACCAGGCGATCGCCCGAAGGGGTAAGAAGAAGGTAGCACAGGGAGCTCTAACGCACGACCAGGTCCAGGACATGCCGACCTGGACACTGACAGAGACACCCAATGCCCTGTCTGCCTTGTCTATCGCCGTCCTTCCCGCCTGGAGGAGCTATGGGGTCGCAGAGATGCTCATCAAGACAATGAAGGAGACCGCACGGAGAGAAGACATGGTAGCACTCGTCGTGCCGTTACGGCCCACCCGAAAGACGGAATTCCAGGACATCGACATGGCTGAATATGTCGAATGGACCAAGGAAGAACGCGAGACCAGCGGTCGCCATCCAAACGAGGAAGTCGGAGACGTCACGGAAGATATCAATAAAGAGGCCAATGAAGGGACCACCGGGGGGAAGACTGGGCAGGCAAAGGGTACCAATGGCGGGTTGGACGGACAACAGCCACAGCCAGCATTCGTCCCCTTCGACCCCTGGCTGCGCAAACACGTCCGTCTAGGGGCGCGAATGGTCAAGATAGCGCCGTTCAGCATGACCATCAGCGGCAATGCGGCGGAGTGGGAGCAGTGGTGCTGCATCGACGTCCGCCAGCGTGCAGAGGAGGCGATGAAGCTGCGCGAGAGTGCCTGGGTGCCCGGCAACAAGGAGACACCTGTCATCTTCAAGCCCAAGGGCTGTCTTGCACCCATGCGGTACTACCCAAGCAGAGACGTGGGCGAGTACCTCGAGCCAAACGTCTGGCTCTTCCACTCTCTCGACCGGTTGTAGATTACATATGTAGAGGACTCAAGATATAAACGAAAAGCTGGCCGTCTATAAGGATGTATCTCAGGCAGCCACCGGCCTAAGCTAGCACCCCTTAAGGTAGAGTGGCCGAGCGGTCCAAGGCGCTGTGTTCAGGTGATTTATTAGTCATCGCAGTATCGAAAGATGCGTGGGTTCGAATCCCACCTCTATCAGTCTTATTTTTTTTTCCATTCTGTTAAACCCTTCAATTAAGACGAGATATAGATGCTGAAAGGCGGGAGATATAAACTCTACTATATATTAATAGACCCTTCTTTATAACCATGGTCGACATCGACCCCTTTTAGATATAAAGTCGATTTCGCAATGAATAAATACACACTTTCCTGAATTTCAGCTTCAACGCAAGAGTTGGGGGAGAAAGACCTCATACTTTATTAATACACTAAATATTTGTAAGTGATATATCACTGGTTTTCTTCCTTGCTAATTATCGTACTTAGTGCTTACGTTTGATCGCTTCCATGTATCACGTTCCTTGACGATTTTAAAGGTTCTGTCTTTTCCAGACCTTTTCACAAATCCGCCGTAGTGTAGCATTCGTGATAATGATGTCATGCTCGTTTGGATTGGCTTGCTCTCGACCGGCTATTTTCGCGAATGGTATAGTTAAATCACCGCTAACATGGGTGACACCGTCCAGTCGAGTAGCAGTCACTTCCTCCATTATAACTCCTAATAGTCGAGAAGAGCGTAGAGCCCGTTGGTCCTCGGGGTAATGTTTCTCCCAGCGATGAAAAGTGATATTGGGTGTTCGGCGATTAATTTTTATTGTAATAACCAGTTCAGTCTCCGACCCTTCTATCCCCAGCCACCACCTTGCATCGATGGCGAGCTTCGACCGCTTTTCAGATAGCCCTGCCTCGACAGTCAAGATGGGCCAGTCGTGGCTATCTAGTACAAAGCTACCGTCTGGTTCCTTCGCGTGGCCATTAGATTCAGCTCTAGCACTTCCACAGTCATCAATGTCATCCCTAAGGCCCATTTTGTCGATTTCTTCCTTGATTATAGACTCCAAGCCTCTTGCAGCAATTTCATGTGGTTTCCAAACCATCGTCTCGAGTATTAAAACACCCTCTGGTAGATTTGCAGTTATCTTGGGGCCTTTATCTCCATAGATGTGGTCAAAGTCTTGAAGGATTGTGGGTGGTATATTTTCTACTATAAGGAAGGGGCTCTGGGAATCATCTCGATAGCACGCCATGGCACGCTTCTCTGCTATTCTTTGAAGTAACTTCATACCGGTATATTTAATTCGAGGCGTTGCCCCAGGTAATCCTGTCGTTATCTTCGTCGCAATACCTTCTAATGCTATTTTGTGTGGTTGAGCCATTTTGGACACGAAGAAGAAGAAAAGTAATCTGCTCTCTAGTATTAAAGAGGATTGAGGCTATATTATAACTGGTTACTATGATGTCATAACTAACAAACTCTACTTAAGAAAAGTGCCTTCGTGCATCGGGCCATTAAATATAGTGGTTCCAAGCATTAGTCTTGCAGATACACGAGGGCTTGACGATATATTGCGTTATAGACAATATATCTGAGTTCGAGACTTCGAACAGTAAGTCTCTTTCAGTCTAGCGAGTCAACTCCAGCAGAAAATTAGGGGTTCTCCTGATAGCGACAGATCTCCCCCAAGGGCTGCATTTTCTGAGTGCCAAACACATCCGCCCTCACTCGACAAAAGAGACTGAACTAATCATCATCAAACGGTTATAGGATGATGGAAATGTGTTCATCTTGTAAGTTGATGTTGTTGGTCGCATCGATTTGCGATTGGTCAGAGTCATGGATATTTTAACTGACTCTGAATTATTCTATTGGTTAGAATTTTTGACTGCTGATTGGTTAACTACAACATTTTTCTTATTAGTAATCAAACCTTTAATAATAAAAATAAACTGTTTTGACATCGCGATTCACACTTGATGCTCTCCAGTTCGGGGAGAGGAAGATGATGATCACTGCAGCTCGACTTTACCCTGCCAGGGCTCTCTTCGCTCGGCCAACCCGTATATCATCATGCCTCTTTAGCACTGCCACGACGCCGGTTGTGTCTCAAGGCGTGAGCGAAAGCCGACTGACAGACGAGCTGAACCAGTTGCTTCAAGCTGGATGGACTCTCGACGAAACTCGCTGCGGCATTGAAAAGGTCTATTATTTCAAAACATACACTAAATGCCAGGTAAGCTTAGGCATATTCGCCTGGGACCACGTTAATTAGGTAACTGACAGCTTGGCCAAACATGTACTTAGGACTTCTTCAACACTGTTGCCATTCGAAGTAAAGCGAAGAATCACCATTCCGTCATGACGATTGTAGATATTACATCTTCCTGATCATTAAATGCCCTAGACTGACCCGCTAACTAACCTGCGGCTCTAGAAAACCGGCTCTGTCCATGTTCACTGGACAACCCATCATCCGCGTGGGCTCTCGTTGCAGGATACCATTATGGCTCGATACTGTGATGAGCAGTCGTCATCCATTGGGACTGTGGAGCAGAACCAAAGCAAGAAATGCCATCCTACACCGGCATAGATGGTCTCTAGTCGCCATAGTTTCTTTTATGCCCATGACGCGAAGTCAATCTGTTTTTTTGAAAGTGCCGGGTTAGGCTTGTTTTCATTGCTGTACTCTGCATACACTGCTGATTTTACACGTATTTCTACCTGAACATTTCAGTCTTTGTATATAAGTTTATCCTGTTACTTCCGCCGCAATACTGAGTATTGTTCCCGGAGCAGAATAAACTACAATCCGCCTCGGCTTTCAGAGTGCTCTCTGGGGACAGATTGGCTCCGCAGTAGCACTCGCTGAAGTATTCAGTCCCAAAGTACTTCGTGCCGTTGCAAAATGTGGCACATAGTTCCACCGTCATCTTCTCGTTGTACACGAAGCTGTCTGACAGCGCACGAGCGCTGGCCGAATCGTTGAAGCACCCAGAATAGTCGTAACCTGGGATCTGGGGGTTGGTTGTCGGAATCCATGTGTTATCCTTATAGATACCAACGCGATAAGATGCACCACAAGTCTCAGAGTTGTCACCGCCGCAAGGCTGGTTGCATTCAGATTCGGGTGCTTGCATGGTTGCGTTACTCCTTGAGTTCCCGCAATAGCACTCGATTCCATATTCAAGGCCAAAAAACTGGTAGCCTTTACACAAGCTGGAGCAAGCGGTAACGGTCATGTTTCCGTCTACAAACGCAGCTCCTGTGAGTGTCCTAGACTCTGGGCTATCGGTATAACATCCGTCAAAGGTATAATCTGGCACAGTTGTACCGTTAGAGCCAAAAGGCACGCACGTCGACCCTAAGTCAGCGGTGTTCTTGAACGAATCCGATACCGTTGCCCCGTCGCTTGAGAGGGAGATGTCGAACTTCGTGCTGGATTTAGACACAGCTGCGAGCGAATAATTTCCAGAGTAGAGTGTATATAAACCAATGGTCGTTTGTGATAGCATTGGTACCGTCTGAGTCGTCAAAGCAGGAGTAACACAGCAACTCCGTGGTATTTTTTTAGTAACAGAGAGGGTCACTCTGGGAGAATTTGCGGTGTCTCGGACCTTGGAGCCATCAGCTTATGTTTTATGATAAATATATCGAGGGTGGGTAAATGGCCATACAGCAGCTACTACGACAAAGTTACCAGGAATATTGTCTCCTAATACACAGCTCTGCTTAGGCTGAAACATGATCGTATCCTGAACAGGATATCCGGACCCATTGTTGTCATATATAATGGCCTCCCCCGTGTTCAAGACTATCCGTACGTTGAACCGGGAGATAGATGTCTCTACTGGGACACTGGTAGAGAATCCGTAGAACTGGCGCCATTGTCAGCATTAATACTAGCTAGTTGAAAATAAAAGGGGTGGAGCTGGGAGGAATTGGTTACAGCAAAAGAATCATCAAAGCCTTCAGCGGCGCCCTTGTACTCGGTACTGATGATACAGGATCCGCAGTCTGAGCCTCCGAGGCGGTCTTTATACACAATCTCGGCCTTTGAGATAGAGGTAAGCGGTCTGGTGGTGGTTCTAACCCGGATTTCGCCAGAGAAATCGATCGTGCTGCCGTTGCCAGCCAGAGAGAGCTGCAGTCTGCTCGGCTTCACCTCATAAGGCTCAATTGGAGCCGTCAGATTAACTCCTGATGGGACAACTTCTATCATCTTCTGCAGTACTCTGGCGCAAGTAGCCTGAAAGGTTGTTGGGTCAGCCAGCGCCGCGATAGTAACATTCCGATCCGCTGTGAAGACTTTTGTATCAGAGTCTCGAGAGTTCCTCTTCGCAGTCATGCCGGTAAGGGGGTTGCCTGTCACTCCGCCAACAAAGTCTGCTGCTATCCTCTCGTCAAACGCGATGGTTGAGTCAAACAGCTGAAAGTCATTTGGCACCGTCCCCGGAACAGTGATCTGAGGGAAGTTCGAGGCATGAACTCCCCCCATGGTATGTCCGCACGCTGTGACAGCGATCATGTCCGAGACATTGAATCCCGTCCGGGCAAACTGGTTAATGAATGTTCCCTGGGAGTTCTCAGGCTGCGGCACGCCGAATGCGCCCCGTTCGGTTGCATCGATTCTCCCAGCCCTGATCTTTACAACCGGGCCGCCGCAAGACCGCACAGCAGTGTATATCCCAAGCGCAATCAAGTCAGCCATGGACGATCTCGGCGAGAAGAAGGGCGTGAAAGTCTCCAACGTCGTATTGAACGCAGCTCCTATATTTTCTCCCCCATTCCCGGCAAGCTCATACTGGATGGATGCGTCCAGTCCACCAACACCTGTAAAAACGTTACCGGTAGCCATGTCATGAAAAGCAGTGCGAATCCACTCAGCAGACGCAATCCGAGACGGTCCCTGCTGGGAGAATGAACATGGAGTGACGCCGGCAGAGAATCCTCGTGCATGGTAGCCAGTGTTGAGAAACATGAGATCTTCTAGCTCGTCGATAGCGGAGGGCCATGTTGGCAGAGCCAGACTTCCGGAAAGAGCAAAAGCTGTCCATACGATGGCCCTGGGGTAGGGCATTTTGGTCTCCTGGGGATGGTCTCTTTTCTCTCCAAGAAGAGTCAGTTCTATTCTATTATAATAGATCCCACTCTCAGACGGCCAGCTTTCGTCAGAATCAAGCGGCAACCGGCATATATTTTCACTTTAACCGAGCGAACAAACCAGTAGACCCTTGTCGGCACCTGTATACATCCATACCCCGTAGATATATGACTGTGTTGGGAAGTTGGATGTTGATATCGGCGAGCTGCAAGGGATATATGTGATATGCGCGATTCAAGCACAACTATATGCGGCTCGTGAGTAAAGTCGCCCTCCATAGGGATAAACAGTTAGTCGGACCTGAGGCATTTGATAGGTCAAAATAAGTCGAAGCAGCCTTCGGTCGATTTCCTTGCTCTTTCTTTAACCCCTGACCCATGCTGTTTCGGAGATCAAGGATGTCAACTGCAGCTTGACCAAGTGGAGAACTAAACTCTTACATAGTAGTTACATAGTATATGCTATGTTGCATTTTGAGATCTGGGTTTTTTTTTCTTTTTTCTTCTTTTTTAATGCGTTGGCCTAAAATAGTGTCTGCCCCTAGTTTATATCATAGCATATTAAGTGCCAATGTCTCAGGTTACATGCATAAAACTAACATTTTACGCTGGTCAAAGAAGCAGATAGCTAACCGACCGAAGCAATTGTTTTCCGGAGAAAAGCTAGGGTGAATTGGCCTGTCTTAGACGAGCTGAAGCCGCCGTCAGGCTTGTTTCCTCGATGAATGCACGGAGATATACGGAGTACGGAGTAGTTGAGATGGGTTATTTCCTTCAACTGAGGGAGTTATATCACCCATTAACAAAGAATTCCACAAAATAGAAAGATCAAGACACCAAAATACATAATATTTTATGCTACGCTGTGTGAATGTTAACTAGAGCTTCTATCTAATGCATGGGTGTGGGCTAAAAGTGGTTAATGGCAAACAGGAATAAAAAAGACAATTCAACACAGGATATGCACCTCTAAACGCCGTTAGCCTTAAGCTGAGTTGGACCAGAGAACATTAATTAGTAGTTAAAGATCATCAGCGAGGGGTTAAGAAGCAGGGGAAGAAGGGCGTGCAGAGAGAGAGTTACTGCCATGGGAACGACGGCTGCGACCTCTGTGATTTCCCATCCCCTGGGAGCAAAGTTCCCTAGGTATATCATGCCGGCAAGCAAGGGTAGCAGGATCACATAGAGCCACTTAAAGCTTTTGAATATCTTGGGTACCTCCTTGAAGAAGTTGGAGTCGACCTTCTCCTTTGCCGTTGCTCCCCATTCCATCTTGATAGATAACATATGGGAGAGGATCGCCAGACTGAGATGGAACGAGACGCCTCCAAAGAAGATGGCCATCATGGGCATCCATTTGAAGTTTTCGATGAGAGCGGACCACAGGCTCTTCTCTGATAGACGAGACCGAATTATGGCAAGGGTGACATTGCCCAGGAGGGAAAATATCACGATAAGGCTCAGGAGAACTAGAGACTATTAGCCTGGCCCATGGAATGCATGCTTAAGTTAAGGGACCCATACCTTTCCAAGACTCGATATAGAACTTATCCAGGTAGCCGTTAAACCACCCGACCAAAAAGTAGTTGAGGATGGTGAGGGGAAATCCAGAGGCGAGAGCGTAGTCTGATACAAGTCAGCACTTGGAAGCATCGTGAGATCAGGTTTGGCACTGGCTTACATGAAGAAATATATCCCAGGATGGTAATCTTGGATGATAGCTGCATGTTGCACCACAGAAAGGTCATGAAGAGCTTAGTGAATGGGCCTTTATAGATCCAGGTATAGATTGGATTGAACACCAATTCATTACATCCGTACGCGTATCTTTAGGCTGCAGTTAGTACCCTCGCATTATACTATCAGAGTAAAATAGGTAGACATACTTTTCCCATCTTGCCAGTTCATCATAAATAGTCAGGGATACGCCCTCCTTGAACTCATCACCGTGGTAGCTTGCAAGACGGACAATATCACCCGCAATCTGTAGTCGGAGTGCAATATCGAAATCTTCCGAAACATGGCTCTCAGACCAGTAAGCTACATAACCATCGTCTGGCTTGCCCACAGATTGAACGGCTGATCAAGTTAGTTCAGGTAAATGAGTAACTACGCGTTTGGATATATTGCTTACCTTTCCAGCGAAGGAATGCATTGTGTCCGACGAAAGGTGCTGTCTCGCCGCTGCCAACCGCGAAGCGTATGGAAGAGTAGATTAGATTTGTAAAGAACGTAATCCCGTTCTCAAAATAATCACCAACAACCTGCATGACGCCTGTTGAATGCTGAATAATAGCGACTTCTGGGCTTAGAAACATCTCAGCTGCTCCGTAGAGCAAACAATCTACCGGCTAGAGCTAATATCAGTATCACTATACAGTTACTGTTGTAGTGAGAAAGGAGAAAAGGGATATACCACTCGAGTATCCGCATCAACAATGAGGATTGCTTCTCCGATCCGGATATCCCCTGCAGCCCTAATTCGGCTGTCAGAAGCAAGAACCTCTTGTAATGCAATTTTGTAATAGGCTTCTTCTTGAGAAGCGTCTATCATTTCTGTCGTTTCCAGCGTCTCTGACAGCAGGTCGAGCAGCCTGTCTTCCACCTTGTTTGAAACGTTGAGTGCAAAGTTCATGTTAGATGCTTTTTTGAATCTGCCTTTTCTAATGTAGCCATCTTCGTTATTTTTGGGCCGGGAGACCCATCCTATGTTGTTATCATGATAGAAACTGATTCGTTCTTCCCGCTGCTCCTCAGTAAGGTATGCGAGGCCATCGTCATTGACGAAGATAGTTGCGGTTCCTATTCATATATTAGGATATTTTCCTGATATATATGCATATGGAAGAAATTGAGCATACCTCCGTGGGATTCGTAGTAGGATATGGCAGCCTTTAAACTCGTCACTGTCGGGATAATGACTCCTGCCAGAGACTCTGTATAGACAGGCAGCTGAATGGTGATGCGTGGGGGCTTGAATCCCATGGCATAGGCATGCGATAGATCTGGCCTAACAGGGGAATAGAACCTGGAATTCGTTTTTAGCGTCTTTATAGGCCCAATAGCCTGAAAAATGTCAGAGAATATTACGATAACGAAGAAGACGCTGAAAAGCATGAAAATCGGCAAGGATGCAACTAATGCGAATCTGATCCACGACCCATCTACGAGAGATTGAAGTATCAGATTCGAGATACCAAATCCCACCAGAAGCACCACAATCAGGCACATTCCTAGGCCTACGAATATTGAGCTTGTCAACGCAAGGGGCCTATCCAATGACTCTATAGGTTTTGCTGCTTCTTCGTCTGGGACGCGCAGCGGAGTGCTCGCCAATCCGCTGGCTTCCTTGTTCCAAAGTGGAACAAAATTGCGTGTCGATGCAGCTGGTGATCCGATAGAGGAATGTGGAAGAGAGTAGCCTGCCGATTGAGAGGGAGAAAACACTGAGATGCGTGTCCCGCATATCTAAGAGCAAAGATTAGATGTAAGCTGTTTAGAAAGATTTGAAGCAGGAGCTGACATACGAATGCTAGCAGCTTCTCTTCCACGTCCTCAGCATGGACGAGGATCTTTTCCAGTTCATCATGCCAGACTAGCAAGAGCCTCTCCTCCCTTACCAGTGCGACATACTGGAATTTCTTAACGGCACTTGAGGGGGAGCAGGCAATTTCTGCCAGAGACGCAACCACCTGCACCTGGAAACCGCTGGGCAGAACCAATTCGGTCTGATCTAGCTGCAGGATAGAGAATATAATTCTGGTGATTTCGGTTGCCATAGTAAAGGCGACCGCAACATTGATCTTTTGCACTGCACCGAGCAACAGTGGGTGGACGAGGTCAGGCTCGGAGATGTACGCCCCACGGGACTTTCGAAGTAGAAGGCCATGATATTCGCTGCTGGGGTCTGACGGAGGCGGACACCATTTGCTGGTTGCCAGCCTTGCGTGAAGATATTTGATTATCTGAAGCTTGGTCAGGACATATTTTTACATTGGGGTGAGAGAAAGTTGAATTCCTACCGCTCTATACTTTGCATCATCATCAATTCCTATAGGAGTCTGGCTCCCCGACTGAGATATCGGTCGACTGGATGGCTCGGGAACAGATGACAGACCGGACTGCCTTGAAGATGGAGCTGGAGCTGCGGGCTCCTGGTTGCTCGTCTTTGAACGTCTCCAGAACATCCCTGCGATACAGCTATGTACGGGCAGGCATGGACAATGGATAGGGACTGATGGGAGGTGAAATCCCTTAAAAGAAGAAGGGGAAGAAGACGGCCATCTGGGTACACTGCTCCAGGGGATAGGCGAATGCCAACTCAGGTGGACACTCTCTCAGGTAGGCAAATAAAGAAAGAACTTGAACAGAGAAAACGCCTTCTCTCGTCTTCTCGTCTTCTCGTCTTCTTCTCCCTGCCGGCATCTGGAGGCGTCGCCATGCCTCATTAGTTGCTCTAATTCCTCCGTCTGTCTCAGAGCTCTCTTCATCCGGGACATGCCTGTCTGTAGATGGGCTCCGCATCAGCCATGCTGCAGCGGGCTCGAAGGCGTGGCAAAGCCCCGTTGTGACCCTTGCTTGTATACTCCGTATAGCCCTTATCTGAGCTACCGATACACGGGCACGCCCTTTTCCCCCCTTCTCTTAGGTTTCTTTTCTTATTCCTGATCCCCGCTATCGTCAAGAAGAAAGAGAAAAAAGGCGAGGGACACTGGTTATGGCCCATATGCCAACACTACCCTGGCAGGCCAACCCCAGTACCCAGACCTAGAACTGGGGCTAGCCAGCCAAAGATACATCTGTCTCGTCAAGCGAAGGGCAATATGCCTGCAATCAAGAAAGCAAATTCCAAAGGACTGGCCAGCTGTCTCCTGTGCGTCCGGACAGGGTGGAGCCTCAATATCTCAATGCAACCATAATTTATATATGGAAAAGAAGTCAGACTGGCAATTTTATGCCAGGCCTTCCAAGGGTTCACAGGAAGTAGCCGAATAATCCCTACCAGCTGTTCATGGCACAGGGATAACTGGTTGAATGGAAAAAAGGGAGAAGCCTCAGGTCCCCCAGCCCCTCCGCATCGATCTGCCAGCCGGCGAGAAAATATCTTACCCAGCAGTTAACTAAGTAGTTAGCTGATAACTACCGCTGACCACCGGCTCACACGCTAGCTGACGCTGGTTAAAAATGAACTAACGCATGTAATTTGTCACTGATCACAGTCTGAGGATTTAAGGGTGTTGATCAAGATCCGCAGAAGAAAAAAAGAAACAACCTGCTACAACGTCATCGTATTCGCTATCACAACTTCAACGCATATTTCTACTGTAATACACGTGTAACCAAGAGAAGCAATCGAAACGTCGTCGAACACCGTGAGAAGGGGAAATTTTCTCCGTTCTACGGGTTGAACACCGCATTGCCAAGGGGACGAAGGAGTTGTATGGCTGGCCCCTGTCGAAAGGTTGCCTAAAGAAGTCCGAGACAAGCAGTTGAGATTGATCCCCGATCTTGCCAGGGGGGCCCATCCTGGAGCAGAATTATGCAACATCGGACCTTGGCCAACAAGAGTTGGTAGTGGATGAGAGAGATGGGTAAGATGAGAGCCTTGTTTTACTCCCCATAGAATGACTATATACATATTAATGGAACGCCAGGGGTATGAGGCAGAGGGCGAAGCCCAACGTTTAGATAAGATGCATCGAGGAGAACAGAATCTTGGTCAACCCGGAGGACTCTCGGAACAAAGGGCAGTCGTAGAACAGACGAAGGATGGAGAAGACAGCTGTCATTCAGGACCCGTTTTCCAACAGTGCGGCCGCCTCGTTCAGAACTGCTTCATATCACTCGCAGCCGTCGGACAGGCAGCCGGCCAGACGCCAGCAGTTCAAATCATACAGGCTAAATGGCGAGTATGAGCGACCATGGCTAGGAGACAGCCGATTGAAAAGGTCGCGGGTCGGCTCATATATCATCTGGGGGTTCGTTGGCCTGGGGCTGGCAATCAGTGCATATATCAACTTTACCGTCACCCAGAAGGTCTCAAAGCATCAGGTTAGTTGCTTTTTGTATCTTTATTATCATTTATTTAACTAACCATAATGGTCAATAACTAATATTTGTTATAGTACTGTCTTATTCTGGATGACCAATTTTCGTCTCTCAACGAAGACACATGGAACCGTGAAGTCCAGGCAGGTCAACCACCTAGCTATCCTTTTACTTAGATACTAAACGATGGGACAGATTGATGGTTTTGGTACAGGCGCCTTTGATTGGACGACAACAGATGAGAAGAACGCATTTGTCGACGGTGAGGGCCTTCATATCGTCCCAACGCTTACTACGGAATCGACCTCAATCACTCCAGAGCAGCTGGTCAATGGTTACACCTTGAATCTGACCAAGGCTGGTGGTGATGGATCCTGCACCGGTACCACCAACACAGCTTGCTCAATACGCTCAAACAAGACAACTGGAGCAATCATACCACCTATCCGATCTGCAAGACTCAACACCAAGGGTAAGAAGAGCATTCAGTACGGAAGAGTCGAGGTTGTGGCTAAGATGCCAAAAGGGGACTGGCTGTGGCCGGCCATCTGTAAGTTTAATTTCTCGGGATTTGTTTTAAACATGAGCTAACACCAAGGCCTGTCAGGGATGCTGCCAGTGAATGAGACATATGGCGCCTGGCCAACAAGCGGCGAGATTGACATTCTCGAGACCCGCGGCAACGACGTCGATTATGTCGTCGGGGGAAGAGATATCATGTCAAGCTCCCTCCACTGGGGTGAATTTTTCCTCCTTACCCCATTCTCTTATCTTCGTATATGTTTCGCTAACTGCTCTCATCCCAGGGCCAACACCGGAGACAGATTCCTTTTGGAGGTCAACCAGGGGCAAGGCGTTGCGCCGAACAGACTACTCTAGGGGTTTCCACACCTTTGGGATCGAGTGGTCAAAGGACTATCTGTTCACCTATATCGACAGCCCCCTGCAGCAGGTCCTGTACTGGGGCTTCGACAAGGACCAGAATATGTGGCAGAAAGGCCACTACGAGGGAGTCACCGTCAACTCCTCCCTAGTCAAAGACCCTTGGTCTCAGACCGGAAATCCAAACACCCCCTTTGACCAACCATTCTTCCTCATCATGAACGTTGCTGTTGGCAGTAGCAATGGCTGGTTTCCAGACGGCATAGGAGGGAAGCCCTGGACTGACGTTGGCCAAGCAGCCTCAGACTTTTACTCCAGTACGTTATCTCTCTGGCACTTCTCTTCTTCCCCAGATGATTCCTAATCGATTTGGCAGGTCTTGATAAATTCTATCCCACCTGGCCCAAAGATAATAGCCGTGGTATGACCATCAAGTCAGTCAAGATGTGGCAGCAGGGAGCCTGCGGCTGAATCAAATCAGAAAATAATAATAATAATAATAATAATTAAGTTACTCCGTCACTGTGATATCGATTTCCCCCTCGTATTTAATTGTAACCGTGCCAAGCTGTCTGGAGTAGCAATTTATTTTAATGCTTATTGTTATCTTATAGTTGAACCCTTGCGACCCGGAACCAGTGCGCAGGATGCCGGGTGGACTCCCAGTTCGTCCATCAAGCAGCAACAAGATGGTGGAGCTGAAGAGAAAATAGCAAAGAAATAGAAAGCTAATCGATTACTTGCAAGGGTAAGGATGCTAGTGCAATCTTCGCTAGCCTTTTCTCTTCTCGCCTCGACAATGCAGGGATTTTTATATATATAGTTACATCCAATCGACATAATCACTAGGCCCACTAACGATTCTTTCGAGATCGACTCCAGACAGATGAAAAAACGATATAAATCTAAAGCCTCTAGCCGCTGTTTCGCTGAGTCATTCACCAAGGTACGCACACCCAAACTCCTCGCATCTTGACCGACCAGCTGTTGATCTGTATATAACCAAGTGGGTTATGCAACACACTACCACTTTCTCCCAGGGTATACCCATGGTTCTTGGTTGGCTCGGAGCTGCGAATGCAGCGAATGTCATGCATATTGGGATGAAGTTGCACTCACACGAGCCAGCGTTCACCATCTCATCCCTGGTCCGGCCCATCCATGGAAGCTGACTAGAAACGTGGAGCGTTCGTTAGGTTAATTGTGATACGGGCTCTAACCCTCGCCAGTATCTATTATTATTAACAATGCATTGGATAACTAGCTGAAGCGATCTTTCTATCCTGCCTAGGCTAGCTGTGGCCCCCAGCAGCCAATTTCAATGACAAACTGTTACCAGCTACACCCCTGAAAGGGAAATCAAACCACGCTCTCTCTCATCCAACCGGCCCAGCTCATTATCTGCCATTCCTTCACACGTGAATAGTATGTCTCGGACCTCACATATGCATAAGCTCAGATGGCTCAACCATGCTTGGACATCCTACGTCAGCTGGCGAGATGCACTGTCTTCTTCACGGCCGAACAAGAGCCTTGTCGAATTGGGCCTTTCGCGAGAAAAGGTGGCATGACCTCTCGGAGCGGAGAGGTTGTCGCTAAAGAAAGAAAAGTTATAAATTTGGCTCCTCTGGGCAACCTTTATTGCTGTCTTGGAACCTCTTGGGAGCATCTCTACGGGGCTCTGTGAAGTGGTTTGCACAGCTGAGGTAAGGGTAACCCTAAGCTTACCGTTGACTCTCCCTAAGCTATCATATTAGAGTGCTGATTTGGTTCAGTAGCTATAACCCATTGTCCCACCAGAGAGCGGCTATAAGTCCTGCTACTGGATATACCGGGCAAGATGGCTCGAATACTTACTTTCGTCCACATAGCTGGCGTTTTTGTTGTACGTTTGACTCGCCAAAATAGGGACTTTGAAGACGTATACTGATGATAAGGATAGTTTCCGTTGCTTTTCAGGCTTACTCTCGGAGCAGCCATACTTCCAAGGGCAGACGGTGATGTCTGGACTTACCTGGGCTGCTACACCGATTCGGTAGGAGGAAGAACCCTCTCTCAGACCGGGTATACACTAGGCGGTCCAGGAAATATGACGGTTGCCAACTGTCAGGATGGGTGCTCCTCCGCGGGATACTCGCTTGCCGGAGTTGAATACAGCGGCGAGTGCTGGTGTGATAACCAGCTGCGAAACAACGGTGGTCCAGCTCCAGATGGAGAAGCAATGTGCTCGATGCCTTGCAATGGCAACCATGAAGAAAAATGTGGAGGGCCCGGTCGATTGAATCTATACCAAGATACCGCGGTCAAGCCAACAAGCACCATGGTTACCTCCTCTACCCCTTTAACTGAAACTGCATTACCAACGGACACCTCGTCCCCAGAGCCAAGCCAGGGGCTACCAGAGGGCTGGCAGTATGCTGGCTGCTACAAGGACAACGTCAACGGAGGACGTGTCATGGCCAAGCTACTGCCAGATAGCGCAAGTCTCACAATCGAATCATGTATTGCCATGTGTGTCAAGTTGGGGTACTCCGTCGCGGGAGCTGAATATTCTCGACAATGCTTCTGTGACAATTACGTTAGGAATGCTGCCCCATTGGGAAAGGAGTCAGAGTGTTCAATGAGCTGCAGCGGCAATGCACAACAGAAGTGCGGTGGCCCTGATCGTTTGAGTGTATACTCAAAGGGCAATTTGACTGTCCTTCCCATCCCAGTTCCCCAGACGGAAGGGCTACCCGGAGGATGGAAGTATCAAGGATGTCTCCAGTAAGTCTGCATTCATAGGAACACAATTTCAGAAGCCGGTTGAACTAACGCCGTTATTAGAGATAATGTTAATAGGAAAAGGACTTTCCCATATCAGATAGTGGACAAAGCAAATAACAGTGCAACCAACTGCCTCAGCCGTTGCTCTAAGTTTGGATTCGGAGCAGGCGGAATGACATACGGAGAGGAATGCTGTAGGTTCATCACCTAACCATCCCACAGAAAGTTATAACCTGTTGACATATATCAAGTTTGCGGGGACTTTGAGGATATTGCTGCCGCCGGTGCCAAGCTAGTACCCGAGAGCATGTGCAGCCAATCTTGCACTGGAAATGCAACTGCTATTTGCGGTGCCGGCAACTTGATCACTTACTACAAATGGATGGATGCACCGCTGCAGAAATGGAATCGCCCTACTGGAATAGACGCCGGCCGCTATGAGTTTCTAATTGGTGGAGTGCTTGTTCCCCTTATCACAACGGTAGGAATCAATGGCAAAATCACTTTCCAGGAAAAGTCCGGAACAGGTGATCCGAATACTACCGGAGCATACGAGTTTGACCCTGCCTATGATCACGATTTCGACAAAGCCTGGCGCCCGATGCATGTTAAAACGGACATTTTCTGCGCCGGGGGCCTTGTTCTTCCAGACAAGGTTGGTAGGCAGTTGACCGTCGGCGGCTGGTCTGGAATATCAACCCATGGTGTCAGACTTTACTGGCCAGACGGCGCACCAGGAGAGCCTAGCATGAACGACTGGCACGAAAGCCCAGATGATCTAAAGTTGCAGAACGGTAGATGGTATCCTACAGCCATGACGATGTCGAACGGCTCTATCCTGATCGTTGGAGGCGAGGAAGGATCTAACGGTGCCCCTGTGCCGACTCTTGAGATTCTTCCCCGTGTTGGCCCGGTTCTGTTCATGGACTGGCTTCAGAGGACAGACCCTAACAATCTCTATCCGTACCTCACGCCACTCCCAAGCGGTAATATATTTACTGCTTACTATAACGAAGCAAGGATCTTAGATGAGAAAACGTTCGACACCGTGAGAACATTGCCGAACATGCCAGGAGCTGTCAACAATGACGCAGGTGGACGCACATATCCCCTCGAAGGCACAATGGTGCTTTTGCCACAGCGTGCCCCTTACACCGAGCCCCTTGGTGTCTTGATCTGCGGTGGCTCAACACCATACGGCGGTGATGCTTTGGATAACTGTGTTTCCATCCAGCCAGAAGTTCCCAACAGCGACTGGGTGATAGAACGAATGGTAAGCACCTCCACTTTCCCTCGGGCACGAAAGCGTACTGTTTTCTAATAATATTATTATAGCCTTCCAGAAGGGTTCTTACCTGCATGGCTGGCCTCCCTGATGGTACATTCTTGATCCTAAATGGAGCGAAAAAGGGTGTTGCTGGCTTTGGCCTAGCCGAAGATCCTAACTTTGGGGCTGTGTTATATGATCCCTCAATGCCAGTTAACCAACGCATGAGTATTATGGCGAATACAACCATTGCGCGGATGTATCATTCTGAAGCAACGCTGATGCCAGACGGACGTGTCATGGTATCCGGTTCAGACCCGCAGGACACCCGATTCCCTCAGGAATATCGTGTCGAAGTTTTCCTTCCACCGTATCTTCTGTCTGGGGCCCGTCGTCCGACTTTCACTATTACGAACAAGGATTGGGCCTATGGTGGGAAATACAAGATCCAGATAACGTCCGGCAATATGGCAAATATCAAAGTGTCACTGATGGGCATGGTTTCCAGCACGCATGGGAACAGCTTCGGCTCGAGGACTATTTTCCCTGCCATGTCTTGCTCTGGGACTACTTGTACTATCACAGCGCCACCAGATAGCCACACCAGCCCTCCAGGATGGTTTATGTTATTCGTGCTGGATGGCCCAACGCCCTCTATGGCTTCCTTTGTCCGTATTGGAGGAGATCCAGGCCGCCTGGGAGAGTGGCCTGCAACTGGCGGTTTCCAGCTTCCGGGAGTTTAGTTAATAACTAGGAATGCCCCAGTAGATCAGAATCTATATCCTGTCTGCTATTGGGAATGTATTTATGAATGATTATGGCTTGTTGAAGGATAATAATTCTCGGATATAGGTCAATATTAATACATTACAATTAATTTTTCGGATTTAAACATAGCTTTTGTAATCTGGTGCTGGCCTTTGAGCACAAGGTAGAACAATAAGACAATGAGCTGGGAAATAGGCTAGTGTACAAAGGCAAGCACCTGTAGGGCACAGGGAATAGCAGATAGTGCACCGCGCCAATAGTAACAAACGCCGGGCTCGCCAGTGGTGCAGGAACACTGGACACCTCCGGCCTTTGTTCTTTGGGAGATTTAGTTTTCGTTGAAAGAGGCGTCCATGGCCACGCATTAGCTGAGCTCCTACAAGAACCCGAAGCGTACAAAAGACGGATTAAGGCACTACCAATATTAAAAGTGTAGAGTTAACCTCATATACGCTATCGACCTTGACGCCAACTGTATCAATCCATTCTCTCAGCTGTGTCACTGCCAAAGAGTCGGGATCTTCGGTGATGTGGCAAGCGAAGACAGCTCTATATTCTCCGTGCGATAAAGCTGGTGGGAGTACATAGGATGTTAGTGCGGGCGTATCTTCTTCGCGAGTTGGAAATTATAGCCGTACTGATACCGAACCGCTAAGAAATTTGTGCAAGGGGAACTTGGCAAGGGATAGCTTGTAGAAGCGTTCCAACAGCTGGACAAAATAAACCGACTTTGCTTTGCCGCATGCCTCTGCTGCTCCAGCAGCAAGTTTAGCATTGAAAGTCTGGTGAGTTATTTTACTTTCTGATGAACAGAACGCTGTGTTGCCTTCTTATACAGCCGCAAGAACTTCAAAGGCACCGACGGTCGGATATTCACGTAGAGTGGCTGCACCAGTCGATAATGAAAACCACATCAACTGGTATAGATGCTCCTTGAGCAATAACCGTTATAGTCTCGCAAAGGGAGTCAAAACCTCAAGCTAAATTTTGAATTAGGGTTTGCTTTGAACTATAGTCCATGACATGAGTCATTGGCTCCTTGTCCAGCGCAAGGAACCGTCCAGGCAGCCTCAGTGCCGTCGTCCTCAAAGCGGATAGAAAACGCGCTGATGTACTGGTAGGTAGGTTTCTCTGGCTGATGCAGAGTTTGAATGCGTCCTCTAACTGTTGGGCACGGCCTGATCCGTCCATTTTGGCTAATACAAGTTAGAAATATACTCCTATATCGAAAGAGTAGACCACAAACCTGGAATATAAAAGTGATGATCTAGGGGTGCAGATCTAGGAGTGCAGGGCGGCTCGTAGTCGGAGTATCTTCAAGTCGTATCTCGCCGCCCTAAACCCTATGGCTTGGACTTTTGTTTAGCGTCAAATTCTGCCCTTCGGCAAAAAGGCGAGCCCTCTCTGATTGGCGGCGAGTATGTCGTTATGTCTCAGAGAACTCAGCGGCAGGAAGCACGAGGGGGGGAAAATGGTAACAAAGTGGGATAGTGTCTGCTTCAAGGTAGCAAGTAAAACTGGGCGGAGGAAGAGCAAGGAGCATTCACCTGGACTAGCAAAGAGCATTCACCTGCTGTATTTATGTATATAGTATAAAATGTCACTCCGTCATGCTACCATTTTAGGACTAGCGCCGATGTTGGTGACTCGAGACCCACAAAGCCGAACCTAAAATTGCCAAGCTTTCGAGACACGTCCGTGCGTTTCATGTTATGTTCACGTGACCGTTATCGAAGCTGGCTTCCACTTGTAGACGTAACTACTCTGTAAGTGGTACTATCATATTAACTGAGGGCGCCTATCTTGGTGGAAGAGCCTTTTGGCTGCCTAGGCATGGATGGGCGGAAGCTGTTAACTAGAGTAGCTGTGCCATGTAATGTACTAGAATAGAGATGAACGAGGCTTACTCGGCTTGACCGATGCTGTTCTCCTCGCATGATAAGTGCTGCGGTGAAGACATTCGTTGAGAAGAATTATTGGTATTTTATAATCATTATGTAGATATATATGCTATGCTATGAATACAATACGCAGCTTTCGTTTAAATAACCTGTCCCTTGACCTGTTTTATTTCCTTCACGTCAGTGTTCCGCCAGATGGCAGCAGCGGCAAATCCGGCAGCCCATATGGCGGTGCCAGCAGTGAGCATGCTCGACTGCGCGCTAGCATAGGCGCGTTGGATAGCAATGCGGGCCGGCGATCCAATGGGATAACTAAGCTGCACCTCCAACTTGCCGAAGATCTCGAGGAGATTCGCCTGCTCCTCGACGGGGAGGAACTCGAGAAGCTTTGCGGGGAAGACAGACTGCCAAATAGCGCCAGCAACGGTTAGACCAATAGCTCCGCCGATGGCCGAGAACATGGACAGGATTGCAAGAATAGCTGCGATGTCCTGGTGGGATCCGGCGGACATGGCAGCGATCTGGGGGGTGATGATAAGAACTCCGCCGGCGAAAGCAATGAAGATTTGACACATGACGATGTAGCCGATATTGGCGTCTGGCTCGCGGAAATAGATCATCAGGCCCATAAACAGCGTGTACATGGGTATAGCACCGTAGAGAGTAATGGCTTTGTATCGTCCGGTATAACGGATGGCGACGCCGGCAGCAATTCCAGCAATAGTGTTACCGAGACTGTAGATCTGGACGACGTAACTGGCGTTGGTGACGCTGAGGCCGTTAACAACCTGGAGGAAGGAGCTGAAGAAACTGTTCCAGCAGAAGAAGCTGATGAAGAGGACGGTACCGAGAAAGCATGCGCCGACGAGATTCCGATCCAGCAGCAGGGAGAAAGGGATGAAGGTGACGGGTGCGAAGAACTTTTCCCACAGGGCAAAGACGACCATTAGAACGAGACCAAAGACGAGCAGGCAGATGACCAGAGGCGACTGCCAACCCAGGGGCTGCAGGCTATACAGGTTGAAGGGCAGGAGGAAGAAGGTGAGCCCGGTGGTGAGCAGCAGCAGGCCGATGGCATCGAACTGGCGGCAGTAGTAGATGAACGACTGCCAGGCCGTCCTCGATCCCTTTGTCGAGGCCATGGCTCCTTGTTTCTTCGCCTTGAAGTAGTTATGCAGGACGAGGCCCAGCAGCGGCAGACAGAGGACGGGCACGATAATGGAGAAGGCGCCAAAGCACCAGGGCCAGCCGGGCCCCTTGAGGAACGCTTCCGAGATGGGACCGCTCAGCCAGATGGTGATGATGTTGGGCGAGGCGGTCAGGGCGGTCATGAGGCCACGGTTCCGCAGGCTGGTCGTATCGGCGACGAAGATGTTGATGCTGTAGAGCAAGGCGTTGCTGCCAACGGTCCAAAACACCTGCGCGGCGGCGTAGGTCTCCACGTTGGCCGTCGCCGCCATCATGACCAGGCCGGCGGTTGCGATGGCCAGTGAGATCGCATAACCCTGGGGCCGCCCGAAGACATCGAGGATCTTTGCGACGGTCAGATTGCACACTCCGCCGATGACGCTGCTCAGGATGCCCACCGTCGGTGTGAGCGAGTGGTGCTGGAAGGCAGAGGTCACGAAGGGGGTCAGCGCTGCGACGATGCCCTGCTCCATCAGCATCACAAAGTAGACGATCCAGATGAAGATGTAGGCGAGGACGAGGGCGGTCATCGACCAGACCGTTGCCATGGCCTCGACCTGCTGCACACCAGCCTGCACCTCCGTGTCGGTCGCCTCTCCATCCCGCGAGCTGCTGGACTCTGGCTGCTTCTTCTCATCGACAGGCGGCGGCGACACTGCAGGGTATTGGGTCTCCTCACCCATCTTTTCCCTCTTCCTTTTTTTTTGTTTTCCTTTTCAAATCAATATATATTATATATCGATACTCCGCACAAGATCGACTTAATCAATCTTGGGGACAAGGAAAGAATTTGTGGACGAACAAAAGTCGAATCCATGGCTCCAGCAGCAACCACTTTTTATTCCTCCCCCCTGGACGGCCATCCCTGCTGAGGCCAGAGTAACAGAGGAGTAAGCCGGATGAGCAAATAATCAGCTCACTTTATAACGACTTTGAACCATGCAAAGCCGGGATTCTTTCTCTTTTTTCCTTTCTTTTTTTGCTTCTCCATATCTCGAAGCGCAGATTCTTCGGGCCTTTGTTTTTTTTTTTCGCTGCCTGCATGAACCAGTCAATAAAGGCCAATGATAATTAGCTCGATTCACCTCAGGCTCGAGAGTTGGCTGGAATGACATTGTGCCTCTTTAGCTCCTTGGTTGGTTCGTTTGTTAGCGTACTGGGGAATATTTAATATATATATTGGCTTAGGGTTAAATTGACTCCTCCGTGTGCGTTTGGCGGCTCCATAACCAAGCATGGAATTTTGCAGTCGGCCAGCTGGAGAAGAGATGACATATAACATGCTCAAAGACGAGAAAACATGCTCAGTCTGTTTGTCATGCCATCTTTCGATGGAAAATTTCGATGTTATGAACTTGTCTTCCCCATAACCCGCCGGCTAGTGTTAACCGAAGAGTTGGAGCAGCGTCGATGTCGCGGCCATAACACGGGGATGCCGGTCAACAGTCAGTCATATGTAAAGGGGGCAGAAAACAATGACCTGGCGATAGGTTAACATGAGCAGGGAGACAGTGGTCGTGGTGCATGGGCAAGTCGACTGGAATTGCAGGTTATTTCTCGAGCAAGGGAAGGCGGCGACCTTCATATATCAACTATCCGTTCGCCAGGCAGCATCGTTGACTAGCCGGCTCTACCGCGTAACAAAGCTTGACAGGGTAAACAAACTCGAGCGAAGGAGCCGTGGTGGTCTTATCGTCGCTGTTACTATGTACTGGCAGCCAAACGTTAACAGACGCCAGTCTTTCTACAGCAGAGTTAAATCTGCAAGCAAAAAATGCAACGGCTTCTGTCAGGGAAACTTCACGTTGTTGGATGGTTTTATACTGATGGCAGCCTTAGACGATGCCGAAGGTATCATATTGTACTGTGCTATCTTGGAAGCTGTGTCTACGGAGTACTCTGGAAGTATCTATCCCAATACTCCCATATGAAGCCGCCGGTCCACCGTCGCAGTCTAACGCCTCTGATTACATAGTATGGAGGAAGGTCTTCGCTTGGACGGAGACGGAGATGCCCTTGTAATATACTATTGCACAGGTACCTTGATCACTCAGCAAAGGCAGCATTCTCCTGCGAAGCCTCTGGATGCCCAGAAAGCTGAAATGTAGCGAGAATGTATACGGCATGCCCGTCGTATAGCACATGCAATACCTCTGGCATCGAGGGTGAATGGTTGACAGTTGTTCCACGGACAGAAGGAACAGCAACGTGTGCCGTGCTTCAAAAGATGAAACCCCCAGAGCCGGGCTCCCATCGCAAATATAGGGTCGGGATGGTTGCACACGGCTAAGTCCACCCTGCCTTACATATGGATGAACTGGCGGACCCCATACGCACGCACACACACAGGTGGTGGAGGTAAGGGAGCCATCCTGGCCGCCATCGTATCCAGGTTGCCAGTGAATGGCTGCTGACAGGGCGATCAACCAGTACTCTTCATCAGTCATCATAACCCCGTGTTGTATAATCATCGTCCTTCCTGAATGGGATGTTCAGTCAGCGGATAGAACTTCCTGCTAGGTATATTTATACGTACATACCTGCAGCCTTGTCAGCGGCCCAGATGGCCCGTATAGATATGCAGTTTAGGCGCCCTCCACTGCGTATTAAAGAGCCAGATTTTTCCGACCAAAGCACATGCTTGTGAGTTTCCGGGCTAGCCACCGAAGCGGGATCCAGGGATAAGGGAAAGAAAACAAGGGGGGGGCGGGAAGCAAATAAAGTGAAAGAGGCTGGAGAAGTAAAGCAGCCTGATCAAAGACCAGCCTAGCGTCTAGGATGACCGACACACCGCCAGAAATACCTGATCCTGATGGCCATAGTTATCGTTTGCTGGAAGGATTCATAAGTTAACTACTGAAATCCATGGCTGAAGCAATGGCTCAGCTTGGCTCTGTGTTTCCTTTCAAACCGAAAGGGATGTTGACAAAAAAGTGATCGGCTAGGCTGAAGGACCCGAACAGCCCGTTTGCTCTTCCCGTAGACCGATATTTGATTTTGCATACCAATATCCTAAAGATCCCGTCTTGCAAAAAAGACAGAAATACGGAGCATCTCGAAGTACTGAAAATAAATATGAAAAAAGCAAAGAGCTAGCAGCTCGTACTGTAAGTTAATCTACCCCTGTGGGCATATTTAGAGAACTCCTCTATACATAATTAACTATGACGATATCGACACAAATACAATATAAGATTTGGTTTAGCGAGGAAAGCTATCAAATACGGAGAAACTAGGAAAACAAGCCTTTAACGACCAGTCGATCGTTTATTTACTATGTAAGGATGGAGCTGATTACACTCGTCCTGTCATACAGAGCCGGCTACTATCTACCAGGCGAATGCTCCGTCTGGAGTTGAATTTAGAGCACCACTTCATGCTATACTGATGGACGATTGCTAGAACAGTATCGAACTCTGGTCAAGATGTCTGGACCATGGCCCGCCACAGCTCATGTCAGTTCTGTGCATGCTATAGTAAAATCTTGTAAAAAAAGCTACAGCTTTTAGTATAAGTTTTTATTGTCTTCTTTTTAAAAAAATAATAAACGGGAGGGAAGAGGAAAATGAAATAAAAATATCTATGGCGCTGAAAGACGAGTCCATAATGACGCGTGGCATAATAAATAATAATCCTGTTCACCAGACATGCCCCTTACTCTGCTTAATGCCAATAACGTTGATGTCACGCCAGATGATGACGGCGAGTAAGCCTACAGCCCAAATGGCAGTGCCTACTGCCAACATACTCATCTGAGCGTCCCGGTAAGCGTGTTGGATGCCTAATCGAGTGGCCGACCCGACTGGGTACGATAACTGAGTGGAGATATTTGCGTAGATTTCTGGTAGGTTGGAGAGTTCCTGGGCAGGAAGATAGTCTTCCAACTTCTTGGGAAAAATGCTCTGCCAGATAGCGGAGGCAACGGTCAGGCCAACAGCACCACCGACGTTTCCGAACATGCCCAAGACGGCGATACAGACCGCAACATGTTGGTGTGAAGCAGCAGCGAGGATTGCAACCTCGTCACAGACCATTATCGTGCCAGCAGCGATAGATATGAAAATTTGGCACATGATGATGTAGCCAATGCTACTGTCAATCTTGCAGAAGTATATCATCAGACCAGAACCCAGAGTGCTCAGTGGAATACCCACGTAGAGACAGATAGGTTTGAAGCGCCCTGTGTAGTGGATCATGCTGCCCACTGCGATGGCAGATAGGACGGAGCATACAGTGTACGCCTGAACGACGTAGCTTGCATTCTCAACGCTGAGGTCATTGACCACCTGTAGGTACGAGCTGAAGAAACTATTCCAGCACCAGAAGCTAACAAATAACGTAGCAGATAGAATGCAGGAACCCAACACGGTTCGGTCAAGCAAAATGGAGTATGGCACAAATGTAATAGGGGCATAATACCTCTCCCATACAACAAAGCCAGCAATGAACAATATTCCGACAAGCAGCATTGTGATAACAAGTGGTGAGTGCCAACCTTCCAGTGAGTATAGATTAAACGGTAGTAGGAACAGTGCAACACCGGTAGACAGTAGAACAAGGCCGACGGCGTCGAACTGCCGGGAGTAATAGACCAGGGACCCTAACACAGTGCGTTCACTCTTCCCGCCTGCACTAGCCTTAGAGACCAGGCCCATCTTCTTAGCTTTTAGGTAATTATTCAATAGAAGTTGGAAGAGAGGGAAGGTGACGGAAGGAACAAGGATCGCAAATATGCCAAACACCCATCTCCAGCCTGGGCCTTCCAAGAAGCCTGATGATATTGGGCCAGCCAGCCAACACGTAATGAGATTTGGCGAGCTGACAATAGCTTGCATCAACCCTCGATTGCGTAACGAGGAAGTGTCGGCAACAAAAACGGTCAAACTATACAGTATTCCATTGTTTCCGACCGTCTGAAAGACCTGGGCGGCAGCGTATGTCTGGACATTTCTGCATGTAGCAATCATAACAAGTCCAACAGTAGCGAAAACAACGCAAATAAAGTACCCTTGCGGCCGGCCAAAGACGTCGAGGACCTTTGCCAGGGTGAGGTTGGTGACGCCGCCGATGACACTGCTGAGAATGCCGACAGTGGGCGTGAGTGCATGCGAGGCAAAAGCAGATGTGACATACGGGGCTAGGATGCCCGTTGTTGCCACCAACATCCCCTCGACGAAGTACGTGAGCCAGACCATAACATATGCAAAGATCAGGGCACCTGTTGTCCACGCCACGGTCACTGCTTCTATGCTCTGCACACCCGGTTGGATATCATTGCCCGATTCAGCAGACTCGGCATCTGTGCGAGCATCAATGATGGGGTCGTCGCCCTTGACACTTGTATCATTCTCGTCTTGCAGCAGATTCAACTGCTCCTCATTACTTAGGGCCAAGTAATGGCCGGTTTCGGCGTTGCTTTGAATCCTCATAGCCTATGAAGAAAACAGGACACAGGGCAGCTTTCCCTAAGTTGAATGGAAAAAAGAAGAAGAAAAGTAGCTGAGCCTGACCAGGGCAGAGAGTGTAATGTGAGATGTCCGCCCTCAGCTCTCACTCACCATTTGGATGCGCAGGCCGATGGGGAAGAAAAGGATGCTGCTCTGAAGAGCCCCAAACTTTAGCGTTGCTGACTGCAGCTCTTGTCATGCATGAGAGAATGTTGACCAACACGTTCGCCGCAGAAATCAGCTGTCCCTCCTTCACAGCATATAGCAGGGGGTTGGCAGGGATCCTGCAAGGTTGGAATGGACAAAACCATTTGTTGATTTTCTTTTACGCAAAATGAGTTCCCACAAACAATCCCTGATTCTCCCTATAAATAGACTCGTGAGGCTAAAGTTGAGTGCAGCACGAGCGCTGGCTCGTGTAAATATATTCTCCAGCAAGGGAGAAAGAGAAAAGTCTTCTGTGCATACTATGTAAGACTGAGCGACCAGATAGCTTTACATAGTAAGCATCGGGATTGACGCGATGGGTGGGGAGGTGCGGAGGCACGACGTTACATCTTCTCTACCATTGACCACTTTTCTCTAGCCTCCTTCCTAATATCGGAATCGGTATGGTGACTGGTACGGGTAGCAAGTGTACGTACATACCTATATTACACACGGAGCATAACATCCGCCTTGGCTATAAGCCGGTAGCTGGCACCTGAAGGTAGAAAGTAGTCGAAGGATGCGGTAGAAGCTTTGGCCGACTCACCAAGAAGACTTCTAACCGACGGCCGAACCAACCGTCGGCAAGCCTGTTACACTAGTTGTCTTGTCCCTCTTCCCCTGGCTATATATAACAAGCCCGCTAGGTAAAAATAAAGTAACAGAGTTGTTGGCAAAAATAAGCTTGTACGGTCTCGCCTATGTAGGGTGATAGCCTATCGCCACGCGGGACAGCTGCTTGAGAGGAGAGGCAGAAAGACTCCTCTACTCATAGTCATGCATAATACTGGTTACATAGTGTATATACACTCTCCTATGTGTGTTTATACATGTTTCTCCTTTCTTTTTATATTGGGAACAGACGCAGACCGTCTTTCGGGACGCCAAGAACCAATCACCGTGCGCCTTTTTATAATTCCAGTCATGTGATATCGGCTCGGGCCGCGGCTTCTTTTCACAACGTCAGGAAAAAGGTAAAATCGACTGTCTTCCTTTCTTCATTATATATCTTCGTGACAACGAACGGCAACGGCGGCTTTGCCATGGTGTTGGGATTCCTCCGAAATGCAGACAGATGGAGCACCTCTTTTTCCCGAAGGATCAATCTTGAGGCCTAGCCCTTTTTTTTTCGCCCCATAATTTTTATCCGATGTATGGTGCGAAGAACTTCACAAACAATTACTCTAGCCGAGTTGGGAGATTAGTCGAACTCAAGGGTTATACGAACCATCTTTCTATTGCAGATCGATCTCGCCTCGTTTTTCACGGTGATGCTTAATATATATCAAAAGGGTCTTGTAGTGCCAAGCGCTGCCATTCCAGACGTGTCCGTAAGGTCATGGGTTCTGCTTCTCAATGCAGGAGAAGGAGGATCCATTGAATACGAGCTGAGCCTTTTTTGCAGATCAATAACCTTGAGAGAGAAAAAAAGAATATCCTTTGAGCCCATTCATCATTTGCGTGGAGCAACCTATCGCTTGACCCTTGCGGCCGAAGACTGCCAAGAGATCATTCCTACAAGGATAATAAATACGGTTAGGGCTAGGATGCATGAATTCATACGAATTGGTTGCTTGAATATACTATACCAACTCCACTTCATCTTCCAAAGCAGAGATACTTACCCCATTTCCCCTCTGTCATCATGCCCATTCGTCTGCGTCAAATATGATCTAATATGGTCCCATGTCGGGGGTATATGGTCACTACGACTCCGTACATGTGGCAACCTTGCAATTCACGGAGAAATAAGTTGTGAACTCTGAATATTCCTGTCCACCTGAGAAACGGCCTTCCTTTCCGTTGTTGTTTTTTTCAGCTTTTTTTTTTTAAGAAAAAAGAAAGAAAACAAAACAAAAAACGCAATATTCAATTCGAGGGCGGTAAATTTAGTTCGCAACGATAAGGCTCCAGGATCGTGTTCAAGGTTGTATCAGAAAACGAGCTCCTTTCTCCATCCATTGACCATTACCTGCTGAGCATGGAGGATGGTGTACGGAGTGTACTAAGAATGGCTAGTTAAAGGGTATATATATTTGGAAAACCCCCCACTGTTAAGGAGCTGCCATTCCCTAGGGGCCTTAAACTTCTTCATTCCTTGCAGATCCAACGTGCGTTGACGCACCAGAAACCACCTCGGGTCCTTTGATTGTGGCATATTATCAGATTAATTTTCCGATATAGGGCCTCATCATGCCTCACAAATCCGATGCAGAGGTAACGCCTGCAGAGCGTATACCAAATGGGATTCCCGTCATCGACGACAAATTGTCAACAAGTACTTTGCAGACCTACAACGACGATGTCCGAAAAACATCTCGTCTTATTCTGGATATCATATTTGAGTACGCCCTAAATAAATTTGATGACTCCAAGGATAGGTTAGAAGCAGGTGCAAATAACTTCCTGGATGTCATTGATCGATTTGTTGCGGCAGGGAAGCGTGTGGAATCATGCCTTCCTGCGTTTCCATTCAAGTCTGCCAATAAGGTCTACAAAGTGCTTGGGAGTCTACCTGATATGGCCGAGGAGCTTGCTCTTGAGCGGCTAAATACCATGTGTACACGCATACGAGAAGTATATTCGCCCGGTGCTCAGGTCACCATCATCTCTGACGGTATAACATACAATGGTACGTCCCTTCAATCAGCTTAAATGCAGACCTGGCTCAGTTGCCGGCAAAAGGAACACAACTAATGCTGACTGCTTTGTACCTTATCAGATTTGTTGTCCATATCTGATCAAGACACTTGGGCTTACGGAGAAGCCCTACGCAAGATGGCGATTGATAAGAAGTTCAACTACATTAGCTTTTCCAGAATGAAAGACTTGCTTGACTTTCCCCTGCCAGAGAAGCTCACTGAGATCACATATGTTGCTAATTGCACAACCTTTCGTCGCCTGCTCTTGAATCAGTACGGTCGGGATGACCTTGATATTGACCATGAGGTTACCATAAATCCCGATACCAAGTTGACTTACCTCGGGTACAAAAGATTCCTGGAGTCAGATTTGAAACATATCTTTCCTCGCGGGATAGGCCGAAGTGCGCATAGCTACAAGAGAGATTGCAAATATCTGGCGAAGCAGATGCTGATGCGGGGATATGTGAGTAAATCCTCGTACATCATAGCACCAAATGTCTGACATATTGTTTTTTCAACAGGCTTTTGCGGGTGCAGTCAAGAATGCGTTTCCTAATCACTTGCGGCTTTCCATTCATGAATCTGTAGGCTTAAACAAGGTCTCGGTGTGTCTACTTAATACAAAAACTGGGTTCACAACTCCATGGCACTGCTCTGTTGCTCAGCTGGCCGATGGAGAATGGGTTAGCGCTCCTATGGGCGAATTCAGCAAAGATAGCAGGCTTGAACTGGTTTACATCGATGGCCGGCCCAGCCACTTCAGGGAGAAGGCTTGTGAGAATGGTGCTCTGCCCATCAGTGACTCAACTGCAAGCTATCTTGAAGCCGCTAAGCCAGTAATCGCTAGTGGATATCTTAGCGGTGCAACCACCCCAGGCACAGCATCACCCAGTACCTTTTCACAATCCCCTCCTCGTGCCAGAGTGAGAAGTAGCGGCGTAACCACTCCCGAATCTCAGTCTCCTCCTAATTCAACCAAAACCGGCTTAGGAGTTGTGGTAAACAGCAAACTAGGCGATACTTCCTCACCAAGAAAATCCAACGTGATACCTTCAGTACCTTATGGCAAGCGACTTATCCCCCAGATTATGGACGAACTGGCTGCTACCCAACCAGAGCGAATTATTTTCTCACTGGCGACACTCTCTGGTGATTCCCTCATTTTTAGGGATATCACTGCCCACGCCTTTAATAAGGCTGTTGACAAGACCGCTTGGTGGCTTCGAAGCCAGGTCGGAAAACCAGATTCGATCCGGCCTGTAGGTTACATCGGCCCACGTAAGTCAACTATCAATTTAACTGCATCGCATCTAACAACTTATGGATGAAAGCTGACTCGCCGCTTCTACAGACGATCTGCGCCATGTGCTTCTTACTTACGCCTGTGTTAAGGCTGGCTACGCGGTAAGCTTATGAATTCACTTACGGTATTGTGCTCATATCGGCTCGACTAACGCTTACCTAGGCTCTATTTCTTTCACCAAAAAATAACACAGTGGGAGCACTCTCCGTACTCGAGACAACAGAATGCAATATCTGGGTTAATGCTTGCGAAATAGCCTCTGAGCCTCTAGTTGAGGAGATTCTGCAAGAACGACCTATGACACTTTTACAGCTACCCCTTCTCGAGGAACTTCTAGATGCCTCGTCCACAGAGCCGTTCTTGTATTCCAAATCCTTTGATGAAGCCGTAAATGAGCCATTCTGTTTCCTGCATACATCCGGGAGCACCGGGGTACCCAAACCTATTCCTTGGTCTCACGGTCTTATTGGTACCATGGACGCTGTGCGGTTACTACCATCCGTTGAAGGCACTGATGGTTTGCTTCCTTGGACTTCTGACTGGTTGGATGGAGATACCATTTATTCGTCATTTCCAATGTGTCACGTAAGTATCCTCAGAAGTTTTACCCTTTATTTTATATATAAAATTGATATAATTAACTAACAAAATTAACCAAAGGGCGCCGGCATTATTATGAATATCCTGATGCCCGCATTTTTCGGTTTGCATTGCGTCTTAGGCCTCGCTGGAGCATTACCAAATATTCGACTTGTTGAGACCCTTGCAGACAATGTCAAGATTGACATCTGGAGCATGGTGCCGTCTCTTGTCAATGAGCTAGGCGAAACGCCTGAGGTATTGGCAAAGCTCAAACCGTCGAAGTTTATATGTGCATCAGGTGGCCCAGTAAGCCCAGTAAGCGCCGGCAAGGTGAACGATGTGGTAAGAGTATTGAACTTGACTGGCACCACCGAGGGCCTGTTTATGGGCAATCTTGTGACTTCAAGGGAAGATTGGTTCTGGTTCTGCTTCCACCCTTACTCTGGCTTCGAGTTTAAGGAAATAGGTGAAGATACCTACGAGCATTGGATCCACCGCAACGAACACTGGCCTCTGTTCCAAGGTATCTATCACACTTTCCCTGAAAAAGAGTCAATCAACTTCAAAGACTTGTATTCGAGGCACCCTAGTAAGCCTAATTTATGGGCTTTCAAAGGCAGAAGTGATGATTTGGTGGTATTGTCTAACGGATACAAGATAACGCCACTCGAGACTGAAGCTCTCGTTACTGTCCACCCTGCAATCAAAGGATGTATCCTATTTGGCACCGGAAAGCCGCAGGCGGGTCTGCTTATTGACCTAAAAGACCCGTCTCAAAAATCTGATGAGCTACTAGATAGCATCTGGGAAACAGTGAAGAAGGCTAACTCGATGTCTCGTCATAAAGACCAGCTGTTAAAGGACTTTGTTACCTTTACGAAGCCCGACAAACCCTTTATTTATACGGATAAGGGAACCGTGAAACGAGCAGCAACCTTGGCGCTATATTCCAACTATATAGACCGCTTTTACAGCTCGCTTAGCGATGATCCTGAGGATATAGATGCTGTGTTTCCCATTGACATAACCTCAACGGAGTCAATCCAAAGTGGTGTTCGCGATATCCTAGCATCTTCAGTACCAGAAATCCAGCAGGCTCCAATTGACACAGATCTTTTCGAGCTTGGACTAGACTCCCTTGGTGTCTTTGCAGCCATTAAGAAGATTCGGATAGCCACACGTCTTGGTGAACAGATTGCTCCCAGGCACATTTATGCAAATCCCACGATTGCTAGCCTTTCTGCTACTATCGAACGTTTGGCTGCTGAGGTGAAAAGTGCTAAGGCTGATGCCTCAGACCTACCTGTTGATGGCGAAACCGCTAAGCTGAAGAGGATGATCGCCCAACACCAAGCCAGACAGACTTTTAAGCTGAATGCATTGGATTATGTCAATCCAAACCATAACATGGGGCTTGTTTTCTATTTCTCTCTCCGTGAAGGGGTTAGCTACAAGGAAGTGTTTACCAACCTACAAGAGGGACTCAACCGCACATTTGACCTAATCCCAGCTCTTAGTGGCAAGATGATGCACTGCTCGGAGCAAGAGATTGGGTACAAGAAGGGAGACCTCTGTGTAACTATCCCTCCTCTATCCATGGCAACCTCAGCCCATAATCGTCTCGTCTACAAAGATCTTTCCGGAATCCTTCCTTCGTTCGCCAAGATGCGAGACGCTGATTTCGCTCCCTCTCTTTTCAAGGATAGCCTTGTTTTGCGAGATGATCCGATCTCCAAGATACCTGCTGACATTTTTGCTGGACAAGTCAACTTCGTCAAGGGTGGTTGTATTGTTGCTGTTGACTTGAACCACTGCTGCTTAGATGGCCTTGGAGCCATGGTCGCTCTCAAGGTTTGGGCTGAAAACTGCCGATATCTTCAGGGCGACAAGACCGCGACCTGCAGCTGGTATGACCCCGAAAGCTTTAATCATAGCCTTCCTGAGATCCTTCATGAACAGGAAGGCTGGGTTCGCCCAGTTAACGAAGTAGACCCTGGTACATGGGGCTTCTTACCATTCTTCCCCCCTGATGAGAACCAGGCGAACGGCGAGTCTGTCCTCACTACAAAAGAAAGCCCCCTCGGCCCTCGTCCAATTTTCCCTCTACATAATATCTGGCCTGTACCTCGTGCTGAGAGGTGCATGAAGACAACCTCCTTCCTGATTTCTCCGGAGAATCTCGAGAAAATGAAACAAGACGTTATTGCGGACCCAGAAGCCAAGGGAGTTATCACATCCATTAGCGACATAGTACAGGCTTTCTTCTGGCGTACTGCCATTAGGGCTCGATATCGTGTGGCTAAGGAGATTCGAAAGCAGAGTTTTGGGCCTGAGGACATGTCTATTCTTGAACTACCCACTGATGGTCGGCCGTACTTCTCCTCCCGTCTACCATCAACGTACATGGGCAGCGTACTCATTATGAACCGGTGCAGCATCCCTGTGGAAACCCTTTGTTCCCCTGAGACAAGCATCGGGTACGTCGCGTACAATCTTCGCCAGTCTACTGCACGCATTACTCCGTCTCTTGTGCATGATGCCTTTACCATCCTGCAATCCCTTCCAGATCACAGCCGGTTTTCAACTGCCAATATGGGTCTTGAGCACATGCACGCCATGATATCAAACATGATGCTCTTCCCCACTAGTGAAATATCATTTGGAAGCAAGTTTTTTGCCAACGGAGGCTCCCCTGAGTCGATGAGGCCTCAAGTTGACCGAGCCAATGGTATCTTCCGGTTCCTTGCCATCTATCCTATGAAGAAGGATGGGGGGGTAGAACTTGTGTTGGGAACACATCCCGAGGAACTCGAAATGTTCAAAACTGATCCTGAGTTTACAAAATATGCAGAGCTTGTGGACGTTTGCTGAAGATTTAAACTGCTAGAGTATGCAGCTTATAAAGTTTCAAAGTCTCTATAAATATTGATGTCCCTGTTATGTTTGTTCATCGATATATATATTTTTCTTTAATATATAGTTATTTTATACCTGTTACCAAAATCTGCTTTTATCCTAAGAGCCGTCTAGATATGGTTGTATTTCAACTGTTGTCGTCTTTGGCCTCAAAGAGAACCTTCAGTCTTATAATCATCCCTGTGTTTTGGCGGTTCAGTTTTCAATTAGAGCAGCAGTGAATACATATATAATATAAGCATATCTCCTAGGGAGTTCGATCAACTGCTCTTCTCTTCCTTATTTACATTAGCTCTGACTCCCATTCAGGGCCCACATTGTTGCCGTTGCTACTACCATTTCCGTTTCGGAAGACTGCACACGCGCCTACTGGCCGCAGCTCCAGAATCTGCGTTAAACAACCCCTGGGGGAAACTATCTTGTTCAAGCGCCAGCCAGCATCCTCTGCAAGAGTGCGGTATTCATCCAGCGTTCTCTCCTTATTTCTGCAACGAGCGAGCATGCGAATGTCTGCATACCGAGCCCCACGACCTAGACGGCCGTCAAAAACGACTGACTCGACTATCAACACCCGACTCACACCCGGCTTGATAGTTATTGTATCTCGAATTCGTCGTAAGAGCTTGACACAATCTTCGTCACCCCAGTTGTGTAGGATCCACCGTAGGAGATACACAGAGGACTGAGGTAGTGGGTCCTTGAAGAAATCCCCCCCAGTAATAGATACAACTCTCTTTGCTAAGGTATCATTAGGAGGGAACCGTTGCTGAAGGATTTCTGCGGTTGATGGAAGCTCGAATGCGGCTGCTGTTGCATCCGGAAACTTTTCTAGATAAGTGCGGATGAAATCCCCTACGCCAGCTCCGATATCCACGACGGTTTCGCCCTTCACATCATCCCAAGGGTAATCTGCCAGGAGCCCAGGGGCTTCAACCACGCTTCCGGTCCCGGTAACTCTGTGGAAGCCCTCAGCCCTGCCAGTTTCGGCAAGGAACTGATAGATTGGCTTGTCAGTGTTGTAGAAGAGCTCTGTCGCCGTTTTCGGTTGATCACTTTTCAACTGGGTTGGTAGATGGGACAGCAAATCATAATACTCCCGAGGGAAGAAGTCAACCCAGTTGATCCAGGTCCCCCAGTGATCCTTGCGAAGGAGATTGGACAGTCGGTTGTTCGAGAGTTTTCTGGTGACGGGATCCTGGTAGAAGTAGCCCATCTCGCGGAGATAGCGAATGATCTGAGATAGACCTTGCTCGTATAGCCCGGCAGCATTAGCTAGCTCAGAAATGCTGCATGGCTGGAGGTTTTGGACATGGTCTGCTAATCTATGTTCGGAGGCACATAGTAGCACTTTGCTGTTGGTAAAAGCTGCAGCTAAATCAGTATTCTACCTCGTGTTAAATGAAAGATGGGGGGTGAAGATCATACCAAATATGCCATCTACCAAAAGCATATGGGGCGGAGTCAGAGTTACAAGGAGTTTGTCTAGCGCTTGTACCGTGTCCAGCAGTTTCTGATATACCACAACGGAAGACTGGGGCGAGGCGGGCGACACATCATGGAACAGCTTGAGTTCCTCTGCCAAAGGGCCTTCCAGTTGCTTTAGAGCATGCTGGATATTCCAGTTCAAATGCTCGAGTTCGTTTTCCATGGCGGAAGTCCAACAGTATTCTTTTCCCGGAGACTAAGATATCCGTGAATGAAAGATAAATATGAGATGTTGATATCAAAAGATCCGGTCCATCATAGTAACATGAAGGGGATATATATGGTACTTGGGTTAGAATACTCGCTGTATTGCACCGGCGAGGCTGAACGGAAGTCGGTGGATATCGCGACCAGATTCATCTATACCCGCCGAGGCGCCGGCGGCGGCGCCGCAGAAACGTCCTAACTCTTGAAGAAGAAGCCTTTAGACGTCCCAAGTAATCTTCATGCTGGGCCACAATAGTTGGTGATTGTCTTCTTTTCGTCGATTCTGGCTTGGTTGAGACCGAGTAATCTTCAAATGGATTCGTGCCACAACCATACTCAACAACAGCAGACGATGATGGCCAACCCTACCAACACTCTTCTTGACCACTTCTACTGCCATGTACAGCGATACCCCGCGTCAATCGCAATTGAAGATGGAACAAAGTCGGCTGACGAGTCGGCTTGGGAAAGGATTACTTACCTGCAACTCGACACTTTGTCCGATATATGGGCCAGGAAACTGAGCCAGGCCGGCGTAGGTGCCGGCTGCATAGTGCCTATTATATCTAGAAGGTCAATCGCTATGGTAGCGGCCGTGTTGGCAGTCCTCAAGCTACGCGCTGTCTATGTGCCAGTTGATATAGACTCTTGGGGGAAAGACCGTATAGATACAGTGCTCACGACGATAGATCCAAAGGTCATCGTATCAACAGTGGAATGTCCGGAGGATCGTTATTCGTTTCCGGTTCTGATATTAAGGGAGACAAACCCAGACAGGATAGCAATTGGTAACGGGCTCCACTCAGGACAGAAGACCAGCAAGCTCGGTGATAGGGGAGGTGACCTTGCATACATCATCTTCACCTCTGGCACAACGGGAAAACCGAAAGGTGTAATGGTAGGCCTGAAATCCATATCTCGCTATGTGAAAGAAGGAGGAGACCTCCCTTTCAACTTTAACACCAAATACGGCACACGGGTATTGTTGATTTGCTCCGTTGCCTTTGACGGTATGTGTCTGTTCACGGCCCTGCGGAATATCCTTTCTGACACAGACGATATAGTATGTGCGGGCGTTGTATTTAACACGCTGTGCAATGGCGGAACCCTTGTTCTCGCGGACCCGTCCACCCTCGAAGCAGCAGCTAAGACATGCCATGTCTTACCATTAACGCCGAGCATTTTGTCGTCCTTGAATCCAAAGGCTGGGTTTGATAGGGTTGAGAAAATATTTCTTGGTGGCGAAGCTCCCACAGAATCATTGATTCGATCCTGGTATTCCTCATGCCGTCGGTTATATAACTCCTATGGGCCTACGGAAACAACCTGCACTTCGTTGATGGGTGAGCTTGTGCCTGGGTCACCCATCACTATCGGCTATCCGATCTCGTACAGTACCGTTACTCTGCTGGATGAGGACGGCTCGGACCCTTCGCAGGGAGAGATTTGCATATCCGGCTTAGGACTTGCCTTGGGGTATTTTCGTGATCGAGATCGCACGGCCAGCTCCTTTGTCAGACTGAATGGACGCATGGTATACAGGACTGGAGACTATGGAAAGCACACCAGGAATGGGTTGCAGTTCTGTGGGCGCAAGGATAGCATGGTCAAGAATCGAGGCTTCTTGATCAATCTTGAAGGAGATGTTGAGCCGGCTTTACTGTCGTTCAGCAAGGTTGCCCGTGCAGCTGCCAGTATGTCCAATGGCAAGCTTATCGCGTTTGTTACGCCGACAGCCGCAAAAGAGGGCCTTCGTGAATACCTCTTGGGTACTATTTCTTCATTCCTGGTACCCGACATCGTATACTCACTCGACGAGTTTCCCGTAACAGCCAACGGGAAGGCGGATCGAAGGAGCTTGCTGCGGATACATGAGGAGGCTCAGGGGCCAAACGGTAACTTAGAGACAGGCCTGAATGCGATAGAAGCTCTCCGCAGAGGCATGGCTTACGTTCTCCAAATACCAGAGTTAGAGATCGCCGGTTCCTCATCCTTCCGCGATTTGGGCGGCCACTCACTTGCAGCAGTGATGCTTGTTTCGAACCTAAGGCAGATGGGCTTTACTATTGGCGTAACAGAGGTATTATTGCTGGACACCGTTGATAAGATGGCATCAGCAATGAAGGAAACAGTCAATGATGCTCATGCCTCCTCCATGTCCGAACAATTGATGCGGCGCTTGGAAAACATAATTCCCATGGCTAGCCTGGCAGGAAGTGAGAGCTTTGCGCCCATGACAGATATCCAAAGTAGAATGGTTCGGGCCAGTGTAGCCACTCCAGGGCTCTCCTTTATAAAGGCTTCCTTTACCCTTGATCATCCGGGGAGAGAAGACTTTACGTCTATCCTGCGTGCCGCTTGGGGTCGCCTAAACCAACGCCATCATATCTTGCGTGCATCATTCGTTTTGGGTGAGCCAGGAGCTCAGGTGGTATACCGTGATCCAAACATTGCTTGGAAGGAAAAGATAATTACAGAGACAGACTGGGAATCTGCCTGTCGGCATGAAGAGGAGCTTGGCCTGGGACAGTTCACAGGGTTCGAGCCAGGGGAGCAGCGTTGCTTGTCACAGGTTACCGTTCTTGTGATACCTGCTAACAGGACTCGATTCATCTGGACAGTGCACCACAGCCTGATTGATGGGTGGTCGATGGCAACACTGATGAGGGACTTTGCGTCCTGTCTCGATAAAATCCCACTTTCACTACCGCCACAGTTCACTGAGGTTGCCTTGGCCACAGAGCAGCTAAACCGCAAGTCTTCAAGTAAGGCTGCATCATTTTGGAAAGGCTACTTGAATGGATACGTTCCCGTTCACAGACTTAGGCTGCCGCCATCATCTGATGTCAAAGACTATACGCAGGCAACTCTGTCTCGAAAGCTCACGGTCAGCGTATCCACGCTTGAAAGTGCTGCCAAAGACAGATTTGCGGTAACACCCGCTACACTGCTCTATGCCGCCTGGGGAATTCTCATTGCACGGTACTCTGGAACAGATCGTACTCTTCTAGGCGCTGTCCTGTCCGGGAGGAACCTGGATATCCCCGGCGTGGAAGATGTCATCGGGCCCTTGATAAACACACTACCACTAAAAGTAGATGCCACAGGGTCCCAGTCTACATCCAGTTTCGTACACTCAGTATTCAGGGCACTGTGTGAGATCTTGGATTACCAGTGGTCTTCCTTTGCTGTGATCCAGGAGGGAAGCGGATGTAACCCTGCGAAGCTATTTGAAACCCTTTTTGCGTTACAGTATGACTTTCCTCAAGCTGCCTGGGAGTCTACTGAGGCGTTTTCACCACGGGATGTGCGATACACCGAAGCCACCGAAGTTCCCCTTACGGTTCTGTTGGACAGGACTAATGGCAGATTTGATGTTCGATTCATATACCGACGGTCTTACTTTGACAAGCACATCATCCAAAGGATGTTTCACCACTTCGATAATGTGCTTACAGCTCTCACGAATTCACATCCGGATGCCGATATCAGCATGATCACCCAATCTATATTCAGCCCCATAGAGTATAAGTCTTTAACCGCAAAAACGGTGCAGTCAGACAGTTTTACTAGTCCGAAGAGTTTAGTGGATGCTCTAGAGAACGCTATCGAAACATACCCTAGTATATATGCCGTTGAAGGTTTATCACAATCTCTTACATATAAAGAATTCGGTGATATCACAGCACAGGTTGCTGGACAGCTAGGGCGGCACATTCAACGGGGGAGCGTGGTATGTGTAGTTAGTGACGGCTCTATCCTCTGGGTAACTGCAATGATTGCAGTTATTCGAGCGGGAGCTGTTTACTGTCCAGTCGACCAGAAGCTTCCGCAAGCCAGAATGAAGTATATGGTTGAAAACTGTCGAGCATCTTTGATTGTGTATTGCAATGTCGAGCAACATTTAGTGGTCAATGATGTTCCTTGTCTCAGCATGCCCTCAGTGATGTCAGACATTTCTTCCACATCGATGGCGAAGCTCACCAGTAATGATGGATCCGATACTGATGGTATAGCGTGCTTGGTTTACACTTCAGGCAGTACTGGGTTCCCCAAAGGTATGGATGTCAACACGAGGGCGAAATTTCTAGTTATTGCTAAGGATATATATTGACATAATCCTAGGTGTTCCGTTGACGCATAAGGGCATCCTTAATGTGATATCTCACGAAGACGGGAGATTGTGCTCCATACCTGGCCAGCGAAATGCGCAGATGTTGTCGCTTGGATTTGATTGCTGTATCAAAGAGGTTTTTTCTACCCTTTGCTTTGGAGCAACTCTTGTGCTTAAGGATCCAGAAAACCCCATCGCCCATCTTGCCAGGGTCGATGCTACTATGGCTACTGCCTCTCTGCTCGCAACCCTGGAACCTGACGACCTACCAGGTCTAGGTGTGATTATGGTTGCTGGTGAATCCCTGCCCCAGGCCCTCGCTGACAAATGGGCCTCTGGTAGAATTCTGATTAATGGGTATGCACCAGCAGAAAGCACTTTGATAGCTACTGTAGCAAGGATATCTACTGGAGACAAGGTATCGATTGGAAAACCGTTTTCAGGTATGTCCTGTTATATCCTTGATTCCAAGCTGCGCCCAGCCCCGATTGGAGTGAGTGGGGAGATCTGTCTATCTGGTGTTCAGGTCACACCTGGCTATCTCCATAATGAACAGGAAACGGCCAAGCGCTACATTCAAGACCCCTTTCACCCTGAGCAGGCTATGTTTCGGACCGGCGATATAGGGCGGAGACTAGAGAATGGCAATGTTGAGTTTATTGGGCGAGAAGATAATCAAATCAAACTACGTGGGTTCCGGATTGATCTTGGGGAAGTCCAGAGCACATTTTCTCGAGTGGCTACAGATGCAAGCAATGTGGCGCTCCTTGTATCGAATGGGAACTTGATTGCCTTCGTGACTCCTAGCACCATTGATGTCGAAAGCCTGGGTAGAAGGCTGGAATCACAGCTTCCAGAGTACGCCGTCCCAAGGCAAATCATTCCTTTGTCCGCTCTACCGACTTCTGCAAACGATAAAGGTTGACATGTCAGCATTAGAATGCACTTGACAAGTCACTTAGGGGATAATACAAACCATGAAAATCTCAAGACGCCTACTCAACGGGCTTTGGCAGCCGTCTGGGCAGAAGTTCTCGGATGTGAACTTAGCCAAATGTCCATCAGTCCGAACACACGTTTCTTTGAACTAGGAGGTCATTCTTTATTGCAGATAAAAGTAGCTCAAACCATTTCAAAGCGATGGGATATCCATCCAATGCCCCTCAGACAGGTCATTCGCTATCAAAATCTTCAAGCCTTGTCCTCCGCAATTGACGAGCTCCTTACTATAGCAACAGAGATGTTTGTCAATCACCTCATATCTGGCTGCTCGCCAGCCGGGAATATGAGCTTTGTTTGCAAAATATCTGGTGTTGTGGACTATAGAGCTCTAGCCAACGCATTCCAGCAAGTGGCCGCAGATGAAGAAATATTTCGAGCTAGATATCATCTTGTTGACGGTGTTATGGCACGATATCTAGCGGAAGGAGAAGTCAATTTGACCCAAGTGGTCGAGGCAGTGGACTACAACCATGTTATCCACAAGACGGTTACCAAGTCGTTTGATTTAAGCGCTGAACCACCATTGGAAGTGGTGATTATTACCGGTACCCCTATGCAAGCCATACTAGTGATAGTTATGTCGCATGTGATAGGAGATGCCACCACAATGGCAACTTATCTCGAGAGAGCGTCGACTGCATATGAATTGCTCCGGTTCTCCAATACATCAGCAAAATCCGTCCCAAAAACAGACAAACTAACATATATCGACTGGGTACGATGGACCGAATCATCACAGGCGAGCCCCCAGTCCCAAAAATTCTGGCCCACTTACCTCTCTAACTTACCGAAGCCGCTAACCTTTGGCAACCATTCATCTGGGAAACTAACGTATACGGGGTCCACGAGGTCATGGACCTTGCCAGACTCGATGCTTCGTAGCATTACTCATCTCGCTACCAGGGCATCAGTAACGATGCATCACATTGTACTTGCAGCTGTCTTTTTCGGCTTACAATGTATAGACTGTCGCGATGACATTGTCTTTGCAGCTCCCTTCACCCACCGCATGGAGCGGGGGACTGAATCTATACCAGGACTTTTTCTCGACCGCCTACTTATCCGTGTCCAACGTACTCCCCACGGAGAGGAATCATTGTTCCAATTTCTTTCCACGGTTCGTGAGAGCAGCCAGCGTGCGCTAGAGCATGTTATTCCTTACCGGGAAGTCTGCAGGCTCCTCTCCCACAAGCCTAGCTTTTCGGACCCTCTATTTAAAGTCATGGTAACATGCCACACTGCCTCCGACAGGCAACCCGTATTGAATCTTAAATGTGCAGAGATCCAGAATATTCCATATCGCAATACAGGAGCTTCCAAATTCCCTCTCTCATTGGAATTTACTGTGACCCATAACAATGATCTTCGGGTTGACATGGAATATGATTTTGGCCCCATTGAAGATGATGTCGCTCTACGATTGGAATTTGCCATCGGGTTCGCGTTACAGCTTATGGTTCTTGAAATGAATCCGAGTGAGATAATAACTCTAGGGGTATCATCATTTGGGCCTGGGAAGAACGGTACAACGATCACGGATAGGCAGAGAGCGCAATTGAGAGTACCAACACTTGATCAGGTAAACCCGAATAGCTTGGAAGATTCCACAAGGATTATCAGCAAGTCTATCTGCCGATGTCTTGGTCTGGAAGAAAACGTAGTAGATGTTCAAAAATCATTTTGGGAACTTGGGGCACAGAGTATCGACGCCTTACGGCTACAGAATCTATGCAGCAGACAGCGGCTCAGAATTAGCTTGCGAGATATATTTGCCTCTGATAGTATATCGCAGTTAGTGACCTGCGCTCGCATTATTGATATATAGATAACACTAGCTTCATGTGAATACGACTGTTTGAGCAGATGCTGTTAATAATTCTCTCTAGCAGTCCCCGATGAGAAATAGAACAACCACACAGTCAGATCCCCAAGTCAGCCTAGGTACGTGGAGGGACTATTCAGGCAGAGGCCCATCGGAGCGGGTAGAACAAATCGGCCGCCGAAATTTTTGCACCCCGGCGGCCGGTGATATACAGCGGTGTCTCGAAAGTTTTGACATAGTATCTGTGGCCTGGGAAATGGCGTATATAACCTCACACGAAACCAAGTCGAATGAGGAGAACAGAGTGCACTCACACTTCCCATCAGATATCCATTGCACCACATTCAACATGGCAGTCAGTGCCGAGTCCTTGATTTCCACTCCATATGCGTTGAGAGCGCATCTCAACGGCCCACAGGACACGACATTCCACCAAGGAAGGCCGCCGAAGAAGGTAGCTAACGGTGACCATGATGCAAATGAAATCGTGCAGGCAAGCTCTTCCACACCGTACGATGTACTTACAGCCGCGCTTCCATTGCCCACTCCGACATCCTCGACGGCATATTGGTGGAAGGAGACCGGGCCCCTGATGAGCAACCTCCTAGGGAAGGCGAATTACTCCCTTTATAAACATTACAAATACCTTCTCCTCTACCATACCCATATTCTGCCACTGCTAGGGCCACGACCTCTTATTGAGGACCCAACACAAGCATCCTCGTGTAAAGCACCATGGAGATCTTTCCTGACAGATGACTTTTCTCCACTAGAGCCAAGCTGGAACGTAAGCGGGAATTCTGACTCGAGGAGTACAATCAGGCTGGGAATCGAGCCGGTTGGTTTTGATGCCGGAACGGCTGCCGACCCATTCAATCAGGCTTCAGTCGCACGTTTCTTCCGATCAAACAATGCAACAGAAGTGGGAGCGAGAGACGGCCTCTTTGAACATTTCCGCAACGACCTCTTTGTGGATTCCGAATTTTATACAGCGATAAAGGATATGCTACCCGACGGTGAGCATATGACGCAGAGCTTTCTGGCCTTTGATCTGGATACGGGTCGCGTCACTACCAAGGCGTACTTTTTTCCAATCCTCAAGGCATTAATCACTCGACAGAGCACGATAAAAGTATTATCTGACTCGATTTTGAGGTTGGCAAAGAAGTGTGATATATGGGGGATGCAGACAATTGCTGCTTTATCAATCTTGGAAGCCTGGATTGCCAGTTATGGGGGAGCCGCTAAGGCAGAGATGATCAGCGTGGATTGTGTTGACGATATCGAATCTCGTATCAAAATATATGTCCGGGTGCCATATACCTCCTTGCGAAAAGTAAAGGAGGCATATTCCCTAGGTGGGCGTTTGACAGATGAAAACACAGCTGAAAGCCTGCTTCTCCTAGACAGCCTTTGGAGAACAACCTTCGGGGTAACCGATGAAAATGCAGAATTGCCACATAACCATCATCGGACAGCGGGGACAATTTTCAATTTCGAATTGCGTCCAGGAAAATTGTTTCCAGAGCCAAAGGTGTATTTGCCCGTTCGCCATTATTGCGACAGTGACCTGCAAATTGCTAGTCGGCTGCAGGAATTTTTCGGCACGCTTGGATGGCATCAAATGGAGAGAGATTATTGTAAGGATTTCCAGGATTTGTTGTAAGTCACCCAGATGATTCATTTATTCCTGTGGCCTCCGTAGCAATTTCTTCAGGCGGTCTGCAGAATCCAGTACTAACTCGACAGTAGTCCCAATCATCCACTCTCTACGTCAACAGGAACACATACATACCTTTCATTTTCTTATAAAAGTAAGAAAGGAGTATATATGACGATGTATTACAACCCACGGGTGTATAGCACACAAGAAAAGGAGATATAGACACTTGACAGGTTGTATGTACTCCGTTGTTAGGGAAGATTCCTCGTCTCTTTTGAAGTAGGTAGTGTTGTGTTGGATGGTTATTTCCTCGTTTTATATAGAATCGGTGACTAAAGGTTGAGTGTGTTAGCACTTTACTTTGAATTGTCGCATTATGCTTTTTGTTTTTAATATTCATAAAAAAATTGATATGGAAAGTAAATACTCATGGATGATCAACTGATGATATTCAATAAGAGTTGGGATCACTTGGATCAAAATTCCAAAAACCCTAGAAAAAATGTTAAAACAGAAGTAATATGTCAAGCAAGGGATTGAAACTACTTGCCCAGTCAAAAGCCATGGATGGATCTTGCATATCGAGGCTTCCCACTTCCGATAGAGTTGGATATGGTACCCCTGTCGTTGCAGTCACTTCGGACGGTCGGGACTCTTCGAGCGTCTGAGGAAAATTCAAACTTCCCTGGTGTGGATCGAAGATGGCCTGCGATGGTGCCGAAAACAATATACTCGGCGCATTTTTAGCTAGGCAATTTGAGATAATTCGATTGATAACATTCCACGTGGAACTGAGCTCCAATACTCTCGTATCCATTGTCTTCTTCAAGACAGCTAGCGCACGGGACCGGAGTAAATTATGGTTTAAAGATTGGAATTCCGGGGTTCCAAGCTCAGATACGATGTGCATGATCGCTTGGAAGCAGGCATGCCCACCGATATGCCACTGGAATTTTTGAGCATCTTTGTCATCAGGCATCATATTCATACTTTCCACTAAGCTGATTGATTTCGTCAAAACCCTGTACAAGTCTGTTAGTTACATTTTCAGTCTCATATATTCTCAAGCGGGACACAGGCACACCAGCTTACGTTTGTCGGATCTCAGGGGCAACTACAGCCTCTCTATACTGCTTTGGAGTCCGCAACCAGAAGATAGACCAACATCGCCATTCTATGACAGCAGAAAGCCCAAGAGCCAGGCGTTGGTCAGCAACACTAGCGTCACAATATTGCAGGTATTGAGTTTGAAGGTGGACAGTCATTTCTTCAACCATACTCCGGACCTCGATAAACAGTGTTTGAAGCTCTGTAATCGGGTATACGCTGCTGTTGCCATTGATAATTGAAGACTTCATGCGCCGTTCTAACCGATAGGTGCTCCTAACAATTCTCCTGAAACAGTGAATACCATTTAATCGAATCAGGTGGCCGGTCATATCTGTAAATCCAGGAGGGGAATATGTTCCTGTAATTGGGTGTTCACCCTCAACAAGGTCATCATCATTGATGTTTCGAGGTAAAAGGGTCGTATAATCCTCATCAGCTATCGTAGGTTCTTGGCCTCTCCCTTCAGCAGAGCGGAAGTCGAGGTGACATATCTGATGCCACAGTCTGCGACGAATTTCGACCTGAACGACATCCATATTATTTGAGGGGAATAATGAGGGTTCCCTGTGGAGACCTTGAGATAATGCTATGCGAACAGCAAGGCCAAGCAGAGTCCACGTCCTAGACATGTCATCCTCTCGAGATTGGCAAGTCTATACAGTATTCAGTAAGATATGTGGTAAAGGTAGATAGATAAGGGTTACACTAACTAGCAGGAGTACAAATGCCTGTAAAACTTCGATTCTTGGTGTAGTTAAGAAACCTTCTCTTCCAAGCCCGTGTTCCACTCCCCTTTGGAACTGAGCAAGGAGAGTTCCTTTTTCGGCAGCAAAGCGTATCTGAACAGTCTCAGCAGATAGACTGTTGATAGCTGAATAAAATATTGCCAATGCCAAGGGTTCAAATGTGTGTATTGCTGGAGTTGAAGCCGGCATTACGCCATCTTCCCCTGGAGGGTAGGTCCTGGTGCCATATATCTCCTGGACATATTGAAGGAATCGTTTGTGGAGGGAAGGTTTGTGAACAAGCCTGGTTATTGGGTCAACGTTGGAATAGAATATGTCAAGCAGTGAGAAGCATTCCTCGGCCGTTTTAGGTGCCCACGCTACAAGGCTGTCCGCCGGAGGCTCTGTGGGGAATGACGTAGAAAATGGGAACGGCGCCGTGGCTTGTTCCAGTGGCGGGGGGCTTTCTGTGGAAGAACCACTGGTGCGATCTCCTAAAAGCATTTTTACATCGTGAATCTAGTATTGTTATAGAACTTGAGCATTTGAAAGTATGCAGTTAGAAGAATGCGCGCGCTTCGTACCTCGTCGGCCAAGAGAGCATAGTGGAGAGACGACACCCAGCGTGACTGCCCACCCTCTGCCTCCAGAAGCAGAGCTCCGTCGTAGCCATCGGTCGACAAGGTTTCAGATCTAGGGCCCAGCGTTTTGATATCGGTTGCTGTACCCCCCTGATCAGCAACGTCAATGGGCGTCCGTGGGCCAGGAGCTTGGTCAACATGAGTGTCGGGAGAGTGGGACAGGTTATCGCCACCACATATCGCTCGTTCCAGTAATTTCTCTAGCCTCTCAAGGCGAGTCCGAATCTCGTCCTGTCCAGCTCGTAGGTTGCTGGATCGCGACGCTCGACTGGCAGCCGGTGTATGAGAGGCAGCAGCCTGAGGTTGGTTCGGCTGCGAGGTAACGTATGTACATTCACGATTTCCCCGGAGACATGGTGAGCAAGTAGGCTGTCCATGATCACATTTGACCTTTCGACGGCGACAGGTCAGACAGGCTGCAATAGCACGCTGTCGACTTTTCTGTATGCCCCCCGACGGGCCGGACTGCAACGTACCGACCAAGGGCCGTGGAGTTGGGGTTGGGGCATCCATTAAGTTGTGGAAAGGCCAGCAGGCAGCCTTCCCCTTACACAGAGCGCGGTATCTTGCTAACAACCCGGCCGCAAGAAAGACGAAGCTGAGAATCTGTCTAGTTAGACGTTCGACGTTGTCAGAAGATTTTGATATCAAAGAAGCGAGGAGAGTCACGTGATCAGGAATTCTTGTATAGATCTAGAGCAACAGAATATATAGAAGGAGAGGAGAGAACGTTTTAGTATGTTATACGGTATTGACATATCATCAGGGATATATTGGGCATACATCAGGTAGACAGGCTGCTCACAGCTTCTAGCTACGGAGTAGTTGAGCGTAAACTTGGGTGAATGAGATAAATGGAGATTGAAAACGCTTCGTTTCGATAACTTGAACGTATTGATAAATATTCATAAGCTTTCTACTTACAGCCCCTTATATAACCGGAGTCAATATAAGTAAGTCAGGTATATCTATGCTAAATATGGGGGCTGCCAGTACCGACGTTTAATATATATATATAGGAGGGATAGAAAAAGAAAAAGGGTGAAGAAAAATAGAAAAGCAAAAGGTAACTAGTGAAGTAGAGAAAGAAAAAGGAGATTGAAGAATGGTTATGAATAAGCACATAACTGAAAAACATTTCAAGTTGTAAGATAACAATATAAAGAGGCAACGAGGTTACCTACACGACAACCGTGGTCATTAGAGCTTCTACCTCTTCTTTCTTGCGCCTTATACATTGGTTCATGTAGTCTTGATCAACAGCAGACAGGTTTCGAGAAATACTTTGGGGTATAGCACTAGTTTGTTCTGATTTGGAAGATTCATATTGTCCAGATGGCTCGTTAATGGGCTCCAAGGGCTCGTTGACCAGGTTCTGTAGCGCATCTAGGGTCTGCCTACCCTTTGACAGAATCATCTTAAGGAGGACATTCTGGATCGCCTGCCCTTCTTCCTTGCTAACCTTGTAATCACCGAGGCAGCACGAAATGCGGTGGTGCTCTTCTAGAGGTATTACACTGCGGTTATTCATTGTGAGTAGCTCAAACAGTTTGAAGATAAGTTCTATCGCCGAAAAGGTGAGTAGAATCAAGGGAAACGATTTGTCGCACGCGCCACAGGCAATGAAGCGTTCACAGGTGTCCAGGGTTGAAGTTACTGATTTCATGGCCAGATCAAATCGATCAGATATGTCACGGCAGGTAAGTTTATGCAGAGCAGCTATGTTTGTTGCCTGGGTCTGAACGCAGGCACAGGCGTTTCCCGTAAAACCTAGAGATGCAGTATGGCCTGGCTGATGCTCCGAAGTTGCAGGTGAGTTTGGCTCAGTACCCTGGTCCATATAGAGCTCGCCTTTAGCGAATGATATTGGGGTGGCGAGAGCTTCGAGGCTATCTGCTCTGCTCCCACCAGATGCCTCAATAATCGAGCCTAGGTCCATAGCCCAGGAATCCAGGTCATGTAACGATGGCAGACCATCACCTGTCATATCAGCAGGTTTAATACTTTGGCTGGCAGGTGCTATAGGTGGGGAGAGCGACCGATCGGTCATAGATGTCTAAAGGTGGCTCGGTTTAATATTAGACATTGACGGCGTGTTTGATTCTGCAAATTCGGTGTACTCACCGGCTTCCAACATTCAGGGGAGCCAGACGTGACAGGAAAAAGCGTCAAGGGGTTGGATATATCAAAGTTCATGTCCTCGAACCCTCGGTCAGGATCGCAAGGCTGCGGGTTATTCGCAGCATACCATTCCAGTCGCTGCTGCCGATGCGCCCTTTCGATTGTCTTGCGATTCTTACAGCCCTTGGGCTTTCCTGCTCTATTTTGATAGCCGTAGCGACAAGATAGGCCCTTCGATGCACAGCGAAAGCAGGGAGAGCCTCCTGAGCATTTGACCTTGCATTGGTGACACGAGTCACAAGCAGACCGCAATTTTTGCTTATGCTCTCTATCCTGTCGTGGCGGTGGTGATACAGGAGGATTCCAAGTAGGCATTTCAGAGGCCATCTTTGCGCTATTCAAAAAAGGAGGGGTATAGAGGGTGATTTCCATGAAGCTCAGTGGGGGACCATCTTTAAGGAACAATTTGTTGCTTTTTAGATAAGAGGCTCTGAGCAGATGGCTTAAAATACAAGAAAGCTGAGAGGTCCGAAAAAATGCGTAGGATCATGGAGGAACGAGTTCCAGGGCGCCATGTTTTCCATGCATCCATCTAAAGCCATGCATTGGTTACTACAGAGTAAGAAAAGAATACGAGCGCGAGGTAATGTCGCCTATACGAAAGGATGCTGCAGCCGCGTGGAATAACATGGATGTGATAGGGTGAGACGGGGAATTAAGCGTGGAGCCACCATCCTTGACGTGAATTGGATGGCCAGGCACAGCTAGATCGAGGCTATGAGTGAGGAGCATAGTCAGCTATAGTATATACCTGAGCATAAACCGCATACACACCCACAAATATGCAGGCGTATATTGAGTACAGACACCAGGAAGCGCTGATTGAATGAGAAAGTTAAGCGGAGACACATTCTTGGGCGGTTTATTATAGCCGGCATTAAGGTCCCATAAAACCTCATCCTGTAGGATAAGATAAATTGCCGAAGACGCAGGTTGTTCGAAATGAACCGTTCCGTTATGTTTCCATAGTTCCTCTTCAAGCTTCCTCAAGCTTTGTCTCGCCTATCTTCGACTGGTTTCGTTTAGCTCCATGCATAGGACAACTTTTATAGCTTTCTCTACCATCTCTCTTATTCTCTCATACAAATGTTATCGCAATTCCCTCTCTCTTCTCTAGCATCCTTCTTACGATGCTGTATTCCTCTAGACCCTATAGGCTGCTCAGTCTCCGAACCCCTGACTTCGGGATCTAGAAGGCTACTAGTATACTAGTAGAGCCAGGAGCAGAGTAAAAGAAAGGGGCTGAGGAGCTGAGCAGCTGAGAGCCTGACGGTGAGGAACTAAGCCCTTAATTTGGAAGGTTGCAGTCTGGAAGCGAGAAGAAGAGGCAGCCAAGGGAGAGAGAGGGAGTGAAATGAGTCTAGCGAGCAGGAAGCAAGCAAGCAACAACTAAATGTAGGAACTGTGAATTTTATAATCGCAAGGCCAAGGTAGAAAATTCGTTTATTAAGCAGTTGCATGGTAAGCAGGAACGACGTCAAGAGAAGGCCCAAAAATAAACTAAAAATAAAAAAAAAAAAAAAAGACCCACTTCCCTCGGCCGAGCGTTGTGGGGTGCCAAGGACCGAGTAGTGGACCCACTTCCACACGTTCGGCCGAGCGCCAAGCTCTCGAAGAGTGGGTCCTCCACACACCTTATACGGAAAATCAGGTGATGATCAACCAGCTATGACCCTACTTTATTTGCCTTTATATCCTATACATACATAGTAGATACCCGCGCTCGGACAGTATTTGCTTCCCGCACCGAGTAGAGCTGTTGCTATTGTGATATGGAATAATGGAAGAGTAGTCACTCTGGGCCGCATGACCGAAGTTAGGACGCATACCCGAAGCCGAAGCTTCGCCTTAAAAAGATGGCCCTTGCCATGGATGGCTTTACCTTGGCTGAAGAGTTCGAATTTCTACTTGAGCATCAATCTTCAGCCTTCAGAAACAAGTGCAAGCGCAGCTATTTTCCAAAATGTCAGCCTCACCGTCCGATGACCCCATTATGAAGGAGGAAGAGGGTACTCCTGCCGCTACCAAAGTTATGGACCGCGTCCCTCCCAATGGTGGCGCCAAGGCATGGGCCTGTGTTGCTGGCTCATTTCTTCTTCAGTTCTGCTCTTTTGGCTATGTCAATGCGTAAGTGGGATGCTATTCCACAAACCATGAAGCATCCTAGATTCCCAGCTGGCTAACAAAGTTTTCCCATACCTTTCTAGCTGCGGTATCTTCCAGCTGTACTACCAGCAAACTATGTTCAAGGAGCAAAGCTCGTCGTCTTTGGCCTGGATCACAACCCTTCAGATATTTTTACTATTCCTGTTCGGCCCCGCGGTTGGAAAACTAATTGATGTCTACGGTTGTCGCAAGACACTTCCTCCCTTCAGCATCATGGCTGTCTTTTCTGTGTGCATGCTCAGTCTATGCACCCAGTACTGGCAGGTTATGTTGGCTCAAGGCGTTGCCTTTGGGTTTGCTGCTGCAGGATTATCCCTTCCCGCAATGGCAACAGCCACTCAGTGGTTTTCTACCAAAAAGGGCCTTGCAGTGGGGATTGTCTCGGCTGGTAGCAGCCTTGGAGGGATCATCTACCCGTGCATGCTTCCCCGTTTAATTGAGGAAGTCGGCTTTGCTTCTGCCGTTCGCTGGACTGCTCTGATGCAGGGAATACTCTTGATAATCGCCAACGTTCTCTGCTCATCCCCATTTCCCCCGCTGAGCAAATCGTCCCCCACCGAGAAGGGTGTCGATGCTCCTCGGAGCAGTGGAATCCAAGGATTCAAAAGCTGGCCCTGGGCGTTCTTCATTCTTGGATGTTTTTTTACGATGTGGGGTCTCTTTGCACCTCTCAACTACCTCCCTGAGATGGCAGCCCTACATGGCTTTGGATATTTCGCCCAATACACCTTAGCCATTGCCAACGCTGGATCACTCATCGGTCGAATCGTACCTGGGTGGGCTAGTGATATCATCGGCCAATTTAATGCCATGTTTCTTGTTACCACACTTTCAGGTGTCTTGGTCTTAGCCTTTTGGCTTCCACTGGAATTCCATACTTCCTTAGCTGGTGTCATTGTCTTTGCCTTGCTCTTCGGGTTTGTCAGTGGTGGGTTTGTCAGTCTAGGCCCCCCCTGTGTTGTCTCTCTCGCAGACGATCGTGTGGACGAGATTGGCGTGAAGCTTGGTGGTTTCTGTTTAGCAATTGCTTTGGGTGCCCTCACTGGGCTTCCTATCGAGGGAGCAATTAAGGACAGAGAAGGTGACAAATTTATAGGCCTGATGTGCTTTGCAGGGGCAACCATGTTCCTTGGAGGTTTCTGTATTGGCGTTGCTCGAGTATTAAAGGGGGGCTCAAGTCTCATGAAAAAGGTCTAACAAACACACAAAGCTATACCTCTATGCACTACAACCCACTAAGCGCCGGAGTTATCTCGATACATCCATAAAAACGTCCAGAAAGTGGGCCCTTCAACTATTATACCCTTATTAAATTATATGAATATAGAATTAATCTTAAACAGTGGCTTACCCCTGTACGACTAGAACGTTATTTACTATAATACTAATTACTCGTTTAGTTACTTAACCAATTATATGCAGGATACTCTGTGTAGGTAGATTGTGATAGCATTCTTCAAGATAGCATGGTTATATTTGATTGACTACAACTAATAACTAAAGAACAAGTTATGGAGTAAAAACATTCCGTATCTAATTCCTTCCGTTTAGCTCAACGGACTATCAGTGAGGCTTGGATTTTACAGCTACCTAAAATAGACAACGTTCTTCATTCGTTACATGCGGCCCTTAAAAACATATTGAAACTCCTTCTCGCCGACGCCGACATAGTATATACCCCGAAGCATGGCCTGTTTAACCACCGAGTCGGAAGCTGCCTACATATACTAGTAGAGAAATGATGCAAAACGAGGGCATAATCTATGCAGACTCTAGGTTAGCAGAGCATCTATCACGAAGTACCAAAAATGGAGAGGGCCGAATTTACTACCATGGACTTTCTTCCTGTACCTTTGATTCCACTAAGTATTGGGGTCGCAGTTCTGGTGGTAACCCTTGTAGCCCTTTTGGTGTCTCCCGGAGAAATAGCGGACGCAGTTTTTAACGTAAGGCGCTAAAGCAGTTGAGCAGTTGTTAATAGTTTATCGAGTGCTAACAATCGATACAGGCGTTTCTAACGTCGACACATAGCATCTATGATACGAGCGGGAAGAAGGCCATGACGGGCCCTCCGTATAAATTCCCAAATGGCCAGATGGTAGACAAATTTTTGGATGCCAAAAATAAGAGCTGGGAGTGGGAGGAAAAGTACGGGAAGACGTATCGCATCTGGGCTGCAACTATACCTGAGGTGTATGAGTGCCTTCTTTGCTCCAGCTGGTCATCATCACTGGCGCATCTATTGTGGAATATGCTAACAAACATTGCTGCAGTGTCATAACAGACCCAAAGGACGTCGAGGCCCTATATCGCCAGTCCACCGATCACCTCAAGGCCTCCCAGGCTAATGCAGGATGGCTCCTAACACAGCTGCTTGGATCTGGGCTCGGCTTGATCAACGGAACCCGCTGGACGGGCCTGCGAAAGGCCCTTGATCCGATGTTTTCGCACCAGGCGTCTATGAAATTACTTCGAGAGAGTCTGGATGCTGGTGCAGCGGCATATGCAGCAGATATAAATCAATTTGCGTTGACCGGCAAGCAAGATGCAGATAGAGATGGGATTATAATCAATGCTACAAACGCATTGCAGCGCTATCCCTTCTTTGAAGTCGCTTCTATATTTTATGGAAAGATGAGTGAAGCGGAGCAAGAACGGTTGTGGGAACTTGGCCGCTCCTACTCAGAAGTCTTCGCGTCAGTAGTGACTGGCGGCATCCATCGTCTGAAGCTGACGAAGTATCTCAATACTGGTGTCTGGAAAAATACAGAAAAATATCAAAAGGCGTGGCAAGATTTCAACAATGAAATGTACGAGTCCAGAAAGGCCTTGGCCCCTCCCTGCGCAATTGTGACCCTCATCGAGGCTGCCAAAAGGGGCGAGCTGACCCAAAACGAGGCATGTAAATATACATGTTACCAAAGTTCGAGAAGAATCTACTAACACCTGTTGTAACAGGTGTATGACACGATTGCTGAATCAACTTTCGCGAACTTGGATATTGTTACCCAAGTCATCTCGTCATGTGTTATTCTCCTGGCTGACGCCCCGGATGTTCAGGCTGATCTCCTTTTGGAAATGGAAAAGAACCGGGCAAATACTGAGGAGTATATACCACGAAAGGATACCCTTCTGCATTACTGCTTGATGGAATCTCTGCGTCTTCGGCCCGTTCTAAGTAAGTGTGAATATCAGACGAGCCCCGAGTAGACAACGATTAACGAAATATCGCTAGCATTCACATTCCCTGAGAACCCCCCGAGGGAGAAGGTATTGGGCGGTTTTTCCATCCCCAAGGACACCACTATTATTGTGGATGCTTTCGCAATTAACATCCGCAACCCGTTTTGGGGCCCTGATAACCGCTCATACCGGCCCAGCCGTTTTGCGTCCATAAAGCAGAGCCAGGTGAGGACAATATATAAGCCTGACTGGCCAGAGATTTCCGCGCTAATATAAGAACTATGTCAGCTCCGCTATAACTTGGCAACCTATGGTTATGGCCCGAGAAAATGTCTCGGCCAGCATATTGCCGACAAAATAATCAAGTCCGTGTTATATCACCTTTTCAGCAAATACCAGATTTCTCTGCAGCCAATGCAAGCTCTCGATGGGGAATTCAAAGTTGACAAGACAAGCTGGGTAGGGCTCTATGATGTTAACTTGAAGCTGAAACCCAGGAATGAGAATATGGGAGAGGCTCGAATTTAAAAAAGGTCCTCTATATGAAGAGATACAATCATGTTAATGATGACTCCTAGTATCGTTCCCCTTAAAATGTATGGGTATTATCAAAATTAAGAGCAAAATGAAATAGTGATAACCCAGTAGAGATGTCCATGCAAAAGGGGCCACTTGTTAAAATGTGCCCAGGGCGGAAAACCAACCTTGAGCATGATGAAGAGCAGTCCGGATAAGGTGACGTAGAAAACATATGAGTACCGAAATGACCTTCGGCGCATATCCAGCGGCGCGATGGTGACGCCGAGAAGGTCCGTTGGAGGAATAGCTGCTAGCCGAAGGACGTATATAGAATTGCTCGATACCGGCACAATTAGAAATCATCACAAACAAAGCTTACAAGAAGATAATTAGATACAACGATGGATGATATTAAGGAAGAGCTGCTCTCGCGTCTTTCGGGCTCAAGTGTGGTGACAGTGCATGGCGATGCAAACTGGGAAAACGCGCAAAAACGCTGGACGCAGTATCGACGACAACTCCCAGCGGCAGTGGTCAAGCCTGCAAACGAAGAAGACGTTATCAAGACCGTTAGGAAGAGCCGTTTCATTTCTCTCTCCCCGCCTCTCTATGATTTAAGACAGTCGTCTGATTCAACTGTCAACCATAGATCACGTACGCAGTGCATAGTAAGAGGCCGTTTGTGGTCAGAGGAGGCGGACACAGCAATGGCTTCTCAACCATCGGCGGCCCTGGAATTGTCATAGACCTCTCCCGGATGAGGAATGCCTCTGTCAATGTAGAGCGACAGACACTGGTTGCGCAAGGAGGTGCAACCATGGGCGATGGAGTGGCAGCTGCCGCTTCGGTCGGGCTGGCTATTACCACAGGAACATGCAACGAAGTAGGCCTGGTGAGTAGCTATTATCCCAAAAAAATATCAGAGAACAACAAATCTCTAACAAAAAGGAGCCAGCTCGGCGCTGCGCTGGGAGGAGGGATTGGCCGTTTCCTCGGACACTGGGGATACGCGGCAGACACGATAATTTCGATGAGAGTTGCCGTAGTGGATGGCAACGGGACGGTTCGAATAGTCGAGGCATCGCGTGAGGCCAATCCAGATCTCTTCTGGGCTCTTCGTGGCAGCGGTCATATGTTTGGAGTAGTCGTAGAGGCTACCTTTCAAGCGTTTCCGTGGAGCCACGAGACATGGCATAGCTGCCTCGTTTTCCGGCCTTGTGACGCTGGCTTGGTGGCAGAGGCAATCGACCAGGTCAGCTACAGGGGAGGTATGCAAGGCCGGCTGGTTTTTTGTGCGCCCAACAGCCAGGTAGAAAGAGATCATAAGCCACTCGAAAAGGGATCTAGGCTAACAGAAGGCGTTCACTTTAGCCAGTTATTCTCCTACAGCTATGGTACCTAGGCAAACCGGAGGAGGCTGCTAGTAGATTTCAGCCTCTACTAGACCTCCCATCCGTTACAGACCACCCACTGCAATTCATCGGCCGTTTGATACCGTACGCGAACCTGAACGACTCCAGCGAGCGAATCTGCAACTATGCCGGGAGGAAAAACCTGGCAGCCTTTGGCATGAAGACCATGTCGGCAGCCTCCTGCACCGCAGCCCTCACAGTCTACACGGACTTTATCACCAAACACCCTGAGGCTGCCAAGACACATATCCTTATTGAATTCTATAGCATGCATGTCGTTAAGGAGCTAGATCCGGAGGGAGAGGAAACCTCCATCTCCAGAGAGATGAGAAAGGACGTTAAGTACTGGGTGATGCCCCTTGCCTGGTATGAAGATGCGGCGTTGGACCATGCTTGTGCTGGCCTAAACCAGGCCGTCCGAGAAGCGTTTTTAAGCCAGCCAGATGGCACCCGAGCGACGAGCGTTGGCTACGTCAGCATGCCTTTTGAAGACGATACAGCAGACAGCGTTTTTGGCGGCAAGGAACGGCGGCAAAAGCTTCATAATATCAAGCAGAAATGGGATCCCTTGGGTGTCATTCGGGGTATCATCAGGCTCACTCCCCTAGTCAACTAAATATGCAAATATATATCTATACATATATAGATAACTGCTAGATATAACATGTCAAATACGAGCAGGAGTAGCAAATGACGCGCTGTTTAAGATATACAAGAGCATGAATGTGTATAAATATATGTATGTTTGTTAGCTTTACCTGCAGATAAAATCTTTGCTCAATATCTTCCAGGAGCAGGAACATGTGACCTGACTAGGCATATGACTAAGCATATGACTAAACATAAGAAAGAAACCAAGTTTAGTGTGTCTTGGCGCCAAGTTTTAATATGGGGCTTTATCATGTGACAGTACGCCGATCTTGATTATGTAATCATTACATAATACTGTTAAATCTCGAGTTTTTATACGTATTGGAAGCGGCAAGTTGAATCGTCTCTATTTAGTGTTACTATGATCCTATAACTGTAGTAACATGGGGGTGTTATCCAGCTAGCCGGTTCTCTATGTAAGCTAAGTATTTTTATATCACTTCGCTTATAGATGGAGTTTCCCGGCTCTATAATTCAGCTATGGTTAGTAGTAGTTATCAAAGCTTTTCAGAAGACTAGCCAAGTCATGCTCAGTCATCTGTGCATAGATAATTGTTGCGTAGCATCATGTTATGGCTAGGCGCGGTGTTTGATGAAGAGACGGGTATTCTCTATCAACTGTCTATTAAAATATGTACGGCTCGAGTGACCTATAATACAACAAATATAAGGACGGGGCCTCCCCCCCCCCAAAAAAAAAAAATATGAGTGAAACAGGAGTCCTCAAATTATCTGTCGAGGGCTTGCGACTCGCACTAGGACTAGCGTCAGGGGAATAGCTCTTATTGGTGAAGGAGAGGATAACATACCATCTGATAATATACGCCTCGTTTCTTGAGCAGACTATGATGACTACCGCTTTCGACGATGCCGCCATCTCCAAAGACAAAGATGACATCGGCATTCTGCACTGTAGCCAGGCGGTGGGCAACAACCAGTACAGTCCTGCCTTTTGCTGTCCGTTCGATCGCAGCCTGCACCAGCTTCTCCGACTCAGAGTCTAGACTGGATGTGGCTTCATCGAGAAGCAACAGCTGCGGGTTCCTTATAAGCGCTCGGGCTATACATATACGCTGCTTCTGGCCACCGCTCAGCGCCAGGCCCTTTTGTCCAACTTCAGTGTTATACCCTGCCACGAAGTCAGTTAAAGCGGTTGAATGTCGGGAAACGCTAGAGTTACTGACCATCAGGAAGAGAAGAGATGAAGTCATGGATCTCAGCGTCACGGCACGCTTGATGCACTTGTTCTGTGGTCACGCTCTCTGGATCAACCCCAAGTGTGATGTTGTCTCGGATTGTGCCTAGAGAGATATTTTTAGTATCCTTCAGGATTACTGTATATAAGGGTTGTACTTCATACCCTGATATAGTGTTGGCTCCTGAGATACCAACGACAAGCCTTGACGGTAGGGCTTCAGGTCAAGCGAACTGAGCTCGGTCCCGTTGAGGCGAATTTGGCCTCCTTGATAGTCATAAAAGCTGGCCTGCGTTAGCAATGCCGATAATTTACCTGTATACCATATCTAACCTACCGCTCAAGAATCGAGATAACGGACGTCTTTCCGCATCCTATAGAGCGTTAGATTAAACGAAAAATATCTAAGGGGGAAAAGATACCTTACCCGAAGGGCCAACAAGGGCTGCAAACTGCCCCTTTCCAACCTACAACATCTGTTAGCTCAAGAGCTGATGCAGAGACAGGCCAACATACCGTAAAAGAGAGATTCTTGAAGACCGGAACGTCTCGTGAAGGATATTTGAAGTTTACCGACTTGAACTCAATCTCCACTCCACCCTCACTTGGATCGAGGACGGCTTTGCTCTTGTTGTCGTCTGGTGAGGGCCTGATGCTCATAATGCGGTTCGCAGCAGACTTGGCCTGTGCAAGATCTGTGCTTGTTAGCGTCGCTCGCAGGAAGTGAGCGATTGTAACTTACTTGGACTGATACTTCCAAAATGTCCTGCCGCTTGACCTCCCTTCACAATATTTAGTAATCTAGAGAATTACATGTATAAAGACTTGGGTGCAACATACCAAGACAACGGCAATGTAGATGACGAAAAACTGCAGGACATCGTATTCGTGCGTACTGAGTAGCTGGCCGCCATACCAGAAACACAGAGCCATGCAGGGGAGATCAAGACTGTCTGATGCCGCAAATATGAGAGCAGCAACTCTGGCCTTGACGAAGGCAGAGTGCACGTGGTGCTGTAGCAAGCCTGCATACCTGTCTGCGATGTGGTCCTCAAGAGTGAGGGAGGTGACTGTGCGAAAGGCTCCAAAGGCTTCTGAAGCAAACTGGGAGCTCTCCTCAAAGACAGCGGCGTTCATCTTGTCGAACTGGACCTCATACCGGACCCGGACGAACATTGCGATAATGATGAGCGGGAAAGCAGAGAAGATTGCGACGAGGGTCAACTTCCATCCAAAGGCGAAAGAGATGGCAATGCAGCCGGTCACGTTGAAGACAGATATGATGGGGAACGCCATGGTTGGACCAAGAAGTTCCTGTAGCTGAGTAGAATCAGAGGATATGCGTGACGTCAGAGAGCCAGCGGAGTTTTCATCCTTATCGAAGAAAGCGATAGGTTTGCGGATCATGCTGTCAAAATACTCTTGCCGGTATGTCGTCGAAACATACTGCGTAGAATGTTAGGGGTGGACGGCCTAGTATAAGTATGGTACTTGATGGGACATACAGTTGATATCGACATGGACATCCATCCTAGGATGAAGTAGAAGAAGGCCACGGCCAGGGCGAGAACAAAGAACATGAGAGCCCAAAAGTTCGTTCGCTCAACCAGTTTTCGGCCCGTAAGCTGGAAGACGGTGATGAGCTGGGAGAAGAGGTAGCTCTGAATAGAGTACCCGGCTGATCACGCTGCAGTTAGTGGTGAGCGGTAATATAATAAGAAACGAGAAGGACATACCTCCGCAGCCAGCAGCTCCGATGAGGACACCGACGTACAGGATCCAGTACTTGCGCTGCTCCCACAGCAGGACACCGACGGAGTCGAGGAGCGACTGCTCCTTTGGTGACTCTTCAGGCAGAGTTAGACCCTGCTCCGGGTCAGCATCATCTGGCTGAGAGGCAACGGTAGACTTTGTCCTGGAGACGGTAAGCTGGGAGCCGTCCTTTTCATGTTCGGAGCCAACCGGTACAGGCTTCTCATTGCCATCTTCCATGTCGAGTTGCTGGTTATGCACAAGACTGTGGTAGAGGCCTTCGCGAGCAAGCAGTTCTTCATGAGTACCTGACTCGATAGCGGTACCCTTGCGCAGGACAATGATCTTGTCTGCCTTTTTGATAGTAGACAACCTGTGGGCGATAGTAATGGTGGTGCGGCCCTTGGAGACCCGGTCGAGGGCTTCCTGGACGATACGCTCGCCACGCACGTCGATGGCGCTGGTAGCTTCGTCTAGGACCAGGATAGACGGCCTCTTGATGATGCTGCGAGCGATGGCGAGTCTCTGGCGCTGGCCGCCGCTCAACTTGATTCCATTCTCCCCGATCACCGTGTCGTATTTCTACCAAGTTAGCATAACTATCCCTTTTAGTCCTTTTTTTTAAAAAAAAAGAAAGAAAAGAAAGACTAGGGTAAGGCACACCTCTGGCAGCTTATCAATAAACTCATCGGCAAAGGCCTCACGGCAGGCCTCAACGACGAGCTGGCGCTGGACATCTTCTGACTCATGTTCCCACTTGGAGCCAACGAGGCCAAAGGCGACGTTGCGAAAGATGGAGGTGTTGAAAGAGAAGGGCTCCTGTTGGACGAGGCCGATCTGGGAGCGCCACCACTTGAGGTCGAGCTCATCGATGCTGTGAGGGCCTATCATGATAGATCCGTTTTCTTTTCTTTCATCCGTATCTTTTTCATCCGTATCTTTTTCATCCGTATCTTTTTGATCCGTACTTTTTTCATCCATAACCTTTCCACTCCTGTCTTTTCCATTGTTTGTCTCCTGGCTGTGATCTAACTGATCCGACAGCTGGTACCACCGCTCGAGCAAGGCGACGATGGTACTCTTGCCGCAGCCTGAAGGCCCAACAAGAGCAGTGACCTTGCCGGTGGGAAAGACGAGGGAGAGACGGTCGAGGATGGTAACTCCAGGCCTGGTCGGGTAGGCAAAGGTGACGTCCTTGAAGACGAGCTCTCCGCAGCCGGCGAGGTCGACGTCCTTGATGCCCGTAGCAATGACGGGCAGTTCATCGATGACGGTAAAGTAGCGTGCAGATGCAGAGATGGCCTTGGAGAGCGCAATGATCGGGTTGGCGATAAACGAGACCGCTGACACCACGATGATGACCGAGAATATGACCCTGTAGACGTTAGTGTATATTATATATGTATGTGTGTGTGTGTAGGCCTACGTAGCGACTGGGCCGGCGTCAGAGACGTTACCGGCGGTGAACTGCCTGACACCGAACCAAAAGGTCAAAGCAAAGTTGCAGTACATGGCAAAGTTGGTCGGCCCCAGCTGGAAACCGACGACAGGAGAGACTTGCAGGCCCCTACGCCTGGCCTCGGCGACATGGACGGCATGACGGGCGACGAGGCTCGACTGAGCACCGCAGGCGACGACGGTGCGGACAGAGGAGAGGGCCTCGCCTGCGACGGCGGTGGCACGCTCGTTGGCAGCCTCGACAGCCTTGAAGAGGCGCAGGTAGAAGGGGATGACGAGCGAGTAGACCAGCAGGATGAAGAGCAGACAGGAGGAGGAGACCAGCGTCAGGGACCAGGAGCGGGAGAAGGCGACGGCGTAGGCTGCCACGACGAGGGCGGCAGACTGGACCAGCACGGCCAGCCTGTCAGATATGCCGGCCTGGATGAGGTTGGAAGACGCCGTGATGGTGTCTGTCGGACGACCGACGGGCATGGCGTCGAGATAGGCGACCGGCTGACGGAAGAGAGCCTTGAGATAGGCCAGACGCAGGTTCGCTGAGATGCGAATCCCGCTTGTTCGCAGACAGAACTGTCGTCGTTACTATCGTATACATGCTGCAGACAGACGTAGGGTATATACCATGGAGATGTAACTGAGCACAAACTTGCCGATAAAGAGGTAGACGATGAAGAGGCTATCTATCATTAGCCCATACATAGAGCACATATAAGGTATATAGACATACACATTCTTGTTGACGCTGTCCCTAAACTGCTGTTGAGAGACGGGCGAGTCGGGCAGGAAGAAGTCGTTGAAATCGGTGATGAGGGCGCCTGCAGGTCAGTCTCTCTTATCATTACGAGCATGCAGACGTCTGGCCTACCAAAGACGATATTCATCAGGGGCAGCGCCTAATCGCTGTTAGTTATATAGTCACATAGTTAACTCTGTGTGCGGGTGTCTAGACGTACGACGCCAGCGCCGGCAGAGCAGAAGAAGGCGAGGCCCATGAGGGCGAGGTCGACCTTGCTGCCATAGGAGAAGATCCTCTATCGCCACTGTTAGTATGTTAACAAGCAGTATAACGGAGACTCACCCAGAGGTTCGAAAAGGGGGCCTTTTCTTCTTCTTTCTTGTCTTGTTCCTCGTCCTTTTTCTCTTCCGCCATATTATATATATATATATATATATATATATGTATGTATGTGTGTATGTGTGTATGTATATATGTATATATACAAGTATGCGGCTCGCCTCGTCTCTTACCTTTGTATAGTTCTCTCTTATAGCCCTTCTACTCCTTTATATGTCTTATGTCTGCCTGCGTCTCGGGATGCGCCAGAGCCTCAAAAGGGACCCCGAGGGCCCCGAGGCTTAGGTAAGACAGTCAAGAGTGGCCAGTCAAGCGTAAGTCGAGAGTTGAAGGATGAAGCCAGGGGTCAAAGTCAGGGGTAAGTTTCATGACTTGTTGACTAGTAAGTTAGTACGCAGCGAAGAGTTAAGCAGGAAGCAGGAAGCAGGAAGCAGTTAAAGCAAGAGTTAAGAGCTACAGTTAAGAGCTACAGTTAAGCTAGTTAAGCAGTTAAAGCTCAGTTAAGCTAGTTAAACAGTTAAAGCTCAGTTAAGCTAGTTAAGCAGTTAAAGCTCAGTTAAAGCTCAGTTAAAGCTCAGTTAAGCTAGTTAAAGCTCAGTTAAGCTAGTTAAGAGTTAAGAGTTAAGGAACCTCGGCTAGGCTCGGGTCGGCCGCCCGCCCGCCGACTCTTCCAACTCCTCCATAGACACAAACACAGAGACCGACACACCGTACATTATATAGACGACAGCGACATCAAGATGATGAAGAGGCTGCTCCCACGGCCCCAGAGGCTCTTCTCCCCTTCCCCTGCTTCCTCCGCCCGCCTCTTCTCCTCCTCCGCCCCCCGCAATGCCACCTGGGGTTTCATCGGCCTCGGCCAGATGGGTGCGTCTGCCTATACCTACGTACGAGGCATTGGGCTGATGGCTGACAATGGATAGGCTACCCCATGGCCAGGAACCTGAGGGCCAAGATACCGGCATCAGACACCCTCCTCGTCTGCGACTCCAACGCAGACACCACCGCCAGGTTCGTCGCAGAGACAGAGAACGTCCAGGTTGCCTCCGGGGCCAAAGAGCTTGCTGAGCAGGCGGTACGTACACACACACACACACACACACACACACACACACACACACATATATATATATATATATATATATATATGTATAGAGAGATGCATGCTAACGACGGCAGACCACGGTGGTAACGAGCTTACCGGAGCCCCAGCACGTCAAGAGCGTCTTCCACCTCATCCTCAAGGACGGCCTCCCCAAACTGGGCCAGGGCCGTCTCTTCATCGACTGCTCGACCATCGACCCCAGCTCGTCCCGCGAGGTCGCCGCCGCCGTCCAGTCGACAGGTGCCGGCCGCTTCGTCGACGCCCCCATGTCCGGCGGTGTCGTCGGTGCCACCGCCGGAACCCTCACCTTCATGCTCGGTGCCCCCAACGACGTCCCCGGGCTCGTCGAGCGCGCGGAAGCCGCCCTCTTGCTGATGGGCAAGAAGGTCTGGCACCTCGGTGACCAGGGCGCAGGTCTCTCGGGAAAACTCGCAAACAACTACCTCCTCGCCGTCGCCAACATAGCCACCGCCGAGGCCATGAACCTGGGCATCAGATGGGGCCTCCAGCCAGCAGTGCTCGGCCAGATGATCAACTCGTCCACCGGAAGATGCTGGTCCAGCGAGGTAAACAACCCGGCTCCCGGAGTGATCGAGGGCTCCCCCGCATCCAGGGGCTACACCGGCGGATTCGGCGTCAGTCTCATGAAGAAGGACCTCCGTCTGGCCGTCGAGGCTGCCCGGGAGGCTGGCACCGCTCTCGAGCTGGCCGATGCCGTACAGCAGGTCTACGAGGCCACCGAGCAGGAGCACCGCGGCAAGGACTTTTCTGTAGTCTACCAGTACCTCACCAGCAAGTCAAAATAGACCATCCATCACTGTCTATATATAGTGTCTTCAAGTAGTCTATATACCCCGTATACCGTCTATAAGTAGTCTATGTAGTCTATATACTCTGTAGACTGCCTATAAGTAGTCTATGTGTAGGCGATGCCGTCAAAGTAGAGTGCGGGTAGTGCGTCATAGATAAAGACTAACTACAACGTTCATCGCAAACATCAACCAACACCAGCAATGGAAATGATATAAAATGGCCTACGTCGTCCCTATCCACGGCGCCAGCAGCATCCGCCATGCCATCAAGGCCCGTTTCATCAAGCCAGACGAAGACTGTCTCATCGTCGCGTTAGCTCTCTCCCCACTTGCATCCTGCCCACGAACCACAGCTAACGAGAAGGAAAAATAGCAAAGCGAACCGCCTCGAGCTCTACACCCAATCCGCCGATGGCCTCGTCCTGCAGCACTCCTCGACCGTCTACGGACGCATCACTGCCCTACAGAAGCTGCCACGGCCCGATCCAGCGCTGACTGACGTCCTCTTCGTCGGTACAGACCAGTACGCCTACTTCTCCCTCACCTGGGATGCCGTCCACAACCAGCTGCGCACCGAGCGGAAATACATCGATCTGGCCGATGGGTCGCTGCGAGAAGCCCACAGTGACGACAGATGTCTGCTCGACCCGTCAGGGAGCTTCCTCACCCTAGAGGTCTACGAGGGCGTCGTCTCCGTCGTTCCGCTCGTCTCCGCCGACACGCACAACAAACGGTCCAGGTCGGCTGCCGCTCATGTTACGCCTTCAGCCACGCTGGAACAGCTAGGGGAACCGTTGCAGGTCAGAATTGAAGAGCTGATGGTCAGGTCTTCTGCTTTCCTTGACCAGGAGGCCTCACACGCACCCCGACTTGCCCTGCTGTATGAAGACTCCCAGGGGAAAGCCAGGCTCAAGCTGCGGGACCTCAAGTATACCCATGCTGCCCTCTCTGGCGACGGAGGTAGCGCCGCTGAACTCAAGGACGTCACCACTCTCTCGGGTGAGCTTGATCTCGGCGCCAGCCTCCTCATTCCTATTCCTAGGCCGTTGGGTGAGTAGTTCTCTATTTCTTTTTGTTTGTATCAACACGGTTAACTACGTCTGCTAACATCTACAGGTGGCCTCCTGATACTCGGAGAATCAACTATCACGTATGTGGACGTCTCCCAGAACGAGATCATATCTAGGCCCCTGGCAGAGTCTACCGTGTTCGTGGCCTGGGTGCAGGTCGACGGGCAGCGGTGGCTGCTTGCAGACGACTACGGCCGCCTTTTCTTCCTCATGCTCGTCCTCGACCCTGATAATGCTGTCGAGGCATGGAAGGTAGACCTGCTCGGCCAGACCTCCCGTGCCTCCGTCCTCGTCTACCTCGACGGCGGCCTCGTCTTCGTCGGCTCCCACCAGGGCGATTCGCAGGTCATCCAGATCAGAGAAGGCGGTTTCGACCTCGTTCAGACCATCGCCAACATCGCCCCAATCCTCGACTTCACCGTCATGGACCTGGGAGACCGCTCTGGCGAGGCTCGTGAGTTCTCTTCCGGCCAGACCCGTATTGTCACCGGATCCGGTGCCTTTGGTGACGGCAGCCTACGCAGTGTCCGCAGCGGAGTTGGCATAGAAGATCTCGGCGTTCTCGCGAGCATGGAGCACATTACTGACCTTTGGGGGCTGCGCGCTGCCTGCCCCGAACCTTTCTCCGACACCCTGCTAGTCTCCTTCGTTAATGAGTCCAGAGTCTTCCACTTCTCTCCAGAGGGAGATGTCGAAGAAAAGGAAGAAGGCTTTCTCGGTCTAGTCTTCTCTCAGAGCACTCTGCTCGCCGCCAATCTACCTGGAAACCGTATTATCCAGGTCACAGAGAACATGGCCAAGATCATCGACCTCGACAGCAGCATGACCACCTGGCAGTCCTCCCATGAAGACTCCGCCATCACATCTGCTTCCGCAAACGACGATTATCTCGTCCTGGTCTTTGGGGGGATCCGTCTCATATGCGTATCTCTCTCATCTTACGAAGAGGTCGGGAGCAAGGACTTTGAAGCAGACAACCAGGTCTCCGGCATGACCATCCCGGCTTCCCCAGCCCAGGCGTGCATAGTCTGCCTCCCACAGTCCGCCGAAATCGTCATCCTGGATTTACCTGACCTAAAAGTGCAGAACAAGCAGACCCTAGGCGAACCCGGTGAGGCCATACCGCGCTCAGTCATCGTGGCAGAGATACTCTACGACCAATCACCTACCTTATTCGTCTCCATGGCCGACGGGACCGTATTCTCCTTTTCTTTCAGCCTTGAAGCCTTCACCATCTCCAACTCAAGCAAGATCACCCTGGGTTCGGAGCAGCCCTTGTTCAAGAAACTCCCACGCGGCAACGGGCAGTACAACGTCTTCGCAACCTGTGACCACCCGAGCCTGATCTACGCCTCAGAGGGTAGAATCGTGTACTCTGCAGTCGACTCGGACAGCGCAAGCCGCATCTGCAACCTCAATACCCAGGCATATCCGGGCTCAATCGCCCTGTCAAACCAGCGCGAACTCAAGATTGCCATAGTAGACGAGGAGCGTACCACCCAGATCCACACTCTGCCAATGCACGCCAGCGTCAGACGCCTGGCTTACTCCCCCGTCGAAAAGGCGTTCGGCTTAGGAACCGTTACGCGAACAATCTCCAACGGGGTCGAGAAAGTGAGTAGCTCCTTTGTCCTGGCCGATGAGATACTCTTCCGGCCCTTAAGCACCCACGAGCTCCGCTCGGATGAACTGGTCGAGAGCGTTATTCGGTCTCAAATCCCTGATGGGGAAGACGAGGTCGGAAACACCGTGTTCAGGGACTTGTTCTTCGTAGGAACAGCATTCCTGGATGATGTAGGCGATGACAACGTCCGTGGCCGTATCCTAGCCTTTGAGGTGAACAGGTCTCGCGAGTTGGCCTTGCTGGTTGATAAGCCTGTCCTGGGGGCGTGTCGTACTCTTGCCGTCATGGACAATGACAAACTGGTGGCTGGTCTCGTCAAATCGGTTAGTCGTATTAGTACAACCTTTCCTCCCTCACTCAAAGCAGCATATAACTTACTCACCTCAGGTTTCTATATTCCGAATCGTACGTGACTCGTTTGGAAACATCGAACTACTGAAACAAACCGCATATCGAACATCAACGGCGCCCATCGACGTCTCCGTGACGGAAAATACAATCGCAGTAGCAGACGTCATGAAAAGTGTCTCCCTCGTACAGTACACTCCAGCCGAAGAGGGCGCACTTGAGCCCAAATTCGAGGAGATAGCTCGCCATTACCAAACTCTATGGAGCACGGCTGTAGGCCACATAGAAGAGAACGTCTATCTACTGGCAGAAGCAGAAGGGAACCTAGTTGTTCTACAGAGAAACACTACAGGCGTTACCGAGTCTGATAGAAAACGACTGCAACCTACCAGTGAAATGCGACTGGGTGAGATGGTGAATCGAATCCATCCGATAACCGTCCAAGCACCCGCAAAAGCAGCTGTTTCCGCACGAGCATTACTAGCAACGGTACATTAGCTCCTTTTCCCTCCATCAAATGCATGATGCAACGGTACTAATCTAACTTAAACAGGTTGACGGATCCATCTACCTGTTCGGTCTAATTAATCCAACGTACATAGATCTACTTCTCAGGCTCCAGGCAATCATGGCCAGCGTCACCGTGAGCCCTGGAGAGATACCGTTTACTAAATACCGAGCGTTTAGAACTACGGTGCGCCAATCCGATGAGCCATTCCGGTTTGTAGATGGAGAGCTCATCGAGCGGTTCCTTGGGTGTGCGCCTAGCACGCAGGAAGAGATTGCCAGCAGGCTTGACGACCAAAATATCACCGTGGCTTCATTGAAGGAGATGATCGACGAGCTGAGGAGGATGCATTAGTCTGTTGAAGTTGATGACAGAGCCTAATTTGGCCAAGGTATTTCTACCTAGCGCACTAAAAGTGCTTTGGTCGGTTTATACTTCTAGACAAGACATTACATTAGACCAAAGCGCGACAATACATCATCCTGTGCCGTGCTTCAATAGGACCTTGTCGGTCATGCATCACTCCCAATAGCCCAAATAGCGAGGCTAACTTCTACCTACTTGATTATCCCAGCAGAGGAACCCCAGGATACCTCCCCTTCCTGCCATATATCACGTAGATTGGCCACCTTTTAGATATATCCAAGCAGCAGTATATACGGGCGGGCAGCCATAAATCTCATTACCGGCGTAGGGGTCTTTTTTAAAACCAGCAGTGTTCGCAAAGGCCGGTCAATTCCACATAGATATAGCTTAATGTCATAGGATCACCTTGACACCATCAAAGCTACTGCTTGTTTTTAGAGGAGGCTCGCTTCTCCCTTTCGGCTTCTAGGCTGTCATTATACTCGCGTAAGATTGACTCGAGGCCTTCGTTGCGCCGTGCCAAAAGCAGCACATCTGACGCGTTGATCGTTGAACGGCCGGCGTGGCTGACAATCTGAACGTCAGCGTCACATCCCGCATAGAACAAAAGCAAAAGGCTACATGTATACGCACTTTGCAAACATCTCTAGATCTTGGCCCACGGTCTCTAGATGTAGTTCGTCAATCATGGGCACCACCAGGCATTCATCTCGAGCAGTACAACGCACCCAGCTGCGCCCAGGTAATTTCTACCAGCCCCGCGATGAACTGGGGAGTGACCTCCGTGTCGAAAAGGTCCGCATGTTCGCGAGTGAGGTTGCCCAGTGTATACCAGAGCATCGCCTTCAGTTGCTGTTGACAGTCGAGTAAGCTAGCTGTATATTATTCGAGGGTAATGTAGAAGTCAACCTACCTTTCTCGTCCCCTGCGCATCTTCATCATTCGAGGCCATCGTCGTCTAGGGCCTCGCCTTCTGCATCGTCTCTCCCTTTTTCTTCTCTTCCCTCTCTCTCTCTTCATCCAAAACAACATTGAAGTCGCGAAGAAAGTAAGGTCACGAGACCAGCGATATCACGGGATCGGAAAAATATAATACTCCGAAGGCTTTTTTCTTGCTCCCCAAAACTTCCTCGTCAGGTTGAGAAGAAGAAAAGAAATCAAAAAAAAAAAAAAGGAATATCGAAAGAAGGCCTTGCAGGGACTTCATTATTTAAACGAACATTTCGCCCGTCTCAATTGACACCCAGCTAACAATCATACTCCCCAGCGCATTCTGCAAGTTTGGACTAGACAGAGGCAACTCCTACGCCTACAGCGAGACTGCCAACAATCCGCCGTCAATTCAACCCGCACATATATGCCTATCCCCTAATATCGCGATGGCAGACTTCCAATTTACCAGTGTAACGGACACGCTCTATACCTTGTACTCCAATTTCACCAACAACATATCCACTTCGGTCTCTAACCTCACCGTCCAGGACTATATCCGTCTCGTCTGGATCATAGGTGGCTATTATTTTCTCCGACCCTACCTTGATAAAGGATTCAGAAAACTGTTGGACTCCGGCACGGCGAAGAGGGAAGCCGAAGAAGCCGCTGCTGCCGAAACTGCCGGTAGGGCTAAAATGTCCGCAAATGCTTTGAGGCAAGGCGACACAGCGGGGGATAGCGATGATGAAGAGGAGGATGAGGGAGAATCCACAGGTGTGTCAAACTGGGGCAAAAGCGCAAGGAGAAAACAGCGGAATTTTATGAAGTACCTCGAGCAGGAAGCCGAGAGAAAGAGAGCGGAAGACGACGATAAGGATATCGCAGATTTACTCGAAGATTAACACAGGCACTTGGCCTGCCTGTCCTATAACACTGTTTTCTTCAGAGCTCCCTCTCTCCGTGTGCGTGTGTGCTCTATTTGCATCTGCCGAAGTATGCTATTTTCCTTCGGTGGTCCAATTGCATCTGCTGAGAACAACACCGGCCTCGTCTCCGTCCTAAGGAGTCACGTCTGATTATAACGCACGACCAGGACGTCACATATCGCCATTCCGCCCTTCCCCAGCGCCAGAGAGACCCGTCTCTTAATCTTTACACCTTTTCCTACACACTTCGCGATTTTGATATCACGTGCTGATTTTCCACGTGATATGACATCACCCCTATTTTTCTTCATCTACGGATTGTTCTTTCTTCGCCGTTGAGCCCGCTGGAGGCGAATTTTGCCGTCTTCGACCGATGGAGAAAAAACAGACAGACAGACAGACAGACAATAGAAAATGGAAGCCGTTTAGCCCCTTTTTACTCATCTCGTCCTCAAATTATTACTTCTTCATCGTCCGGCCTTGAGCTAGATAGTTACAGGCCCCCTGGCCTTTTCTATTCGATCTATAACCTATATTGTTTTAGATATAGCCCCCCGTGGACACTAGCCATGGCCGCTAGCCAGGTAATCCGTCTGGTGAACTTCGGCCTCAGGCTACTTCAGCTCCTCTCTTCGGTCATCATCCTCGGTGTCTTTAGTTATTTCCTCGCCGTTCTTGGAGACCACGACCATCATGCTCAGGATTGGTTAAAAGCAGTGACCGGAATCTCTGGTGTAGCAGCATTCTATGCCCTTCTTGCATCATTCCTCACCCTCTCTCTAGGAGGGTTTTCATTCTTCTCTAGAATAACTATGGTGTTCGATCTGTGCTTTGCCATTGGATTCTTAGCAATCTGCCTCATGACCCGCCACGGTGTCCAGCCTTGCGCAGGACGAGTAGATACGCCAATCGGCAGTGGCAATGCGCAAGATCCGGCCGTGGGCTATGGTGAAGGTGGATTTGGTACAGGTCGCGGGAAAAATTTCACTTACATGCTATCCCTAGGCTCCGCCTGCAGGCTAGAGAAAGCTGCCTTTACCATATCTGTCATCGGAATGTTCGTCTCTCCCATATTCTGTTCTATCCGTTCAACTCAGTATCCCTGACTAACTGTGTCACCATATCAGCTCTCTCTTCCTGGTGTCTATTCCTGCTCAGAGGGCATATACGAAGCATCACCAGAGTTCAGATACCTTTTCAAACGCCCCTCCTCACAAAGGTACCTCGACTGGCATTCGCAGTCGTTTCTGGCCAAATCGAAAATACCAAGAACCAACTACAGATCCAGCTAGGATCGAATACTGTGAAGGGGATTCATCTTCTGGTGTTATTCCATTAGAGGAAAAGCCCAAGGTGGAGCGGCCTCAATTTACCAACATGCTCCAACGCTTCAAGAATAATAGCAGTGCCAATGATGATCCAGAAAGCATAGGCTTGCAGCCGAATGCTCAAGGAAGCAGTAACGCTCCGCCGGGATTCAACCCAAGTTACGAATATGGGAAAATTGCATATGCTGTGACTAGTCCTAACGGTCCAATATCGCCTACCTCTCCAGATAACACGAACCCATGGGTTAGATCTGAATATGCGGAGTATAATTATGGCCAGAGCGGTATATACACCGGTGGATATGCCCATGGATATGGCAATATATCCTATAAATAAAGACTCACAATAAGTCGGCCTTCCCTTTTCCCATATATATTAATGCCCGGCTTGTATTTTTAGCTATAGGCAAATTAAACCCACGCTCCAAGGCTCGGGGTTCTCAAGTGTGATCTATAAGTCGGTGCTGGGCTACGGCCACTGGTTGTTTATGGATCATACCCTGGTATTGTTCAATTACATATTTTATATTGAACTATGCCAAAGAGAAACACAGACAAACATTGATACTTAACAAAAAGGCCAAAAGCTACTGTGGAAAATGCGTCTTTTGCACTTCACTCTTCTTGTGAAGAAGGTTCCTGGATGTAGCTAGCTTGCCTGGTAACTTCCACCATACCATCATTCTTAACGTGACTGTATTGGCCCAGGGGGCTCTATTCAATACTACAGAAGTTGACGGATATAAAATGCTAGGAGGATTAAAAACCCTTTCTCAGGCCCCAGCTGCAATAACCTTTTCTTCTTTTCTTCTCTAACTTACTACAGCCACTAAATACAACTCGATCTCTGATCTACACTGCTTTTTTTTTTCAAGAATATCTTGATAGTGGTGATGATGAAACTCATCATCACTCTGCATCTCCTTCTTGCCCATGCTTGTCATAGTTCCTATGGCCATATGCAGATGGCAAACCCATTCCCAATCAGAAGCCCCCTGAACAAGGAGAACACAAATAAGGATTATTCATATACTTCACCTCTACGCTCAGATGGCTCAGACTACCCTTGTAAAGGGTACCACAAAGACCCCTTCAAGCCCATAGCGCAATACAAGGCAGGAGGGGAGTATTCTATCGAAATAGTCGGAGGCGCATCCCACGGCGGTGGATCGTGCCAGATATCCCTCTCCTACGACGCCGGACAGACCTTCAAGGCAATAAAATCGTTCATCGGGAGTTGTCCGTTGACGAAACGGTACAAGTTCACTATCCCAAGCAACGCACCCAGCGGGAATGCTCTCCTCGCCTGGACATGGTTCAACCGTTTGGGGAATCGCGAGATGTACATGAACTGTGCACACATCACGATATCTGGGTTGAGCGGTAGCTCGGCTGGCAACAGCAAGATGGCCCTATCGGGGCAAGCAACTGCACTCCAGGGGCTTCCAAACATATTCCTGGCCAACATCAACCAGCCGTCTCAGTGCAAGACGGACCAGAGCAAGGATGTCGTCTTTCCTTTCCCTGGGCATGCTGTTGAATACGGATCTGGAACAAAGGGCGCTGCAGAAAAGGGGTATGTATGCTCCGGCAAATTTGAAGCACCAGAACCTGCACCACCTTCGCTACCACCGACCCAACCACCAGCTCTGCCATCCTCTAAAACAACATCAACACCATCATCGACGTCTACAGCAACCTGCGTATGCCCTCCGGCTGTGGTCAGCAGCACACAGGACCCACCAAAGCTGCCCCTTTCGACATCAACCGCTACTGGAAAGGGCACGAAAGTCTGTCGTCGTCCAACTGCCTCGAAACCCTCGGCTCCGCCTCTTTATCCAACCTCATTATCGGCAGAGCCCAGCAATAGCACATCCTGTATTCCTGGGGACATCAAATGCGAGTCAGATAGCTCATTCCTCCTCTGTTCTGGCCCCGTCTTGGGATATATTAAAATAGAGCCGATGGCAGGCAAGTTTCGGTGCTTAAACGATTCAATTCAAGTCACTAAATCGGCCGCCAGCTCTACTTCGACACTACCTTATGACTAGCAGACTGGTTCCTCATTCATCAAATAAGGTAGTACTTTGAGAATTAGGAGCGTTACGGATATAGTTGAATACGTAAATTTATTCTATTTTCCTTCATTTGCAATAAAATTTAACTCATAATTAAAAACACTTAATAGCTAGTTACTTATATACGACGCAAGAAATAAAATAATTGATATACAAATCCTCCCCCCTTTCTCGCCCCTTGGCTAGTGTTTATGTCCCTTCTTGCCTTGACATTTCTTTCTAGTTTGTTCTGATTTATCTCCTTTAGGCACTCTACGACGGATATAAGTCTCCCTGATCGGGCAGCCTTCATGTTTATACACATCCCAGTCTCCAGTGTGATGGTCCTTGGGCAACCGTTTGACTCCGCGGCCACCACCGCCCAAAATCAAGTTACCAGGTCTGTAGTCGTCCCTGGCTTGGAGTCGACGTATGGCACTCACATGTATCTGGGCATCATCAGGAATATCACGGACCTCACCTCGGGGTAGCGGCCAGCGTATCGGTTTCCAGGAGCCGTCGGATTGGAGGTCCATACGCCTGAACGGGAGGTACTCCATCAGCGACCAAAGTGTTACTGAGAGCCTGGGAACTCCCATGTTATACGACAGGCAGTCGTGTATCTGGCCCTGGGTACTGGAAAGGTGAAGAGCAGCATGGAAGGATTCGGATGCGGTCACTTTCCTATTGGAATTTCGAATCTCTTCGACATCCAATTCTTTCTCAAGCAACCCTGCCTCTAGAACACATTTCCGCTGGAGATCCTGGTTCTCATCAAACTGGAAGGATGAGCGTTGCACTGGAGTAACGTCACCGGAGTACGACTCATCGCACTCGAACTGTTTCAGCGCGCGAGGACTGAACTGCAGGCCTGCTTCCTGTGCCTCGTGGACCATCCAAACCAGTGGTGCATGACTGAGCTGCCAGAGCTCGCCGTCGACAAGATCCCACCCTCCACCAATATCTGCATGTCCACCGGGGAACCAGACCTCCTGGATATCCTGTGTCTCGTCGCCATCTTCAAGGCCAGGCACCGGCATTGATACTTTGGAGTGGCAACTCTCCACGATAGAGATATTATCGTTGGCCTGCGAGTTTCCTGGAACGGATAGGCTAGGCATTCCACTAAAATTAGCAGAGGGAGACGGCCTATATCTCCCGCCAACCTGTCCTCTGGGGGTTTTATCGGAGTCCTTGCTATTGGTATTTCCACTTGTCACTCCGTTATTTTCGGTGCCGTTGGCCTTCTTCTCGTCCCCTTCAGGGCTATTGATAACAACATTGGGGACATTATCCTTACGTTTGCCCGGAATCAGCTTGCGGAAGATCCACTTACTGAAGCTCGACTTGGAGCCATGGTGGGTTAGATGATGGATATGGTGATGATCGTGCTTTGATTGATAGCTCCTCATCTGCGAAATCAAGTCTTGTCGAAATTTCGCTCGTCTCTCGTCGATACCGACGGCATGCCTAATGACCCTGGCCGAAGTCTTTGCTGTGTATGGGAACTTGCTCCTCTGCATCCAGGCCGACTCAAATCTCGGAACGCTGTTGACAGTGTCGAAGATGCCAATAAACCGTATAGGGTTTACAGGTCGGCTGAAAGTTTCACGAAACGCCTTCATATAATTATACATCTTCAGCTTCTCACCGTGGTATTCATCACCACGGCCATCCCTCTGCTGCCATTTCGCATAATTTTTCCAGGCAAAGCGCACCAGCTCCTCATTTCCGGTTGCCAGGAGGCCAACATAGTCAATCATCTCTGCGAGAAACCGTGCAATGTATGCGCCTCTACTGAATCCGAAGAAATAAATGTTATCCCCCGGTGCATAGTAGCGCATCAGAAAGCGATAACCGGCTATCACATGGTCCGCAAATGAGGAACCAACGGCCGAATCCTTTGCCTTGAGCATGGCAGACTTTACCCTAGAGTAAAACCCAGTGTCAGAGAAAGTTGCAGAGGATACATAGGTGCCTATCCCTGGCTGGTAGTAGTGGAACTGATCCCCTTGGCTACTATCCAGCATCTGGAGAAGATGATGTTAGTTCCTGTCATTTTGCCTGACATGGTTTGGTGGTGAATTCCGTGGTTGGCATCACACTGACTCGAAAGATTTTGAGGACATTAGAGTCCGCCTCTGTCCCAGAAAATTTGTTTCCGGTGCCATCGAAGCATAGGACCAAGGTCTTTGGTCGTGATAGGGGCCCGACAGTCGCCATAGCAAAAGCAAAAAAAAAAAAATAAAAACCCCCAAGATCTGTCTGCTCGGTATGTCGACGTTAGGTGCTTAGGCCGGACTTCTCAGGCACCGATGACAGAGCATCGAAGAAGAGCAATATAATATATATTCGCACTGACGTCAAAACAGATCGGCCAGCCCTTCGGAGAATGAACGGGCAATGGCAGCGGATGACGAATTGGCAAACCATCGTTAGCTATAATATTATCATTCACGCCTTTTGGGGTCAGGAAAAGGGAGACGGGGAAAAAAAGGAAGCAATAGGGTTTGCGCATCATCACATACATAGTATAACCTAAGCTCTGTGCTCAATAGCTACTATATAGTTGGCCAGCACTTTGTTTCACGGGAAACATGGTGTACAGTGTGTATGGAGCTGGAGAAGCCCCCGCTCGTTCTTGGTCAATCTCTGACCTTGCAGACGGTCACATGGAAAGAGACTGGAGAGCTGGCTCTTCCCGAGAACAAATGAGCATCTCGATTGCATGACAATCGCCCCCGTATTGCAGGTCAACTTGGGGATTGGTCTGCCTCTTTGGTGCAAGTCCTCGGCTCTCTTGATGTGATAAACTCCATGTTCCAAAGGGAGCCACTTGGATGCATAAACTAGTTGAACACCAGCCAGCCTCAATACGGGGATCCCTGTCGTAAATGGGAACTTTGGAGAGATTGGACGACAATAATTCGCTGGTTGACCGGGTTTCCAGTTGGCATCGCAATCAAAATTTGGGAATGTTGAAGCGAAGCTCTCAGCTTTGGCTCTGTGCGAGAAAACAACCCTCCTACCGCTGGTTGGTACGGATTCAAAGTGCACAGTGGATGTACTCCATACAAGCTGCACGGAGAGTTCCACAGCAGAGTGGGCGCAAAGGATGCACATTCGATTAGGTTAGTGAGCTATTCATCCCAGGCTGGCCTTTTCAATTTGTCAAGCCCTTGATATCATCATCCCTGCTGCCAAAGTCACTCCAAAAAAAAAAAAAGAAGACCCTTGTCTGAGCTGACAATTCAGCCTTAACCGATGTCATGGACAAATGAGTAAACTTCGCGACTAGGGAGCGGTCCAGGGTGCTCTATGTATATATACTGGAGAATATACGGAGTAATATGGACAGGTCAGGATCAAGCTTCCAGTTGATCAAGCCTGAGCTCCTCTTTTCCGGGGAGGCTGTCGAAGAACTGTCCTGTGGGCCAAATATGCAGCCTTTCACGCAGGCGGTTGACACTATCGGATTATGACGAGTTACCAGTCTGGCAAGACTAAATGTCTGATCTTGTGCCGCATCCATGTCATCCAATTTTTGGGATGCCTGGGCAAGGGCAGCAAATGAACGGCTGGGAGCATCCTGTGCTTCTGCATAAACGAAACAAAACTCAATGAGCCTTTTCCGCTCCACCCGGCCGCCATGGCTGCCATTGGGCGGTTAGTTCTGGGGCTGCTATTCAATTCGATGGATCTGAAGACTTGAACCTGTGTCGTGCGAGATGGAATTATCCAGTCAGCTCCCATGGATTACTCGAAACGAAGGCTGAATGAATACGAAGGATATAAAGCTACTTATGCATGCTCCCCTCCAGCATGCAGCCGTGAGTGGGCCAGCCATATTTTTGAGCAACCTACATATCCTCCTCCACAGCCGTCATTCACAAGCCTCAGCTCAAGACCTGTTCCCCCTGTCCTTTCTCTTGTATTCTGATACCCGATCATCCTGCGCCGGCGAAGCCCCGTCACAGCAAAATAAAACGAGCATCCCCCAGGAGAAATTCCACCTTGTGATAACTCTTAAACCCTTTGCCCTCCCTTGGATAGCAAAGGCAGTCTTGCTCTGAAGGGTTGCACTCAACCTCCGGGCATCCTCTTTGCTGGATCTATACTACCGAGAAATCCTTTTGTGAACCGCCAAAATGGCCGGGGAGGCTACGAACGGTGTCAATGGGGTCACAAATGGCACCCATGGAGCTACAAACGGAATGACAAATGGAACAAAACCGAAGACGAGCTCGCCTCCCAGCCAAAGCACTGCTCCTCAAGCTAAGAGAGGTGATGTTGAGGGTACATTCGCCAAGTACGCTCAATTGATCCATGCCTCCAGGCGCCCTCTACCAACTCAGTCCGGAGACGGATCGTACCTCAGAGATGAGATCAAGTATACAAGCACATTTTCGGATTTGAGGACCATGGGTTTCAAGGGTATTTCCACCTTGCTAGCAGTGAGGAAGCAGAAGAAAAGCGGAAAACTAGACGACGACCGAAAGTACACCATGGAGCGTGTCATCAGCGTATGCAATTTCATATAATCGTGCCGATTGAGGAAGATGCTTACACCTGTTTCGCCATTTAGCTTGTTGCTGGCCTTCCACCGCAATCAAAGATGCGCAAAGACCTGACAAACACCTTCGTCAAGGGGCTTTGGGATTCCATCCCTCACCCGCCGCCAACGTATGATTGACCCTCGAATCAACCAGCCTAGAGTCCTCATAATCTGTGGGGCCATTGCTGACTTTCCCATTCTAGATACTTTGGCGATGAGTATAGATATCGATCTGCAGATGGATCTTACAACAACCCAATGATACCACAACTCGGCGCAGCACGCACCCCTTATGCTCGTTCTATAATCCCGGAGTCAATTCAACTGGGATCCCTTCCCGACCCTGGACTCATCTTCGATAGCATCTTTGCGCGTGAAAAGTTCAAGCCTCATCCTAACGGAGTTTCAAGCATCTTCTTCAACTGGGCATCTTTGATCATTCACGGTGAGCATACGAACTTATCCTTTATCTGAAAGGAAAGGTTATCATGGCGAGGCTAACACTGAACAATATGCCTAAGATCTCTTCCAAACCGATTACAAAGACCCTAACATCTCGGAGACCTCATCATACCTTGACCTATCTATCTTGTACGGAGACAACCAAGAGGATCAGAATAAGGTGCGAACCTTCAAAGATGGGAAACTGAAGCCTGATTGCTACTCTGAATCGCGCCTCCTTGCCTTCCCCCCTGCCTGCAGTGTCATCCTTATCATGTTGAACAGGTACATATCCCCTCTCCTACAGGTCCGTGTATGCTTTCTGACACAGTATACTACAGATTTCACAACTATGTAGTTGAGCAGCTTGCCGCTATCAATGAAGGCGGCCGATTTGCGAAACCCAGGAGTGGACTTAGCCCGGAAGCCACTGAGAAAGCCTGGGCTAAATACGATAACGACCTGTTCCAGACTGGACGATTGTAAGCTCACATCCAAACCGTCATACTACTAGGCATATCTAACTCTAAGACCAGGGTCACTTGTGGCCTATACATTAACATCACCCTCTATGACTACGTCCGTACCATTATCAACCTAACCAGAAGCAACACTACATGGTGTCTGGTTCGTATACCAACTGCGCTTTCCCTTGATATGGCTGGGAAGTCGAACTAACACTCTTTTCTAGGATCCACGAGTAGCCATGCGTGAGGGTGCAACTCCAGAGTCAGCTGCTAGTGGAATTGGCAACCAGGTGTCCATGGAATTTAACCTTGCATACCGTTGGCATTCGTGTATCGGTGCTGCTGACGAAGAATTTACAAACAAAACTTATCAGCAGATGTTCGGGAAACGTGGAGAGGACCTCTCCCTCCCAGAGCTCGTCGGGGGACTCGGAAAATGGCAGGCAGGCATACCTGACGACCCTGCCGAGAGAACCTTTGCCGGCCTCCAGCGAAAGCCTGATGGTACCTTTGATGATGGTGAGCTCATGAATATCATGACTGAAGCAATCGAAGAAGTTGCTGGTAAGTTTCACTCTAATTTCTCTAGCAATAGCTGCATTCTTTCTGATTTTACTCTTTTATTTATTTATTTTTTGCTTACTGATTTATGATAGGATCATTCGGCCCTAAGAATGTTCCAAAGGCTCTTCGGGGTGTTGAAATTCTGGGTATGCACACAGCCCGTAAATGGGGGTGCGCTTCTCTCAACGAATTCCGTAGATTCTTTGGATTGAAAGAATATCAGACATTCGAAGAAATCAACTCTGATCCCGAGATCTCTGGAGCTCTACGTAACCTCTACGAGCACCCTGATCATGTTGAGCTGTACCCCGGTATCGTTGCCGAAGAGCCAAAGGTTCCCATGGTTCCTGGCGCCGGTATTTGCCCAACCTATACCATTTCTCGTGCCATCCTGTCCGATGCTGTTGTATTGGTGAGAGGAGATCGTTTTTACACAGTAAGACATCCACCCCGCTACTGTAGACCCTACTTGGAAGATGGTCAGGCTAAATATCATATAACAGGTTGATTATCATGCGAAGAACTTGACCAACTGGGGCTACGCTGAGACTCACTATGACCTCAGTGTTAACCAAGGTTGCATGTTTTACAAATTGATGCTTAGGGCATTTCCTAACCATGTCAAGGGTGATTCCATCTATGCCCATTATCCGATGACCATTCCAAGCGAAAACAAGAAGATCTTCACGGACCTGGGTCGACACGATGACTACTCCTGGGACCGACCATCCTTCACCCCTCCTCGTGTCAACATTACCTCCTACATTGGAGCCAAAACGATCTTGGAAAACTCCAAAGACTTCCGCGTCACCTGGGGCGAAGCAACCGGCTTCCTGTTCGGCAAGGGGGGATTGGATTTCATGCTTTCTGGAGACAGTTCATTCCACACTCAGCAGCGCAAAACCATGGGCAAGGCGCTTTATCATAGCGAATGGAAGAAGGATATCAAGCAGTTTTACGAGGATATCACCCTAAGGCTCCTTAAAGAGAAGTCTTGTAAGATTGCAGGCATCAACCAAGTGGATATCACCAGAGAGTAAGTTTGGATATTATATCTATTTCACCCATTTTGTGTTACCCGGCGGAACTAACAGGAAGACACAGTGTTGGCAACCTTGCACACGTACACTTCGCTTCCAACATCTTCGGCCTGCCATTGAAAACAAAGGAGAACCCCAAGGGTATCTACACTGAACACGAAATGTTCATGATCATGTGTTTGATCTTTACCACTATCTTCTTTGATCTAGACCCAGCCAAATCATTCCCATTGAGACAGGCAGCCAGAACTGTCGCCCAGCAACTTGGCCAGATCATGGAGGCTCGTATCAAATCTGTCAAGTCACCGAGTATCTCTGGATTATTCAACCGCCTAGGCGAGAACAAAACCGCTCTGTCTGACTATGGTATCCACATGATTCGACGTCTCCTTGACTCTGGCCTCAGTGTTGAACAAGTTACCTGGTCTCAGGTTATGCCAACTGCCGGAGCTATGATTCCCAACCAAGCACAAGTGGTAAATAGCAATCAATCTGAATCGGCCTTGGGTGTCAATGTGGTTGATAGTTTACTAACATGCTTCTAGTTCACCCAAATTATCGACTATTACCTTTCTGAGGAAGGTAAGGTCCATCTGCCTGATATCAAACGCTGGGCCAAGGAGAGAACAAATGAGGCCGACGAGAAGCTGCTCCACTACTGCATGGAGGGTATTCGATTAAACGGTACTTTTGGCTCCTACCGCGAGTCAACGGCCGCTCTCAATATTGATGACGATGGTCGTGATGTTTCTGTCAAGCCTGGTGACAAGGTCTTTGTCAGCTTTGTAAGTCTTTCAGTCTGGCCTTTTCTAATATATATATATATATATATATATATATATATATGTATGTATGCAGCGCATCTAACGAGAGACACGCAGGTCGGTGCTGCCCGCGATCCGAATATCTTCCCATCGCCGCACGAAGTTCGCCTCGACCGACCTTTGGATTCCTACATCCATTATGGTGAAGGTCCCCACGCCTGCTTAGGAAAGGATGCAAACATGCTCGCCCTCACCTCCATGTTGCGTGTTGTTGGCAGCCTAGACAACCTCCGACGAGCTCCAGGTCCCCAAGGTGAACTGAAAAAGATCCCCCGCCCTGGTGGTTTCTACATCTACATGCGTGAGGACCAAAGCGGCTACTTCGTCTTCCCTATGAGTAAGTTTTCCCTTTTTCTATGTCTATGTAATGCTTGAAACAATAGCTAACTCCACCTTTTTCTACAGCCTTCAAAGTCCACTACGATGGAGAACTGCCAGTTCCAGCAACCCGTTAGTAGTGAACGGTGAATGTTAAAGGGAAGTTAATTTGTTCTCGAGTGGAGGTGCGCTGTTTGGATATTGAGGATGGTTTCTTTTGTGTCATGTACTTGATACCCGCTGTATCGTTTTCTCACTATCTCGTACTAGTAATATATTAATTCAACTCTGCTTCTTGATTCTGAATCATTCTCGCCTAGGAACCTAATATTCACTTCACTCCTTGCCTTTCGCTACAGGAGAAGGATCAATTAACAAGAAGTTCTCGTTAATATGTATATCGTTATCCCGTGTTCCGGTCTAGCTACGTTTCATGACTAAACAGGTTATATTGCCGGGCTCAGATTTGTCAGGGGAGTATAACCGAACTCTGGAACTTCAATCTAGAGCTGGCTGGCCGTGGAATCAGAAATGCGACATTTTTATCATATGGTCTGACTGTCCCCAGGCCTGACCACACCACCCCGCGTTCAGGATAGACAATGCATAATAGCCAAGGCTATATAGATGTGTAGAGACTGGGGCCCTGTCAGATCACAAGTGATATACTTTCTACCAAGTCATAATATATATCCAAGAACTGGCCTGGGCGTTGTTGATATAGATGTACATCGTTTGTCAACCTATCGAAACGTTAATATAATCTTCTAGGAGAGCAAATGTTTGCACATAGAGATAAAGAATAACATGCTATGTGATGATTCCTGGCATTTATACTGCATTATACGTACATTTGCTTTGTATGATCATTTGAGATCAGCCGTAGATGGCAGCAAGGTGTACGCAATGGCCATCAATGCCAGGTCACAGCAAGCTTCTAAAGCACATATGTACGAGCACCAGGGATATCACTGGCCATTTGGAAAGGGAGGGATACACACTCCGTCCTTTGCAACCGACCTGATTTGAATGCAGAAGCTAGGATGGCCAGTCCGAGTTCAGGGGTTCGTGTACATACTGTAATGCATACTCACGATCCCAGGATCAGGATGGCCTGCAGCGTCCGAGTGTTGGTCCACATCTTCGTAGACGAAAATCACTGCAGGGACCTGAGCTCACTAGCAAACCCATTCTCAGGTTAAATTAATACTTTTATTCCGTTTTCTTCTTTGCTTTGCTTTTTTCCTTCGTTTCTTTTTTTTTTTTTTTTTCTCTTTTTTCAATTTATATTCACGTGACGACAGTCAGTCTTAGTCAGCAGAAGCTTTTGTTATTTTTGAAGTTGAAGACGAAGAAGAAAGAAACGAAAGATACATATTATGAAACCTTCAAACATCCAAGATATCTAGTTTGAGGCCAGTTGAGGATAGCAATTACAGGTTATCGAAGTGTCGGAAGTAGGATTCTGGCTGAGGATACTTGGGCGTCTAAGAGTGCAGAGAGAGATATCTAACAATGGCTCCCAAAGCCATCAAAGGGGAATATATTGAGACGGTGAGTGTTTACCACGCAGCATTTGCCTGGACAAGCGTTAAGAGAGACCCTGTAGGATACGGGGAACAAAGTGTCTCGTCGGAATCAGGTCCACGGAACCCAACATATCATTCTGGGCGGGAAGACGGTCATCCAGGCGGACGTCTGTATACGCGGTGACCTGTACCGCCAGCAATCTTCAGCAGCGGCAGCAGCAGCTACAGGAGGGTCAGCTGGGTCGAAAGCCGCCCCCAACACTCCTTCAATAGCGGTAACTATCGGTCGGTACACCTATCTGTCCCGGTCATGTCTTCTGCGGCCTCCGTCCCGACTCCACCGCGGCGTCCATTCATACTATCCGCTCAAGATGGGTGACCATGTGTTCGTTGGGGAGAATTCGGTCGTCGAAGCAGCAACGGTGGGGAACCACGTCCATATTGGACGAGATGTCGTTGTGGGATCGATGGCCATCTTGAAGGACTATGTGGTGGTGCTGGACGGAGCGGTTGTTCCCGCGGGCATGGTCGTACCCAGCTGGTCTGTCGTCGGCGGTGCGCCGGCCAGAGTAGTTGGTGAGGTCGGTGAAGGTTATGGCGTCGAAGGGGCGGAGGGTGGAATGGCGAGAGAGAGATACAGACTCGTTGGGAGGTGACGTGACGCGGTAACAGTCATTCCATCTCCAGTCCCCATCGCCAGGAAGATCCTTTCGTTGTTTCTATGTAGATACCCTTGACCGTTTATTTTCTTCACCAATTATTTACAACTAACTGCCTTTCTCTTAGAACCCGCGGGTGGAGATAAAATCCCCGTCCGCCCAGCACAGCATCCACGCCAGAAGATGCATGGCTAAGACGTTGAGCCAGGGATGTACGGGCATTCCGTCGCGGCGCATTTCTCTCCGTAACCGTATCAGGAACGTATATACCTTAGAGAACAGAGGATCTAGAATACGGTCCAGGCGCTAAACAGAGTAATATAGAGCATTGAAATACGCCGTCTTGCGCTTATTGTCCCATCATGATGCAAAAATATCATGTTATCTCTTAGAATTGATGCACACGAGTGACATAAAAGCTATCAGCAGCGGTGAGTATAAAATAGCCCGAGGCTCCGAACTCTTTGCCGAGGTCGTTTAACTGCTTACCCCGTAGAGAATACATATCTTCACGATGCTGAACGTGATATGGGATACTATGATAGTGAAAAGGGGCTCAAAGGGCTTGCTTGGTCCTGCTCGTTTCGCCTTGTTTCCTCTCAACCAACGCCGGAGATGCAAGGACGAGGTGGAGCTACTGACGGCTAAACCGGCAGGACGATAACTCTCTCGCATAGTTGATATAACTTGTGAGTATTTGCTTAACGACGGCCTGCGCGAGCATCATCTCCATAGCTAATACAGGCTGTGGACTACATAGTATGTAGCATCCCAGTTGATCCAGTTATCCCCACTGGGATTCCCTTCTCGCCCATGGCTAGGCTTTACGTAACTGTGACTCTCGCCCCCAATACTGGCCATACGGAGTACATGTATCTCAGCCTGTCATTGGATGTCTCTTGAGGTCCTCTGTCGATAGAGAAGAGAGAAGATATCAAATGCTTCACTATCACCTTACCGTCAGATAACTAAGATAATCTCTTTGTATCTCTCACGGCCGGTTCCGATATTTTACCAGGCCCAACCAGTTCATGTGAATCCATTGCCTTTCATAGGCTCAAAGGCCGAGAGAAAAGTTTGTCTCTGCTTTTTCTTCTTCCTTTTCTTTTTCCCGCAAGAGAAAATTTCCCAAGTGGATGCGGACCCCCAGTAAGTTAAACCCATGCCAGCAATGCCAGTAATATGCCCAGCAGCGAGGATGAAGCCAGCAACGGGAGAGATCCATGACGAGGGACTCTTGTCGGATGATTTACTACCTAGTGAAGGTTTTTTCCTCTCCGGCTTTTGATGATGTCGAGCAAGGGTTCCATACTTATTATATCCATCCAGTCAGAGTCATATCCTCCGTATATACTCCGTAAGTATAGATTTAAATATAAGTACATTCAAGGGGCATCCAGAGCTGCCCCTGTCTGTCATGTGCTTTCTCCTCTTTCGCCATTCAAATCATATTTTATCGTTGAATTCTCTTTGTCTTCGCTTCTTGCTCTCTTTCTCTCGAGGTTCATCTTCGTATAACTCTGCTACGGTCACCTTTCTGCCGATGCGACTGGTATCTGGCGGACATATAGCCTGTCTGTCTGCTCGATATTCACCTCTATAGCTGAATTGCTCTTATATATCTCTTGTCCGTGATCATGGCACCCAGTTTCTTTGGTGGGCCAGGAAGTTCCAGCCATGCGAAATACTTTGATATCAGGTCCGCCGCACTATGTATGCATTATCCCATGCATTGAAATTACAGCTAACGGCAATGTCCAGACTGGACGAACCATACGTCGTGTTCCGTGGCAATGAAGAGGAATCGGCGAGTGCGCATCTCAAGGGCACTCTGGTGCTGTGTCTCTCAGAGCCATTGACCATCAAACACCTCAGGCTACACTTGACCGGCATGTCGAGGATCAGGTAAGACTTTTGCATCTCGTATATGCGTATAAACCATCGTTTCTTTTTCCTCTTTCCTTTTTTTTTACTTCCACTCTTTGTGATACTCTCACTGACGCAGTGCTTGCAGCTGGCCGTTCCTGATTGGCGCCGTACCCGGAGGGAAGAAGCACGGCAAGGAACGAACGTTCTTCGAGAAGACGTGGAAGTTCAGAGATGCCGGCAAGGGCAAGACTGAAATCATGCCCGCAGACAATTACGAATTCCCCTTTGACATTGTCCTGCCTGGGTCGCTGCCAGAGAGTATCGAAGGACTGCCGGACACCTGGATCGTCTATCGCTTCAAGGCTGAGATTGGACGAAAATACACCAAGGACATTCAGATCAGGAAGCCTTTAAGGATTATCCGGACTCTGGGACCCAGTGCTTTGGAACTATCACATGTTATGGTATGTCTATCTTTACGAGGGTACAATGATGAAATGCTGACTGTATAGTCGGTTGAAAATATCTGGCCGAACAAGCTGGAATACTCCATTTCTACACCCAGCAAGGCCGTCGTCTTTGGGACATCTGCCCGGGTCAACTTTCGTCTCGTTCCCCTTCTCAAGGGCCTCAAGATCGGGACGATCACCACCCAATTTATCGAGAGCTACGACGTCATGAGCTGCCGCGATGACTCGCAACTGCAGCCAACGTCTCACAAATCTATCAGGGTAGTCGCGGCAGACCACTTCCGTCTCGGCCCTGAAGAGGAGCGCCAGTTCCTCGAAGAGGAGGGAGAGGGCTATGTGTTTTCGCGGGTTCTGGAGCTGCCTAAGAAGCTCTGCAAATGTATCCAGGATACCGATACCAAGGGCATCAAGATCCGGCATAAGCTGAAATTCAAGATTCAGCTGCACAACCCAGACGGACATACATCTGAGGTATTCAGCGTGGCACCCCCTGTTCCGCCTGTCTCGTAATAATCTCGGTTGCTAACATGAAACTTATTAGTTACGAGCGACTCTGCCGGTGTTCATTTTCCTTTCACCGAACCTACCATTAGACGACAATAACAACCTCGTCGACCAGTCACCGACTTCGCCGCAGGTCGCTGAGTTCTGCATGGCCCAGCAGGCACCGCCCCTGTATGGAGATCACCAGTTTGACATGCTATACAGTGAACTTGACCCTCACGGCTACCGCACCCCTGGGATGTACAGTGGAGTCGCAACGCCATTGTACGGCTCGATCAGTCGGAATCTGTCAGCCGAGAACTTGTCTTCCCTCGCCACCCTGGGGGCTGGGGGAGACGTATCGGCCAGCATACTACACAACCGCCTGGTGAACCTACACATCGACCGCTCGTCACTCCGCTCTCCAGGGACACCGCCACCTGAACTCTCCCATCATGACCCTCATGACAACCGACGCTCCATAACATTCCCTGTAACATCCTTTACCGCCGCCACTACAACACCAGAAATGTCTCGACGAACTTCCGAGGAAGAACACCTTCCTTTAGAAACAATGACTCCGCACTACCTTCGACCAAACGACATCGAAGATCTCTCCCGCGTGCCTAGCTACTCGACTGCTGTCCGGTCCTGTGCCATGTCTGCGGCCAACAACGGTCTTCCCAATTATGAAGCGGCCACCGCAGGTGACATATCGCCGCCTCGGGAACGGACCCCTTCACCTCCTAGGCACTCGACCAGTGCATTCAACCGCCTGTCCGCTACCTTCGTAGACGCTCTCCCCCAGTTTTCCATCCATAGACACAGCATCGGCCACGACCACGACTCCGAGCGTCGGGTACGCATTCTCCAAGCACGATCGACATAGCCGTACACTCTCCCTTTTTCAATTCATTTGGCTTTTTATAACTTTTTCTCTTTTTTTTCTCCTTTTCTTATATTTCTAATTCACGACTTGGACGACTCTGGTGGGATGCATAACTGGGTGTTTTGTTTTGTTTCTTTTCTCGGCCTCATTTCAGGTATTGGGAAGCACACTCCCCCAGGCATCTTCTGGACCACATTTTAGCCCTTCTCTTCTCTTCTGTATGCCGTCTGCCTGGAATACTCCCGCTCGTACATAGCTCTACCGCATATTTCCAACAATAATATAGCTTAGTCAGCTATGACGTCACTTTAAGGTGAACGCACGAGCCAGCACTTAAAATTTGGTTCCTCTTTGGGATATTTTCAGCCTCTTCTTATTTATCTTTCTGAACGTTTATAAGGCGAGAGATAGTAACTTGCCGGTGTTATCTCTACCATACATGCGCTGTGAGACGAGATGTTCTCGAGCTGCAGGGCTGTAGGGCTCATTGGCCCGCCTCTCAATATCTTGATTTTGGAACTTTCTTTTTTAGCGGCCAAAGTGGGGAGGGGAAAGGGAGTTGTGCATCGTCTTGGATACATATAAAAACTGCCCCCTCCTCTCCTTTTCTCATTCCAAAGCCATCTTTCACTTCTCCTGTCGACCGAGCATTGCTTTCATCTTTATCTTACCCTGACGATTCGCTTGGCTGACCGACACGGGTGTCAGGGATAGGCACTGAACGAAGTCTTCAATTGAGTGCTGTCTGTCTCTGCAAGCCCCTGAATACCAGTAGTGGTAGTTCAACGGCGTGAACTTCACCGTCGTCATCAGGGCCCAGTTCTACCGGTCAATTGATCTAGGCAAGATGGCCTTCAAATCAGTACTACCCCGTCGGTCCAACACCGTGACCACCTCGAATACAACGAGAACGTCGACCTCTGCGTCGATGGGCGAAGGCGATGCCATTCCCGATTCGGATTACAAGGATGTAAGTGTTGGACCTACACTCTTCGTATTCTTTAAATGCCTGTTTAAGCATGCAATGGTTCCATATATCGGTATTATGCTGACGGCTATGCTATTCAGACGACGAATCTCCTGGTCGAACGCCTCCATGCGTGGAAACATGTATGCGGAAACCTGGAAGACTACATGACCACGACAATGAAAGTGCAAAAGTCCCATGCAAAGGAGCTCGAGAAGGTCTTCAAGGTATGCTCATATTCTTTGTAGTATATCGGATAGGCTTACTTGGACTAACGTGATGGATAGACTGTTTCCGAACCTATCAAGGAGGAGCACCATTTCGACCAAGGTGCCACCGGTGTCTCTGGTCTGTATGAAGCTCTACGGAGAAACACACAGGTACATCATACATTCTACCTCTTAAAAAGCCAGGAGAAGGAGCTAAATTTTGACCTAGGGGCTGGCCGAAGCCCATGCAGACGCTGAGAAGCGCTTGAAGCAATCCGTCGTCCCCATCCTAGAACAGCTACACGCCGAGATCAAGACTAAGGCGAAGGAACTCGGCGGAGGAGCTATGAAACACGGAAAGGAAGTCACCAAATCTCGCGCGGCTACCCAGAAACACATCGAGCTCCTCGGTCAGTATGCGGCAACCTTTGAGACGTCCAAGTCCAGGCTAGACGCCGCCCACGATCCATACATTCTCTCCCGTGGTGTCACTTATCGTCTAGGACGGCAGGTCGCAGACGAAAACTTACATTTCCAGGAGATTCTGACCATCCAGAACTCCATACCGACTTTTGAGGCTCATATCATCGAGACGATCCAGCGGGCTATGAACGAGTTCTTCCAATGCATGACTGCTCAAACGGACCACCACCGGAACATGTATTCTAACATCGTCACCCACTCCCAGCAGATCCCGATCGACTTTGAATGGAACAATTTCTTCAAGCGCAACGACGCTACCTTGCTGGACCCCAGCGCACCGCTACGAGATCTGGCAACTATCAGGTACGCCAACCAAGATCACCACGCCACCAAGCCGTTGGTCGAGGGCATCCTGGACCGCAAGTCCCGTGCGGTCCTTAAGGGCTACACTGGAGGATACTTTGCCATCACTCCTGCTGGCTATTTGCACGGCTTCAAGGAGAATGATGACACCCGTCACGAGCCAGTCCCGGATATCTCACTCTATCTCCCCGAGTGCACGATCGGCGGGTTCAACGATCTCAAGTTTAGCGTGAAGGGCAAAGACTTGTCTGGTGGCAAGGTTGGAAACGCATTCCACATGACTAGCGAATTCAACTTCAAGGCTCGTACCAAGAACGACTTCGAACAGTGGCAGGCTGTACTCTCCAATCCCGGTTCATGGAGTGGAGCAGGCTCTGTCGTAGCTTCGCCTAGCGGCTCCCAGGTCGCCTCTCCAGTGTCTCCCATCTCTCCTGCGGCGACTATGCCTAACGTGGGAGAGGCCAGCGGCCAAGCGGGTATAACTGAAAAAGCTGCCGTGCCACCTGAGCAGCCTGCCACGACAGAGACCACACAAGGTGATGCTCCGGCGGTGGCTGAGAAACCTGCCGTTGAGGCTGCTCCTCCAGCACCCACTAATGCTGAAGGAGCCCCTGCCACTGAGCCTATGCCGACAACGACGACTGGTGCAGTCACCGAGGGCACTGTGACGAAACCAGCAGTACAGGAAGAAGGGACTGTTTCTGTCCCCACAGCGGAGAAGTAGGAGAGCATACCTTGCATCTGTGCTTGAATAGCTGTCATGCAGACGGCTTACTTTTCTTCTTTTTTTGTTTTTGGACCCTAGCGATGGTATAGTCAATAACTTTCGACTTGAAAGTCATCTAATCCATGTTTATTAATATATGAAAGGGATATATATATATATATATATGTACACCCACGACACGGTGGGAGATTAACATTAGATTTCCACTAACTTCCGGCCAGGGCCCTAGAAGATAAAAGTACACATAAAAAACAAACGAGGGCAAAATGCTGCGAGAATGCTATGATAATAGTTCAAAAATCCTCCGGACTCTCTAGATCCGCTAGTTTGTTGCCCAAGAACTTGCCCAAAGCGGCGGATTTTGATTCGAGGGCTAGTAGTATGTGTGGGCTGGAGGAGAGATTGAGCCCCGCCAGCCGGTCAAGGTCGTGACGACGATCTATGGCCCACTGCGCACGTAGAGCCTGATGTATGGCGTCTTCATCCTGCCGTATCTCGGCCTGTTCAATCTGTTCGTCTGAGGGGGGAGTGGGGGAGGTACCGGCTAGGCTGGAGAGAGAGGCGGGATTCGGTGCCGACGAGGCTAGTTTGGCAGATACGTGTTCGGCCATGGGGTTCTCGAGGTGGGTGGTAGAGAAGGACGACTCTCCAGGGCCCTTGACGGTCCGCTCCGAATCACTGGCGGCCGAGCCTGCGATCGCTCTCGCTCGACCGGAGGGGGTGCCTACGCCAGAGGAGGTGGCATTCCCCGTTTGGCTGCTGTGAGGCACCGTCCGGGCAGGCTCTTCGATGTGTGTGGGCCCTACCACCGCGAGGAGGACCTTGTCTGCTATCTTGGTGACGACTGCAACCATATCCTGCAGCTCGAACATGATAGAACCCACATTGCCTAGCGGGATGGAGGGCGCGCTGGAGAAGGCGGAGGGGTGAATGGAGGAGCTGACGCCGGTCAGATTGCCATTGGGCGCCTTTACAGCATATGACTTGTATGCAGCACCGTACGTCGCGCACAGGTTCCGTATCCTGCGCTGTGGAAGGGGTGAAGCGTGCGCAAAAACAGCCCCGTTCGAAGCAAATATACTATCCCAATCAGAACATAAACGACTAAAGAGAGAGGGAGGGAGACAAAAGAAGACGTACAAGATGGAGGTTATCTCGGGGGGGGAGAGGTTGTCAGTGAGCAGGTCGCTGAGAGCCGTCGTGTCGAGCATCTTGATCTCTGGCAGCGCTGGCGCCATGGTGTCGTCGTCTCCTGGAGGCGCCAGGCAGCAGCTGTCGGTGTCAGAGTCAGTCTCGTCGGCCGCAGTGGCATCCGGGTTGCTGGCCAGGTCCGGCGGCGGGTTGTAGACGCAGTCTTCGGGGAAGAAGAAGCAGTTGTCGATGTAGTCCTCGTCGTCGTCGTACTCGATCGGTTCGTCGCTCAACTCGAGCAAGTTCTGGGCGTACTTCACGTGACTTCTTGCCCAGACGGGGATGAAGTCGGCGGGCGTGTGGAGAGTCGACGGTGAGGCAGCGCAGGGAGAGGGCGAGATGCTCCGTCCTGTTGTCTGGAGGGTGAATTCAGCCATAGGTAGCAGCAGCAGCAGCAGCGACGAGCTGGACAGTTATACAGGTGTGATGGCGCCGTAGACCCCATCAGTAGCAAGGTAGAGAAGGGACCGCGAGAGGAGAAGCCAGCAGCAGTAGTGACAGAGACGACAGTCAGCAAGGCGATAACTAGGCAAAGGGGGCCAGCTCGTGTTGTTCGAGACAGGACGGAGGCGCTATATAAGCACCTCTCGCTCTCTCACGGCCCCAGTCCATCGTTTCTCTCGAAGCCTTGTCTGTATATCCGCATCGACCGCGCCAGCGGCGGCCCATCGAGAAAAGGGAAGGCAGACACGTGTAGGGCAGACTGTTCCTTGTGGCGGCAGGTCATACATGATATGTATCATAGTAGGCCATGCATAGAGTAATAGAGTACATGATACATCCTACGGAGTAGTTATTATGGGTAACAGAAAGAAAGAAAAGAGACCTACATTAGCGGGAGTCTGGAGATCCCATCGCCATCTTTTTCTTTTTTAGATCTCTCTTTCGCTTCTGCTGCAACTTGTTCTTGTTACTCTCTCTCTCTTGTTTCTTTTTTTCTTCTTCTTATTCGTCTTCTTCGTTTCTTTTTCTTATATTTTGTCGCCAAAAGCGCGCGAAAAATAAAAAAAGAGTTAAAAAGTTTAAAAAAAGAAAGAAAGTTGATTAGTCATACGGAGCGGATCGGGCCGAGACGGGAAGGGAAATGAGGCACGTGATTGTTTATATTTAGATCCAAGGGTTGATATAAGGACAGGAGGAGACGCCAGGAGGCATGGAGAGATGGTAGAGAGACGCGGTGTTATACACAGTAGAAAGAGATCGAGATCGAGATAGAGAAGAACGAATAAAGGTGGAGTCCGGCTGACGTCTCACATCGCGGACGAGGCAGCCTTCTTAAAACTTGGCTTATGCCTAACCACCTAATCCTACTACTTAGTATGATGAACTAATGACCTGACACTAGCATCGAGTGTGTCAAGTATGGTGTGACTGTTTCTGAAAAGCGATGATATATTTCCTTCCTCCGCGTTTTGCGCCGTGACCATTTTCCATTTCTTGACAAAAACTCAACATTTGTCACTACTCATATTGCTTATGCTGTATTACTACTCCGCACTAGTCATGTATGTATATGCGATCATGTAAGTGCTGGCACAGAGACCGGGCTGCTGGTACTGGGACGGCCAGTCATCGACCCCTTCTTCTCCGCGGGGTGCATATACAATGGCCTTGACCCCACAGATATACACAAACAAACATACACAGCATGCATGAAAGGAGATGTAGGTAGCTCTGATAAATGTGCATTACTCACTGCCCCTTCAACGTCTCGTTTTGGACGATTTCCACCCAGTAGCCATCTGGGTCCAGCAGGAAGGCGATATTGTGCATCCTCCCGTCCGTCAGACGCTTCTTCCACGTCACCCCCAGCTCCTCAAACCGGGCACACGCGGCATCAAGGTTGTCCACCACCATACCTGTTCATGTTAGACGTGCTGATAAATCGCTGAAAGAAGAAAGAAAAAAAGAAGATCGACCTACAGATGTGACCGAAGCCCTGGGGCTCGCTGTTGCCGTCGTGGTATACCCTGCCCTCCTGCTTCTCGGTCCCATAGTTCCAGGTCAGCTCGAGCAGGCCCTCCCAGTTGGCGATCGGGTTGCGGGCCTCCTTCTCCATCGGCGGGTTCGACGCCGGATACCCCAAGAAGTAGAGGTTGAACCCGGCCACGGCCACCTCAGAAGTCCTCAGCAGCGTCATCCCCATCACCTCCTGGTAGAACTTGAGCGAGGCGTCCTTGTCCTTGACCCGGAGCATGGTGTGGTTCAGACGGTACGACTGAGGGTCGGTCTCTGCCACGGCCTCGTCCACGTCCCCACGGCGGATGAGCTCAACCCAGTAGCCATCCGGGTCCTTGACAAAAGCGATATGCCTCATCCGGCCGTCCGTCAGCTTCTTTTGGAACGGATACCCGGCGTCCTCCAGCCGCTTGCAAGCCAGCTCGATATTATCTACCGAGATGGCGATGTGGCCAAAGCCACGATGCGGCTCCGTGTTGCCATTCGCGACGGAGAAGTTCGGGTCGTCTTCCGTGCCGTAGTTGTGAGTCAGCTCGAGCACGCCGTTCCTGTCGGTCCAGTGCTTCGTGCCAGAAAGCGATTTGGGGCCATCGTACGCCAAAAAGTAGAGCGAGAACTTGGCATCATCGAAGTCGAGCCGGTTGATTTGCGTCAGGCCAAGGAAGCTGTAGAATTCCACTTGTTCTTGTCAGCCTGTCGTCTCTCTTTATTTAGTATACCAATGTGATGGACTCACGCGATCTTTTCGGGTCTTTTACCCGAATCATCGTATCTATGGATGTTTTAGCATTTGTGCACTCTCAGTCTAGCACGAGACTGTACCCACGATGAAGCTTATACTTGGAAGGATCCGTCATTTTGTCTGTCTAATGTGCTGTTATGTTGATGAGTTCCTGTTCCCTCCTGTTAGCATATGTAGGTAATCAGGATGAGGGGCCAGAATATCAGATATACAACCTACAAGAGCGAGCTGCTAACGGAATCCGTTCATGAAGCCGCCAGACGTAGAGAGCAAACTCGCTTTCGGCAGTCTATTTATTAGCAGCGAAAGCTGATAGAACTGAGAGCTGATGATGAAACTGGCTTATAAATCTTTAATGATGTAACAGCCTGTGAGGGGCTCTTTTTCGTTTTTTCTTTTCGTCCGAACTTTCCGCCTATGTCGTATTTATTTAGATCCGTTAGATATTCGACCTGGAATAGACTGATAGTATAGCTGTGATTTGGGGGTTCGATTCTAGTTGTGTATATTGAGTGGAACTATGGACTATAGTATAATGTCATACGTTGTATACTGTCGAAGAACCTCATCTTCTGCATAAAAGACGCTTTTCATAGAAACAGAGATATGCTATACTAGTTGTGCGACAGCCTGCGAGATTGGAAATCAAAGGGCAGTCTTGCTTTCATGAATCACCCTCTTCTTAGACTTGAGCTTCAGCTGGGTATGTTAGCCTGAATGATACTGCAAGCGGGTAAAGCGAGTATAAATGAGGACATGGATTTCGAAACAACTAACCACGGATACAGTGATGGCCTGATTCTTCCTCTTTCATATGCGTATTTAGCTGTATCTCGAATGATGTCTCAGGGTCCTCCTGTGAACTCCTCATGGGCGTCTGGATCACCCGCAGGAGAACGTGTGTTGACCAACCTATGAAACATGACAGTGTTGGTTGTAGGTGTGCATAGATATAAATGGTCATTGCACTCTCAATGTCATAATTATCGGCAGAAATTTGTCATCTCTCGCTGGGGTGCAAGTGCCGATAATGTTGGAATATTCTAATCATGGCATAGCCTCCTCGACTTGGGAGACTGGCAACGTTGGCTGAGCAGTATTCAGATGCGTTATTACATCTGCCTATTTCCTCAAGTGCTTAATGGCTGGGGTTTGAGTAATCACTGTTTTCAACCCCCTGCTTCACTAGTCGCCGTTTTTTCCGTTCCATGTCTTCCTTCATAATCCTCTCGATCTGTGTCATCTTCTTGGGCGCCTCGGGGGCCGTTTTGGTTCCAGAGGGCTGTTTCCGCTTCATGCCGAAGACGTTGGGCTTTTTGGCCGGTTTGTCAGCTGGATTCTGCGTTGGGTCTTGCTGCTTCTTCACCGTCTGATCGGAGGGCTTTGGTGCATTGCCGGACGATTTCAAATTGAGGCTAAAGTCCGTCCACTTCTCCTTGGCTAGCTCTGCGGGCTTCTCAGGCTCGGCGGAAAGGGCCGTGTTCTGACGGGCCCTTTCGACCTGCTTGAGGATCTCCTTTTGCTCTGAGACTTCCTGTTCCTCCAGGCGGTTTGCCCTCTGCACGATATCTCGTCGTCGAATAGCTTCAGGGCTGTTGTCGATCCACTGCACGAAGATTCCGTCGTCCTTCTCCTCCACTCGACAGATGCCTTCCCTCGCAAGATATTTTGCAAACTCCGTCAAGCTTGGCCACTTTGTACTGTTGAGGTGAACGTGTGTCTTGTCGGAAATGTACTCCTGGTAAAAGCGGTTGAGGTGGATGGCCTTTTCACCATGTGACGTCCGAAGCAACTGGAGAAAATCATGCTGGAATTCCTTGCTGTACCCTTCAATAAACTTCTTTGGGTTTTCCGCCACTATCTGCATCGCACGTACATGGCTCTCGCTGAGCGTATGTTGCTTGAAGCCGTTCTCGTCGCGCGTCTGTTTCTGGCAAACCTCGCACCACCATCGCAGCCGTTGAAGACCTTTCTACGGGAATAGAGAGTTAGCTCAGGTGCCACACAGAGATCAACTGCTAATTCAACTACTGTATCAACTGCTGTCTTACCAGTTTCTTCTGCGGCCTGCCAGCATGCTTGCCCCCAGTCTCCGCAGGCGCCATCTTGACTCACTTGGTGGGCGAGTAAGCGGCCGAGTGCCGTGAAACCGACACAGTGTATCCTGCTAATTAACAGCAGAAGTAAATAAGGACCAGCTCTATCGATCTATTCGTATGCGTAGAGTAGTAATAATAATATCAACAATTATAATATCAAAAAAGTCGTTTTTTATTACTGGATTAAAAAAAAAGCAATTCGGAGTTTAGTTATCCCGGTCATGTGACTCGTACGATATCCGCTTTTAAGTCTTTAAAGTCGAAGCTGGTGATGGAGATGAAGAAGTAGAGGAAGAAGACGTTGATGGTAGAGAAGAGAAGAAAGAGATGCTGGTTTTGAGGTTGAAGATGGCTATTTTATAATAGCTGAATGGTGATGGCTTGTTACATTTAATCTACGTATGTTTCATGCAAATATTGATAGAGTCGGCTGGATAGCTAATAACATCCCAGTTCCATCAAGCCCACATTACAAGTAGTAAACAAGACGGCACGAAGAAGCACCCGAGGTTTACAGATACAGCTCGCCGTTGACATCCATATGTGGGTATACCCCGCCGGGCTGCCGTAGGAGACGTTACGACAGAGGGTGCCATCTCCTAGCATATTCCCCTGTCCATGCTACATTGGCAGACCGCATAGTATATTAAGCGACCTCCTATGTATTTTCAGCAAATTAAGGGACCAAAGAACGTGTTTGCTGCGGTAGCTGACGACTCATGCCCGGTTTTGTTGTATCACACTGACTACAAGTTCTTGGGGTTGACTGCCAGTCGAGGAGACAACGAGTCTGGCTCTCCATTCACCTCTGACCTGGTACTGCCTAATCCCACAGAACGTGTTTAGAGATGATGCCTATTTTTCGATTTGTTGCTATTTTGGCACTCTCGCTGGCTCCGGCAACATCTGCTTTATCGCCGTCGTCATCACCTCTTGTGTCCAAAGCTGGTCAGAGTGAAATTATTCCTGGATGGTATTTACAGTCAGAACGCCATGTCCAACGCGACGTCTCCAAGCTCTCATTACCAGGGACCGATGTCTCCTCGTGGTATCGAGTCAGTTCGCGGGCCACCGTGATGGCTGGTCTTATTGAGAATAAGGTCTACGAAGAGTCGCATCTCTTTTTCTCGGAGAACTTCAAATCTCTCCCCGACGCAGACTTTCGTGATGTTTCCTGGTTGTATAGAGAGCAGTTTAACTTGCGGCCCGGCCGCGGACAGTATTTCACCCTGCACACGCACGGCATTACTTCCAAAGGAGATATCTACCTAAATGGCCACAGAGTGGCGTCAAAGGATGTCCAGGCTGGGTCTTATGGCGGCCACCAGTACGATGTCACTGCGTATGTTCGCCAGGGCGACAACTGTCTACTGATCAAAGCTTACCCTACTAACTATCTCCGCGACCTGGCTATGGGTTTCGTTGACTGGAACCCATACCCACCGGACAATGGCACTGGGGTTTGGCGTAATGTCGAATTCTCGCAGAGTGGCCCAATCCAGCTGTCTGACCCTCGTGTGGTCACCGATTTTACCCATGGAGTCAAGGTAAATAGCGTGAAAATAACAGTCAAAACTGATGTTCATAATGCTGGCAAGGAAACGATCAAAGGCAGCATCAGAGGAGTCATCGAGGGAGGCCGGGGCCAAAAGCACCCAGTTTCTGCTGCTTTTTCTCTTCGGCCTGGCGAATGGCAGACTATAGAAATGACAACCAACATTAGAAATCCAAAGATATGGTGGCCGGCTGCATGGGGCGATCAGCCTCTATACACCGCTCAAATATCCGCCTTCATAGGTGAGAAGGTCTCTGATGGGCCAAAGAAACGCAAGTTCGGCATCAGACATGTTGAATCCAGAGTTAACTCACAGGATACTGTGGAATTCAAGGTCAATGGGAAACCATTCTTCGTCATGGGCGCAGGGTATTCATCCGATATCTTCCTGCGGTTTACAACCGAAAGGATCACCACGATATTCCAATACATACTGGACATGGGCATGAATACCGTTCGCTTAGAAGGGAAACAAGAACACCAGGAGCTCTATGACATCGCTGACAGTATGGGACTTATGGTTATGAGTGGGTGGGAATGCTGTGATCATTGGGAAGGCTGGTCATATAACACCGAAGGGTTCGGACAACTCTGGACTGATGCGGATTACCCGATTGCCAACTCCAGCATGCTTCATGAAGCTGAACTGATGCAATCTCACCCTAGCATGCTGGCGTTTCTGGTCGGATCCGACTATTGGCCAAATGATCAAGCTACCGAGATTTATATTGACGCTCTTAAGCGTATGGACTGGAACGCTGCAATTATTTCGTCAGCTGCAAAACGAGGGTTCCCCAAACTCCTTGGTCCCTCTGGCATGAAGATGGACGGTCCATATGACTGGGTGGCGCCATCGTATTGGTACGGCGATAAACTTGGGGCTGCTGGGGCTGGCGGGTTCGGTTCAGAGCTTGGGGCTGGCGTAGGCACCCCAGAGATCCGTAGCTTGAAGAAGTTCCTATCCAAAGAAGATATGAATGATCTATGGACGAAGCCGGACAAGCTGCTTTATCATATGTCTGCCGGCGTGTCCCAATTCCGTGACCGCTCGATATACAACAAGGCACTGTATAATCGATATGGCAAGCCTGAGAGCTTGGAGGACTACTCCTTGAAAGCCCAGGTTATGGACTACGAGGCGACCCGTAGTGAGTATGAGGCGTATGCTGCCTATAAGAGTAACGTGAAGTCAACAACTGGCCTGTAAGTCTTTACATTATTTCTTCTCTCCAGTCGTTTTTTCTGATATCATCGTTGCAGGATCTATTGGATGTTGAACCCGGCCTGGCCCAATTTACACTGGGCTTTGTTTGACTACTATTTAAAGCCCATGGCTAGCTACTTTGGAACCAAAACTGGAACACGCGTAGAACATGCTGTGTTCGATTACCAGCAGCAGGCAGTTTACCTGATTAACCACTCTCTTCTCAAGAGCGGCCCTCGCAGTGTTACAGTAGACCTCATCGATAGGGATGGCAAGCCCATGAGCCACAGCGTCGTCAAGACAAACACAATACCACTCAAGTCCAAGAAGCTTTCCAAAGTCCACGGCCTAGATAGGAACAAAGATGTCGCTTTCCTCCGTCTGCTTCTCAAAGACGCGACTGACAAAGTGCTGAGTCGTAACGTTTACTGGCTTCCCCAAATGGAGGACGTGCTTGACTGGGATAACTCTACCTGGTATCATACACCCGTTACAAAGTACGCCGATATGAAGTCATTAAACAAGCTACACAAGGCAGATGTCTATGTCAACATTGGTAGAGGACGGGAGGTGTCCCCTGGCAGAGTGAAAGCTCACGTCACTCTGCGGAATAAATCTAGTCATCCGGCTTTCTTTATGCGGCTGAGTCTTCTAGATAAGGCGAAGGAGGATGAAGTTACGCCTGTGTTCTGGGAAGACAACTATGTCACTTTATGGCCGAACGAGGAACTGGAGCTATACGTTATCTATGCAAGAACGGGCAGGATTGAGCTAGAGGTATCGGGATACAACGTTGAAAAGATAATTGTCCGGCCGTGATTTACATGGAAGGCGAAGAGTTTCGGGTATATATTGCAATGCTATCATTATTCCATATTCCACCATATACCAATGCTATTGTATATATTCATAAATCGTATATAACCCCCCTCTGAACCCGGCAAAACTCCATGCACACCCGTGTTACTTCCTGATGAAAAAGACAATCTACTTCTTCGGGGCTCTCTGAGCCTGAATTATCATCTCGACCACCTTATCGTGGCCTTCTTCGGCCGCAAGCTGCAGAGGGGACGAGCTGACTCCGCCAGGTTTGAATTCAGCACTTGGGTTGGCGCCGCGTTCCAGCAAGAGGCTAACAATCGTCTCTGCTCCGTTCCTGGCAGCCATATGTAAAGGCATCCATCCATCCTCATCAGCAGCATTGACATCGATATCCAAGCCGACCAGAATCCTTGCAATCTCTTCATGCTGGTGCAGTGCTGCCATATGCAAGGTTGTTCTATTCATAACCGACATTACCCTTGGGTTTGCCCCATGCTGAACAAGATACTGTACAATATCATCGTGGCCCCATCTGGCAGCCAGAAGCAACGGTGTCCAGCCACTAGAATTCTTCGCTTCGATGTCTGCCTTTCCCTTCTCGACGAGCAGCCGAACTGTTGATTCCTTTTTATGATAAGCAGCCAGTGCTAGGGCCGTCCAGTCACCGTCAGCCCTGGCATCAACCTCAGAACCGCTCTCTATCAGAAGCAAGACGATGTCATCGTTCCCTTCCTCTACCGCAGCATGTAGAGCCGTATAGCCGGCCTCATTCTTTGCATGGATCCTGATTCCGGAGTTGATGAGGAACCTCGCAATTTCTAAGTTGTTGTACTTTGCTGCAATGTGCAGCGCCGTGCGTTTATCATGGATGACCGAGCGAATGCTGAGCGGCTCCTTGGTCGAGAGCACAAATCGAAGAACCGGGAAGTGATTCTGTCTGGCGGCGACGTGCAATGCATCCCAGCCTTCGTTATTGACCGTATGTGCGTCGGCACCCCAGTTGAGATAGAATTTCATCAGGTCAAGGTGTCCGTTCCACGCTGCGAGGAGATATGGCGACCAGGGAACCCTTTGGGCATCTGACGGGTTGATTTCTGCGCCAGCCTTGAGCAAGATGTCTGAGATATCTCGCAGGTTCTTGGATGCAGCGACTCCCAGTGCTGTCATGCCTTCATCGTTCGCCGTGTCGACGTTTACACCAGCTATCAAAAGGGCGTTGACGGCCGCTACGGACTTGTCCTGGTTGTGAGATATCACCTTCTGAAGTGGCGTCCAGCCACTGGAGTCTGCGCAGTTGACGTTGACGCCGGCCTTTATCAGGGCACTAAGCACGCCGACATGATTATTCTTCACAGCCAGATGTAAGGCTGCTTCTTCGTCGGAGAGTGGGCTGTGTTTCAGGGGGTTGGTTTCCTCCGCCCGGGTGTCCGCTGCACTGATATTGGTATCGACGGCCTCTGCCACAGTCTCGTTTGAAGGCACCTCCACCGCCTCGGAGTATGGAGGAGGAGGAATCAGGTGCTCTTCGGGCGACTGGGGAGGGTAACTGGGTGGATTTTGTTCATTCTGCTGCTGCTGCTGCTGTGGTGGCAGCTGGGAATGCCCACTTCGGCCAAAGAACGCCTTCATTTTCGTCATATCCTAGAGCAATGTCTGGTTTGAGGTCTTCTTTGCATATCGTGTACACGAGAGATCCCCCCTTTTGTGAATGCCGGACTGTTGTTGACCTTTGGGCAGTCAAAACTTGTCGATAGCAAGCCTCGTACGGTCACCTGACAAAGGTACTTCGTGTTGTATGTAACTTTGTATGTAGATGGAAGTACCTTTGGTCTTGCACGATACTCGAAAGCCGAAGCAGTAACATATACTTTACGATGTCTGTTGTATAGTTACCAATGTAAAGCCATAATGTTCTAATCATGCATCTCTGAGAAGCAGTAAGTATACGAAATTATCAAAACATCGCCCCTGTTTAATAGCTCGTAATTACTGACCAGCCTCGCTTGGTGGCGCAGGCAGCAGTCTGGTCCTCAAAACGACTTTCAAAGCTGACCGTCGATTACCCATTATCCCACAGTGACCGTCTACCTGCCTTCCTGCCTGGAACTTCCTGTGTCTATATAATTCAGGGAGGAAACTATCCAAAGGGAACTCCCTCTCCGCCGCGGAAACAAACGCCCGCCGGGAACCTCGGCTCTCCTCCCCGCCCTTCGGCTTTCCGCCCGGCAATTTTTGCTCTTTCGAAAGCCAAAAACCAGGGTAGCGTGATAAAAGGCTTGCTCTTCCCTTTGATAATAGTGCCCAAAGCCTTCAGGATGGTCGTCCCAGCTATAAGAGTCGCTCCGTCGGCGGCAACTAGGGCGTTGAACCTGCTCCGGACCGTCCAGTACACCCACCCTCCCAGCTGTCCATGCCACTCGAACCCGTCGCATCACCATCACCACCAGCCGAGCCAGATCTCTGCGGTGGCCAAACATGTACGCAACTTTGCTTCACCAATTGACGCCTCGCAGCAAAAGGAGTACGCCTTCGAAGTGGCTGCCTCTAGTATACGGTTTGGCCCTGGAGCCACGAGAGAAGTTGGGATGGACTTCAAGAACCTGGGTGCAAAGAGAGTGTGCGTCGTCACGGATAAGAATGTGGCCAAGCTGAATGCCATGAAGCAGGCTGTCGAGGGCCTCAGCAAGGAGGGAATCGAATTCACCGTCTACGATCAAGTCAGAGTCGAACCGAAGGATTACTCGTCAGTCTTACACTTGCACTAACATACACAGATTATTTAAACTGACGCTTATATACAGGATTAAAGATGCGATTGCGTTTGCTAAGCCGTATAATCCGGATGCATTTCTTGCTGTTGGTAAGAGATATCCTGTTTATCTGGGCTAGTAGGCATGGCATCACTGACAGACAGCAACCACAGGCGGGGGATCGGTCATCGATACCTGTAAACTGATGAACCTTTACTGCGTCTATCCGGAGGCTGGCTTCCTTGACTTTGTCAATGCGCCACTGGGCAAAGGCTTGCCTATCGCCAGAACTCTCAGGCCGCTCATCGCCATCCCAACCACCGCGGGCACTGGAGCAGAAACCACTGGGACGGCGATTTTCGATCTGACCGACAAGAAGGCCAAAACCGGAGTAGCACACCGGAACATGAAGCCGACGCTGGGCATCTGTGACCCTCTCAACACTCGAACTATGCCGCCGGCTGTCCATGCTTCCTCCGGGCTGGATGTGCTCTGCCACTCGCTCGAATCCTGGACGGCGATTCCCTACAACGAGCGCACTCCCAGGCCTACCAACCCCATAAACCGGCCTGCGTATCAGGGTGCCAACCCAATCTCAGACATATTCTCCCTCCAGTCCCTCCGGAGCACGGTCAAGTATCTCCCACGCGCTGTAAGGGACCCAGAAGACCACGAAGCCCAGAGTCAGATGCTCCTTGCCGCTACTCTGGCTGGTGTAGGCTTTGGCAACGCCGGCGTTCACCTATGTCACGGCATGAGTTACCCTGTATCAGGCCAGAACCCAGGCTACAAGCACAAGGGTTACGAAGTAGACCACGACATAATTCCTCACGGAGTATCCGTCGCCGTCACTGCTCCAGCCGTCTTCCGCTTCACGGCCGCCAGCAACCCAGACCGTCACCTGGCGGCCGCAGAGGTCTTCGGAGTAGATATATCCAACGTCAAGCGAGAGAGCGCCGGAGAGGTCTTGAGTGAAGCCATTGCCGAGTTTCTAATCGGTTTGGGTGACCAGCCAAGGGGTCTGAAGGCTCTAGGATTCGATAACTCGCATCTCGACATGTTGATTGAAGGCACCATTCCACAGCAGAGAGTGCTCAACTTGGCTCCCAATCTTAGCAAAGAGCTCGGGCAGGAACGAGAGCAGTTACGGAAATTGTTTGAATTGTCCATGGAGTACTAGGCTTCTTCCCCCTTTTTACATATCTATATACATACATGAACGGCCGTCCCCACGATGTCCTGTGATGAACATTATGCGACATAGAATAGCTTTATCGGCCCAAACAGCTTGTCATCTTAAAACTCGCCCTCTTCGTCTGTTTATCTTATGCATCAGTAATTTTTGACTCCAATTTCCCAAAGAACCTTGCGAGAAATTATCTATATTAAACCCGCTGCGGGTACAACGACTACCAGTCACTGCCGCCAGTTACCATCACAAGCTTCGGCTGTTTCCATGGATCTACAACGAATGCATAACTACAGAAAGCTACGATTCCAAAGCCAGCCTCGAGGTTCATGTCAGAGACAGATATCCAGCAAACAAGCCCCTGAGTGACTGAGAATACCCGTATCTGGGGACCTTTGAAGCCAGAAACCCCCGTTTTCTTCGTCTCCCTTCTCTCCCATGGTTGTTCTCCCATGCCCTCTTTTCTACCCTATGACAATAAAAACCTGTGATTGGCCTTGGAAACGACAGTGGCGGACAGTTCGCCCAGTTCATTCGCGGAGAAAACTCTCTGGCATGTGAGACAAGAGCCTTGCTGTCCCCAAGGGTGGCACTTCTCGGAGTCACTTGAGGTAGTTTATCTTCTACTGAGGCTCTTGATCCCCTCTGGCTTCATCTGTATAAAGGCGGTTGTTCCTCTGCAGAGCCTCGTTGGTTATATGTTACACCCACACCTATGAACCACCTAAACTACATATTACCGCTGACCAAGAACCCTGGGAATATCATTAGAAAATGGCAGTTCCTATAAAAAACGGTCTAACATCTCGTTCCAAGGTCCTTGTACCGGAAGAGTTGTCTCCAGATGGCCTTGCTCTGCTAAGGACGAGCCTAGACGTCGACGAACGCCAGGGGCTGAGTGCTGAAGAACTCATCGAAATCATTCCCGAGTACGAAGCTCTCCTCGTACGTTCTGGGACCAAAGTGACAGCTTCTCTTCTGCAAGCGGCAAGGAAGCTCAAGGTCGTTGCTAGAGCTGGTGTCGGCGTTGACAATATTGGTGAGATAGTCCTTGTGCTATGTCTTTATATCTAACTTGAACGCAGCTAAATTAATATTCTTTATAGATATTGATGCCGCCACCAAACAAGGCATCGTTGTCGTTAATTCACCTTCCGGCAATAATATGGCCGCGGCGGAGCATACAATTGCGCTCCTAATGTGCATGGCAAGGAATATCCCGGATGCATGCTCGAGCCTGAAGAGCAACAGATGGGAGAGGAGTCGACTAGTCGGAGTGGAAGTACATGGGAAGACACTGGGGATAATCGGCCTGGGAAAAGGTATTTATATCTCTTATTCACATCTTGATCGTATAATAGGACTATATTAATATGATACTGGATAGTGGGCTTGATTGTGGCCCGTCTGGCCAAAGGCTTAGGCATGAAAGTCAACGCCGTTGACCCCTATGCCTCTTCTGCAGTAGCTGCATCTGCATCAGTCACCTTGATGCCGTCTCTCTCAGCCTTGCTTCCTACCGCTGACTTTTTGACCATTCATACCCCCCTGATTGCGTCTACCAAGGACATGATTTCAACCGCCGAATTAGCCCAGATGAAGCCTGGCTCTCGGATCCTTAATGTGGCCCGCGGTGGGACAATAGATGAGCTAGCCCTCCTGAATGCCTTGGAATCAGGCCATATTGCAGGGGCAGCAATTGACGTGTTTGCTACAGAGCCCCCTTCGCCTGGTTCAGCCTCAGCTAAGCTCGTTGCCCATCCTCAAGTTATTCCAACGCCGCACCTAGGAGCCTCTACTATTGAAGCACAGGAGAACGTTTCAATAGACGTATGCGAACAGGTACTCCAGATATTGGGCGGGGCATTACCACGAAGTGCAGTAAATGCTCCACTTATCCTGCCAGAAGAATACAAAAAGCTTCAACCCTATGTTCGTCTGGTCGAGAAGATTGGAAGCATTTATACCCAGCATTACGGCGCTGTAAAGGACCAGGTCTCGAATTGTAATACCTTTGACCTAATATATGAAGGTGAAGTTGCGGAGATGACCAATACAAAACCGCTTTTTACCGCTCTTATAAAGGGACTCATCAGCCCCATAAGCAAAGATTTGAACGTGAGCATTGTGAATGCTGAGCTTGTCGCCAGAGAACGCGGGATAATAATCAACGAGCGGCGTTCAAGGGATAGTCCGTCCCACTCGTACTCCTCCCTAATTACCCTCGTTGCCGGGGCGCCAAGGAATACTAAGGGAGAGGATCCCGGGTCACATCGTGAATACAACCACATCATCTCCGGAACTTGTTCAGAGTCTCAACCTCTGATATCTAGACTAGACCGCTTTACAGCGTCTTTTGTCCCTGAAGGCACACTGCTTATCTGCCACAACTTTGATTCTCCAGGTAAAATCGGTGTTGTTGGTAGCATCTTGGGGGGGAAAGGGGTGAATATCAACTTTATGAGTGTTGCACCTGTTTCAAAGGGCAAACAACAGGACGGGGTTGGAGCTTATGACGAGGCACTGATGATTCTCGGAGTTGATAAAGCAGTGGATGAGAGCGTGGTAAAGGCTCTTGTCCAGGAGGGAGGAGTTTTGAACGCTAGTGTAGTTTTGTTATAGTGAATGTGTATTCAATTTGATTACGGAGGGGGGAAAATATATAACAGCCAATTTGATAGGAAGATAGTTTGTATTCATGTAAAGATATCGACTATTCAAGGGGATAGTGAGACTCTAGTCCTCACTGTATAAAAGTAGTGTTCCCTTAAAAAAAACTCCACTCCATGAGAATCCATCCCCTATACCCCGAGATTCATATAGGCTGTAACCCAAATGATTTCACGATGACATCACCGGACAGCTCACCAAATAACTGGCACAGGATTCCTGTGCTTTGCGGGGTATTTGGTTTTGGCTGGCTCCCTGTACTTCCATGGGCCTCCGGGTATGGGTGTTATATGGTCAACAGCAGACTGGGTTGGTACAGGGTGGCCAACTTTATCTTTTTCTGATCGTTTCGCAGGAGGTTTCGCAGATTTTGCCGCGGTTGATTGTGTGTGTTCTAAAGTAGGGTTGGCACCTATATATGCCCTAATCTTTTTGATAGTTTCTGTGAATGCCGTCGATCTGGCCTCGACTGTGTTTCGATGTTTCGTGAAGGGAGGAGGTACATTGTGGAGGTGCCACTGTGGTGGTATTCTGCCGCCATTATCAACTCTGGCAGAAACCTTGTTCATCTCCAGAGCACCTGAACCTGTGAAGGGATCGGACCCGGTGTGGGTGTGGCTGCCACTGGGGATAGATATAATGACGTCTCCCCTTATGTCGATAGGAATTGGGCCACCAAGGACGATTCTTCCAAAAGCCAGAAGAGCAATGGCAAAACTGCCAACGGACGTAGTGATAATTGTCATTTTGAGAATAACAAAATACCCTTTTCGAGAGAGGGATTGGAAATAAACTTGAGGGCCTTTGTGCAGGAAACTCAGAGGCAAGCCATAGCTAGAGGGTTGACCTGGGATATATACCCACAGCCCTTTGGAACGCGGCACTCTATATGTAACATTGACGATGACCGAAGGGCCACAAGAATAAAGAAGAGGCATCTATCTGACCTCGAGATAATGCGTGAATATCTCCAGTATTGGCGTGTCCAGTTCATCGTAGGGCCGTGAACCGCGGGCAGATGACCTAGAGTTCTTTGTCCTTGATGCCTTGCACAACATGAGAATAAGAAGCCAACCCTTGCAGCGAGAGATATTTCGAACTATACAACAATGGAACAATCATCGGGCCACTAATGCGGTTTCACGTAATTGACGAGGGCTCCATTCGTTCCTCGAATGGAATCTGCTTGGATCTTCCAGCATGGAGCCATTTGGACATCATGGAAATGGCGCACGTCCTAGGATAGTTATTATATTGAGCAGCCATCCTAGCGCCACTGGCTGTGCCGCTTGTTGGGGGTTCTCAACTTTGTTGCCCGCTTTGAGGTTATTTTATTTCTGTTGGATTTCGCGCATTCACGTGAGAGGTCGAAGAGAAAAAGGAGAAGAAGATACCTATACTAATTGCCCAAGGAAGTTCATTTGGGCCCGAATTGCCGTATATACATGGTGCCGGCTGATGAATACCCCGATTTATACAAAACATAAAAAATGATCAAAGAGGTAAGAACAAGAGAAATAACACGGAGCACCAACGTCATTAGAATCGGAAGGCCAGGGCCTCCTTATTCGGCCCCCTCGCGACGGAAAACACAGTTAAACTCCTCGCCTGGAGAGAGAGTCACGTCGGTTTTGAGAATGGGATCGGTTCCTGGCGGAGGACATCCGATTCCGGTAATCTCAGAATAATGCTGCAAAATGCGAGTAATAGTATATCCCATTTCGATGGTAGCAAACTGCTGTCCCAGACATATCCTTGGGCCGCCGTTGAAGGGAATGAAGTGCCATGGCTTCGGTTGCCAGCCGGAAGTCCAACGCTCAGGGTGGAACTCATGGGGGTCGTACCAAGGCTTAGCCTTTTCCTCGGGAGATGAGGAGGCGGATGGAGGCGGGTCGTATAAATCGCGCCTTCGTTGCATAGCCATTGTTGAGTAGAGGATCCGGGTATCGGCAGGAACACCAATGGGAGATTTGCCGTCAAGGCCGCCGCCACGGGGGAGTGTCGTGTCGACAACGGCATGGCGAACATTAAACGGTACAACAGGGTACAGGCGCATGGTTTCGTTAATGACAGCGTTGACATATTTCATTGCTTTCAAGTCACCGTAGGTTGGCTTGTTAGTCCCGCATGTTGCAAAGATCTCTGCTCGTGCTTTCTTAACCGTTTCTGGATGGCGGGATAGTTCAAACATGGCAAAGGCAAGGGTAGCGGCAGTAGTGTCACGGCCGGCAAGCAAGATAGCAACGAGCTGGTCGCGTAGAACAACTGGGTCACGAGTGAACCTGGCGAGAGCGTGAAGGAATGTGTCTTGCTTGGAAAGCTTGCTGTCTAATTCTTCGGGCGTTAGGGCTAGCACCTGGTTAATGAACTGCTGGAGGAAGTCATTCATCTTTCGAATATTGGCCTTGAATTCTCGTTCTGAAAAGAACTTTCGTAGGGGACTGTGGTGGTGTTAATATTTATAATTTTTACATGAGGGCATTAATAACTGTCAAAGAGGAAAAGAGAAAAGACATACCCTGCCCTGAAGAGGACGGACTGTTTATGTAGAACATATTGGAAAGATTCTGCAAAGGAGGTTTTCGGGTCATCCAGACTATCGACACTCTTCCCAAGCAAGTAATCAGTTGCAGCATCTAGGGTGAATCTAAAAAACAAGGGTCCAACATCTACAATGCTGCCCCCATTTTCGTTTGTGGCGAGTCGCGGGATCAACTTTTCGATGTGCTTCTCAAAGATCTCGGTGTCGACAAATCTCTCCTTTGCAAACATCGGCCGAATCAAGTGTCTAGATCGCGACCAGAGCTCTCCATCAGTCGCGAAGATGCTGTCACCCAAGAAATCTTTCCATTCCTTATGGAAACGCCAGCCCTTTCCATAATCACTGAACTGGCTGGTCAGGACAGCTTTGATGTTTTCTGGATCAGCAGTGAAGATGTTGCGTGCATGGGGGCGGACCTTTAGTTCGGCTGTTGCTATGGAGCCACCCCAAGGTGATGGGGTGGTTTCAAATATCGATGTAAAAAATTCAAGATCTCTGTGTTTTTTCGCAGCACTGAACCCCTTGGCAATGAAGTCGGCACCTAGTTTAGATAACATATTAGAAAAGGTTCCTTTCCCCAATGATATAAGAGCTACCGCAATCTCCTAACTCACTTAGTGGCAGATAGGTTTTAATGCGAGGAGCAAATGCTCCTAGCCTGGACACCTTATAATCTGTGTATAAGTCATAACCCACATAAAAAAGGACAATAACGACGAGAGACCACAGAAATCCGCCACCAAGGGAAAGTTTCTGAATGATTTCTTCAATCATTTTATTTAAACTGCATATGCGCTCTCTCGTTCGCAAAAGTTGGTTCCTCGTGCACAAGGGTTGTAAGAGTAGAGTTAATTGCTCTATTTGCGAAGGCCGTCAAGTTGTGACAACCCTAGCAGGTTAATTGATCGTGCGCTCTGGGATGTGATAAGAAAGACTGTTTTAATTCGGCCACAACATGCAGACACACACAGTATTTGATTAAAGACGATACCCTAATCGAAGGGGAATAAAGGAGCGGGGATATCGATAAAATACCCCCCGAAGCAGTGGCCAAATGAAACCGTTAACTATTGGCTTGGGCGCCTAGAACGGTGAGATATCTCCCCGGAGTGCCGCTGGAGCCGAGGAAGGATGGGGAATTGGCTGTTTTGTCCAGCATGTGGGTGAAACAGCCTGTCATCTTCCAGGAACATCATCCACAAACTTGATATAAAAAACGAATACGGTAATAGGTCGGACCAAGGGCGTGCAAAGCTTTCCTTGTGCGGAAACGTTGTACCTTGGAATGGTGCCTGGGATATTCAATTGATTGGCTGAGTAATAATAGTGTCCTCATCCAAGCTCTCCAAGCTCTGGGCAGCCGACTCGTCAAGATCAAGAGATGAAGGACCCAGCGTGAAGAATTAGCAGTGATACAGAGTAATGGCGGTCGCTTTCTATTCATTGAAAGCACCGTGGTCAGTCTGTCGAACTTTTTGGCTGGGGGAATATAAATTTGCGGGAGTTTCAATATTCTATATTCTCGCATGTGAGGAGGACTTGCTTAGATAATAGTTAACTAAATAGTTATTGCAAGGTCAGGGGCCTTTTTGCTTCGGAGACACGGGATAATGTTGAGCCCGCCGGGTGGTTGTGCGATGTTAGGAGGGAAGTGTCCTCTGGCGGATACAAAACTGGTTGACTGATGGTGATGATGATGGCGTGAAATGGAGCTCGATTGGCTCTCAGCACATAGTTAAAACCTGTCGTTCTTCGATTACCCTAATACGAAACGATAGAACGGAGGTTCACCATGTAGTAACTTCCCCTTACATAGTAGTTGGTGCCTGAAGTCACATTGCGCAACCATTCACACACACTGCCCTGTATGTGGTAGTATATCATTTGGACAATCGTTGCACTAATAAATGTTCGCTCATCCCGTAACCAATACATACTGTGTATCGTGGGGGTGCTCTGTTTTTCAAGGTCCTCTCATATATAACCGCTGCGGGCTAATTACAGGATCAACAAGCTCCTTTTTTATCCAGCTTTTGAGAGGGAAGGCAAAGGCCTAGATCAATAGCTAATAATTCCGTTACAATCCGGATAAGTTGAGTATCTCGAAGAGCATCATGGACTCGCGTGGCAATTCTGCTTGAAGGTAAGCTGGGTTTTGTCGATATTTTAGACCTAGGTTAGGTTCTAAGAAGGGTCATCCCGTGTTTTATGAAAGCATTTGGTATGCGGGGAAACATGAGTGATTAGATCTTTCATGTGTAAGTCAAGGAGTTGATACTCGGCGGAAGATTTCAACTTGATATGGCCGCTGGAGGTTTAATATCATAAGATTCCCCGCTTATCCAGGCAAGACATGATCAATAGTGGCTGTATAACTAAGTAAACCAATCTCCGGGAATACCGAGATACCAAGTCTCAGCTCATACGTATAACTATATCGACTCTTTCTGGGAAAATAGCCACGTCTGGCACAGATGGTACGTAACTTGGATTAGCTTCGGGGTTGAGGGAAGACCGGGTTAGAAGCATGGATATGGAATCGATTCAAATTGACGGATGCAACTGCATCAATAATTATGCTGTAACCCTCGGTTGAAATACGTTTCCGGATCAACGCCTGGTCCTTAATACTATTGCTACTTTGGCAAGCCCGAGACGGATGCTGGAAATCTTTGAGCTAGAGTAGGAGTAAAGCGGCTGTTGGAATTTTTAAAGAGCATGGATGACATACAGTTGGTATTGTTGTAGAAATTAGCACCTTGCCGGTCTCGAAGCTAACTTGGTAGTTGCCATTTCCGTAATATAGTTGTGGGGAGATTACCCTTGATCCGCTGTGGATATCTTATTATGAATTCTTTGATTGTGGGAATTCACTGTCGACTGAGGGCTGAGAGTCATGATAGCGAGGATGAAATTTCTAGGGCACAAACTTGTTAGTAAAAATTCGTCTTTACGTGCGTTTGATGACTTTCAACTGCTTTTGCTATACGGGCGAGCAAAACGTTTGTGCAAAGAGGACGGTTGGACAATAAGGCATTATTGTATAGGAATGAAGTCTCAATCACTCAAAATAGGGTAAATCACTGGGCCCACAAAAGAAGAAATTTACATTTAGATGGTTGGATATCTCTTCGTCAAACGACCACAGTGGTAGAGCGCTCATGGTGTATTTCGAGCCACAATATATTCCCGTGGGACAATACTGGTCCCTTCTTTGGCCGGAGTCTTCTCCCGGTGAGGATAGTTATCCGGCGGATATCCACTTGACACTATGTAGTCTTTATAAGCTCTTTTTATGGTTAGTTGCTTGACTTTGTATAGGATACTAGTTGTAGGATGAGGATGCTCCGTGCTCGTAGACTAGGATTTCACTCCTTTTTCTCAGTAACTGTGCGAGCTTAGTTATATCTTCTAGCTTCTGGTCGGGATTAAGGCGATTTATTACAGTCGGCAATCCCACCCACTGTAACCTAGTTTCCGATATGGGTGGTTTCGAGGAAGTATATCTCATTGAGTGATGGCAAGTGGAGAGTGCATAAACCTTTCCCACCAGGCTACCAGGACAAGCCTCAGGGAGGGCCAAGGCAAGGTTCTCAATGACTGCAACATGAACAACGGCTCCGGGTGAAATATACTCTCAAGTCTTGATAATAATTGATCTGGAATAATCTTACTTATCGACTGAATAGATAGTGCTCGGATATATCATTACCAGCTCTTCCGGAGTTACCCTAATGTTTGGTAAGCCATGCGGCTCTGGAGGAACAATAGGCAGGTTAGTATACTGAAGAACTTAAACACAAGTACCTTAGAGTTTCTTTAAGAGAGAAACCGTACTCTGTGTACTAGTAGTGCGTAATATAGTATTAGTAAAAAAATATGGGAGTTGGCGGAAGGGGATAAGCTGGCTTACTGCTTGAATATGGCAAATAGAGAAAGGGTAATAGCCTAGAATTGCGCACTAGCTGCAATAACTTATAACTTCTGTAGTGGTGGTATTTTCAAAAGATTTGGGAATATAGGTAAAGAGAATATATGGAGTCCACTTGATTCCATCAGAACTTTCATTATATAGTATAATGTGAGGAGTATGCTGCCGCTGCTTCGCATATAGACGTATGCTCCTGTGTATACGGGGGTATCCTTCCGTGCCTGTCCCTAATGCCATCCCGGCCAGGTCGGTCGCCGGGAGCATAGGACTCACCGGACTCTCAGCCGGCTAGATCTCTGGATGATGAAAGACACTGGCAAAAGCTCTCGCTGTCGGTAACCCTGGGACCATGATGGCTGTGGCCGTTTGAACGACGAAGAGACAAGGCTGTTTCAGTGCACTAGCAGAGCTGGTCGCTAAAAGAAAGATACATCTCTATCTAATCTGACGCTGGTATGACTGCAGGTATCTTGTCTATGAAGTGTCCGTTGATATCTTGAAGTTTTGTGTCTTTTCGAACGTCTCGAAGAAGAGGAAGAAACTTCCCAAAAAGGAAGCAGCTTCATGTCACGTGTATGCTTACATAATAAAAGTGAATATACATATCTATCACGTGAGATAACTGACTAATCAAGTCTTGGCATCAAAACTTCTTGCGAATTTCGCGACAATAAAAAAGAAGCAAAGAAGAAAAGAAAACATATACGAAGCTGAAGAGCTACGGAGATATTGCCAGATTATTACAAGCTTGATAGTTGAGGGAAGCGCTCATTTTGGACTGCAGAGCACTTTTTGAGCCCCTCAGTTGAACGACCTGGTTTCTGGAGGAAGAAAGATATTAATTTGCCACCTGAAACGCCTTCCACCAAAGCTCTGGAAACAGCTCCCGTTGCCATGGGTGTCTCTGTCGCGCTGAATACGCCGCTGGCCGATGCCCTGAATGAAGTAGTGCAGCCGAAGCTGGTCGAACTCGGCTGGAGCACCGGTGGCGGGGACGATTCTGCGCTCGCGGAGTATGTTATACTGATGCTTGTCAACGGAAAGACGCAGGACCAGATCTCAGCAGAGCTAGCAAACGACCTGCTCAGCCTCGGACCCGAAGATACAGAAGCGGCGGAGTTTTCCAAATGGTTGTTCGAGCAGGTTGAGACGCTGGACGTGCGGTTAAATGGCGCTTCGAAGGAAGCACCGCAAGAACAGCCTCCACAGGCGATACCATCCTTTTCAGATGAAGCAAACGGAGGAAATGGGAACGTGACCCCCGCCGATACGTCTGTATCGCAGTCAGATATGGATATGGACGAAGGATCCGGCCCTGGAACCGATGCTTTGGTGTATGTTCTTTCCAGCCTTTCACCTATTTTTGAGTATGCTGCTAAATAATGAATAACAGCCCAACCGGCCCCAGGAATATGAGGAGCCAGAAACATAATGGCCGCGGCAGAGGTATACTTGGCCAACTTAGCCGGGCCATGGACCGGTCTAACGAATCAGTTCTTCACCGAGTTCGAAGCCAACAGGGAACGGAGAGGATAAACTCGCACCGAGATGGCTCCAAGGGTGGCAGAGGCGGTCGAGCCGGCCACAGGATGCAGACGGGGAGGCACATGGGCAATAACATGCCGATGGGTATGGGGATGGGTATGGGGATGAATATGGGCATGGGCATGGGCATGAATCACAATCAGATGCAGAACATGCCTCAACCAAACATGATGAACATAACCCAACAGCAGCAGATGCAGATGATGTCTATGTTTGAGGAACAAGCACGTATGATGTCTCAGCTCATACCTGGCTTTGTACCCCCCGCGATAAATCCAGCCTTCCAGAATGGACCACCGCAACAGCCACAGGGACGATCTCTCTTTGAGCGTGCGGAATTCCACCCGGGCCGACGAGCTCATGATAAACAGCTCCAGCCCTCGCAGGAGGCGACGGCAGACGTTGAAATGGACGGCGACGGGGGTAAGCCGGCCGATGAAAAACCGCAACGAGAAGTGCCGGGCCCGGACTCTGTCTGTCGATTCAACCTGAGATGCACGAACAAGGACTGCCCGTACGCCCACCAGTCCCCTGCTGCACCCGAGGGAGCCAGCGTCGACGTGAGCGACCACTGTCCCTACGGAGCTGCCTGCAAGAACCGGAAATGCGTTGCCCGACACCCATCCCCAGCTCAGAAGGCGGTCCATCAGTCAGAAGAGATCTGTCGATATTTCCCTCACTGTACCAACCCAAAGTGCGCCTTCAAGCACCCAAGCATGCCGCTCTGTCGGAACGGCGCGGACTGCTCGACTGAGGACTGCAAGTTCACACACATCCAGACACCTTGCAGATTCAATCCTTGTCTAAACCGCACATGTCCATATAAACACGCCGAAGGCCAGCGCGGAGTGTTCAGCGACAAGGTATGGCGTGCAGACGCCGCAAAGGCAGAGACGCCACACGTCAGCGAGAGGAAGTTCATCACAGACGAAGAAGAAGAGCTCATCAAGCCGGGTTCAACACCGTCCAACGACGCTGGAATCATCACCTAAATAAAAAAAAAAAGAAATTTATATCCCCCAGTTTTATTCAGCTTTCACCAACTTGATATTAATGTCTACATTCTCTTCCACTACGATGATCGATATTTTCTCCGGGAACCCAAGTGCCAGGCGTTTCCCTATATCCCTTCCACATTTCTTCTGTTCAAAACAAATATTTCTGCTTTCCCTTCTTTCTACGGTCTACTGAGCATGAACGGCGTTGGATCAGGGTTCTGTTTTTACTATATCTTTACCTCAAAAGAGGGATTCCTATACGGCTGGCGCACCAATTGAACATCTAGATTATGTATATTGCGATGAAACTGGTTCTTCTCATTTGTTCTTGTACTCTTAGTAGCAGCGTGTAATAGTATATATATTCTTTTTTGAATGAATATTTACCGTCTTAGATGCATTAATTTTCCAATCTCAAAACATCCAAAGGAAAAAAAATTGGCCAACCCAGAGAGAAGCGAAAAAATTGACAGCTTCAACGAGCAGCACACGAGCAATTGAATACGACCACAACGACGGCGAGAGCTACCTAAGAATACACAGCATGGAATTGGCCTAGCAATTGGGCTCTATTCTTGTGAAGAAAGACAGAAATAGACAGGAAGGATGAGCTCAAGACGCTGGCCTGGCCTGGTCACCGAGAGCTGCCTGCGTCTACCACAAACAACAGCCGCCCTTCGCCAGCGATGCACAAGAGGCTTGACCCTGTCGCGGCGACGGCGGCAGCAGCAGCTTCAGTTCTCCAGCACGTCCAGTCGAGACGATAAACAGGTTGCTGTGATCGGTGGTGGGATTACCGGCCTGGCAACGGCCTTCCACCTGGCCCAGCAGCGAACCACGCAGGTCACTTTGTATGAGAAATCAAGGCAGCTTGGAGGATGGATGCAGTCGGAGACGGTTGATACAGGCGACGGCAAGGTCGTCTTCGAGTACGGTCCGCGGACACTGCGGTATCAGATGCCGGATGTGATGCCTGTGGTTGAACTGGTGCGTGAAGAGGCCTATACCTCCCTTTACACTTAAATGAACATATCAACCACCTGACAAAAAGAAATATCTATCTAGCTGGCCCAGCTGGACTTGCTCAAGTCGACGCTGAGGACGAACAGCGGCACCGCTGCTGCTGTCAACCGATATATCTACTACCCCGATCACATTATCCAAGTTCCAGCACCACAGCCTGGATCAAGCACGCTGAGCTTCATCAGGCGTATCCTAAGCCAGTGGAATGAGCCAGCGTACAAGGGATTGCTTTCAGGCTTCCTAGGCGAGCCATTTCGAGAACTTCGAGACCCGAAAATGCGCGATGAATCGATAGCAGACTTCACTACCAGGCGATTTGGAAAACCGCTCACTGACAATTTCGTCTCTGCGTTATTCCATGGGATATATGCTGGAGACATAGATCGGTTGAGCGCCAAAGCGACCATGCCATACTTCTGGAGCTGCGAATTGGGTGAACACGGGGTCTTGATGGAGATAATGGACCGGACAACGTCTGGAAAGATGTCCCTTCATAGATATAGCAAGCTAAAGGCGATCAAGGATATACGGCGGGATTACTCTGGGGAATTTAACTCAAAGCTACCTCTATTATTTGCTGGAAGCAACATGCTTTCCTTGAATGACGGATTGCACTCCCTCGTATCAGCCATGGACCGCCATCTCTCTGAGCTTCCTAACGTGAAGATCACCCGGGAGGCCGCTATATCTCACATTCAATATGACAGAGCCAAGCAGTCAATGATAGTATGGCCTTATTCTCTCTCTCTTTTTAATTCATCTTTTGAATATAGAAGACCACGGCTAACTCTAGGTGAAGCTCACTGAGGGATCAAACATGCCGCCAGTGAGATATGACTATGTTGTTTCGACCACTGCATCCAGAGTGCTGGCAGACCAGCTCCGTGGACCAGGGGAGTGCACACCCCCAACTGCGACGTCGAGGATGCTGGCGGCAAATAACTACGCCGTCAGCGTTATGGTGGTCAACCTCTTCTACAGTGACCCTGACCTCATACCAGTGCAGGGTTTCGGGTATCTGATACCTCGTTCTGTGCCGATTGAACAGAACCCTGAGCGCGCGCTGGGTGTGATATTCATGTCACAGGCCATTGTTGGTCAAGATACTGCTAAGGGAACGAAGCTTGCGGTCATGATAGGTGGCCACTGGTGGGATGGATGGAGCAGGTCTGACTTGCCGGACGAGCAAGAAGGCATAGCCATGGCAAAGTCGGTGCTTGCCCGCCATCTTGGGATCACTCAGGAGCCAGCCATAGCCAGGGCCCGGTTGCAGCACAATGCCATACCGCAATACACCGTTGGGCATCACGACCGCATGGAGGAGCTGCACGAGTCTCTGTCCCGGGAATACGATTCTCGCCTGAAGGTGGTCGGTGCCTGGTATACGGGTGTTGGAGTGAATGACTGCGTCACTGCCGGACGAGCCCTAGCTGCCGCCATACGTGATGGAAGCCATGAGGAGACGGGCCTGGAGGACTACGTGAATCCGATGAAGGAGCTGACTGCTGCAATGGTGTAGAGGGCAAATGCTCTGGAATTCTTTATGTTTGTACTTTTAATCTATACTGAGGGAATAGATATATAGCAAAGACTAGAAAGGAACTGGAATACAGCTAATGTAAATGAGTGTCTTGTAACTGTGTAATAAATAGCTGTCCCTTGACGTATACCTCGACCTGTTTTCTCTCGAGTGCTCTGAAGAGATGAAAGCGGAGTTCTTGACTCGTTAGGACGGACTTCTACCAGCATCAACATGGTGAACCAGGCCCCGTGCTTCTGATCTCGTCCATTTCAAGACATGGTACCAGGCAGTGAGGCCGGGGAGAAGATGCCGTCTCTTGGGCCGGGGATCAAGTCGACGCATCCCTTGGCTCCCTTTGAAGATGGGATCGAATGTCGACCGTGGAGGTATAATAATGCTAGAGTGAAGATATTCATCCCATCATAATCAACATAAAAATATGTGTGAGTAGGCCGCCCTTCCGTGGCGGCCATTACCCCCAACACTTCACTTGGATTCCGCCGAGTCTGCCTTCTTTTCGCCATCAGCATCGAACTCAAGTGACTCCAGCTGCCGTACCAACTCGTTGATTCTGGTAATTTTCTCCAACTGCTCAGGCAGAAGGCTCTCTCCCTTCGCCTTTTTATCCCGTAGCTCGCGTGCCTGCTTCAGTTTCTTCTTCAGGTTTCTCGCCTTCTTCTCTCGCTCGACTTCGGGGTCAACTTCAGTTTGTTCTTCCTTTTGTTTTGCCTCAGCCGTTGGCCTCCAGTTTTCCTTGCCGAGAGGTGTGTCTTTGCCTGTCTTCTGAGGAGCAGTCTCACTATTCGCCTTCGCCTTGCTTTTGGCCTCTTTCTTCTTGGTGTTCTTTAAACCGGCCGTTGTGCTCTCGTTCGATGCCAGCTCTGCTCCCGGGATCCCTGCCTTGCCACGGTCCTTCCACGAAGCGGCAGCGCGATTCTTGTACAGCTCCACATCCTCTGGAGGACTGTAGCCTGGTCGTATGCGAATCTCACGGCGCTGGGAGCCATCAGCTCGGACTGAGGCGGGTATATGGCGCTCGCCCGTGAGAGCGTTGGTGGTGATGCCTGATATTCTTGTCTTCTCGTTTGCGGACATGACTATAGTATCGTCGGGGGCCTCTTTCCTATTGTATTCTTCTCGTCTTCTTACGATCTCTTTCTTCTCTGCTCTCCACCTTTCACTGATGTTGTTCGTTTCTTCTTGTCTGATGCTGAAATGTTGAAGATATAAAAAAAGTCCTGCTGACCAATCAGCGTCCACTATTTACCAAGTTCAAAACTTCGACTTCATCACTTCAACTTCATCTTCTTCTTCTCTTCACCAAACATCGAGCTGAGAATATCAAGCAGACGACTGGAGAAACGCCGTGGTCTTCTTCTGCTTCTTCTTCTTCGTATCTGCACAGGATTTGATCTCGACCGCATCTCACAATGGCTGGTGTAAGTGGCTTCTCTCTCGAATATCAAAACGATGACCCATTGCTAATACGGAGTTTTCTCTAGATTGCGACCTCTATCTACAAGTAAGAAGCCTATGTATATTTACGTCAGGGTTGGACCGTTCGACTGACCTTTGTCTACCCCTAGCATCTTCATCAGGCGAAATGGCATCATGCTGAGCACCGTCTTCGTCGGCGCATTCGGATTCGAGATGTATGTCCCTTAACCTGTCAATCAAGACCTGGAACTCCATGACTCTGTCTGACGCCTCTCTGTCTAGGGCTTTCGACACCATCTCCAACAAAGTCTGGGATTGCATAAACAGTGGCGTACGGCTCCCTTTGCTTCAAGAGCAATCTTCCCTCGTTATCGATACGCTAACTCTTTCTTTGTAGCGACAATGGAAGGACATTAAACACCGATATATCAACCAGGAGGAAGAATAAGTACGTTCGACGTGAGGTGGATTACGCCATGGAAGGAGACTACCGGCGGAAGCAACTGTACAGATATTTGTTTTAAGAAATAGAGAACAACATGTTACAATATCATTTCTCTTGAGGTTGAAGTCGCCGGAGTAATGAGCCCGTGGATATCCTGGATGCGGCCACTACATAGATGCTACGCGACATATCTACCTTCTATTCAGACCCGCGAATCGAGCTCACATCCAACCTGTGCTTTACCCTGAACACTACTTATTCGATAATGTGGACTCTCTATACAGTGTTCTCAAACGCTGATATCGATACACATTGTCTTCAGTATATGCAACTCCCTTTGCACCGGCTACCCGTATACAGGTGAACAACCCCAGTCCCTACGCAGTAACAACACCATAATGCGCAGGCAAACAAACGACGTAATAGTAGTAATCGAAATGCTTTGCCTGGATTAAATATATCAAAAAAAAAAAAAAAAAAAAAAAAACACATTGCCATCCTTAGTCAGACGAAGCTTCCAACCATAAAAAAAGACACCCAAAAACTCGCCCTAGCCATCATCGTTTTTCTTATTGATAGAAAAGCTAGGAGAGGGAAGACCGGAATCTCCATTAATAGCTTCTTATAGCTATCGCTATCTGTTTTCACCAGTAGGGATCCCCCTTGGCTAAATTAGCTACTCGTATGCTAAACGTCTTCCCCACCAGCTTCATATACAACTATAAGATCACCACTCGCCACCAACATTACCAACAACCGCGCCGACGACCTTCTTGCTGCTATATCGACCCGAATGCACATATGAGTGAACTAATCGTACGGCAGAGATGATGCCTCGATCCCTGGCGGACGTTGAGAAGTCGCTGGGCCAGGCGCTGGTGGGATTCCCAGCCCGATACCAGAATCGATACGACGATAAGGCTAGAAAGGAGCTCATAGAGATCCTATTCCGCTCTCTTACAGGCCATAACGATGAGTACCTACGGTTACTATTCCCCAACGGCCCTGGGAATGGGTGCTGGAACCTATCGAAGGCTCAAGGCCTGGAGGCTGGGGCGGAATACTCAGAGGCCGCGCGAGGAAAACGATGCGGACACACTTTCAAGTCCGGCGATGCGGGATACCACTGTATAACCTGCTCGATAGACGAGACCTGTTGCCTATGTAATCGATGCTTCAACGCCTCGGACCATACCGGGCATAAATATGCTTTTTTTGTCTCGAGCGGACATTCTGGATGCTGTGATTGTGGAGACGAAGAGGCCTTCCGGGTGCCCGTCAACTGTGCAATCCATACTGCACTGGAGAGTGATGGCCAGGAGGAGAAGAAGAAGAAGGATGAGAATCCGGTGCCAGAGATGTTGGTTGCCTACATCAGGATGACCATGGCTCGCGTTCTCGACTACTTTTGTGACGTGATATCCTGCTCTCCCGAGCAATTGCGGCTCCCCAAGACCGAGGCAGGAATCAGACAGGATGAAGTCGTCTCTAGACTGTCCGGAGATTGGTATCATGCTAGTGATCCTGAGGAGAGTGAGCCGGAATTTGCCCTAGTGCTCTGGAATGACGAGAAACATACCATCAACGAAGTCACAAATCAGGTAGCCCGTGCCTGCCGGGAGCGAGAAAGGTTCGGGCTGCAAAAGGCCAATGAATCAGATGAGGTCGGCAGGAGTGTGGTGAAATATTCAAAGAACCTCTCCGGACTGCTCGATGTCTCGAGGATCATAGAACAGATTAGAGTCACCGTCACCGTCCGGTCTGCCAGAGATACTTTCCGAGAGCAGATGTGTGCCACTATAATTGATTGGCTTTCCGATATCTCTGGTTGTCGTGTTGGCGACGATGGCTCGTTGCTACGACTCATGGTCTGCGAGCAGATGCTCCAACCCTGGCACCCTGGAAGTGCTGCTTCTAACGCTGGGATTGGCAACAAGGGAATTGACGACCAGAGCCTGGATGATGGCCGGATCTACCAAGCTGTCCAAATTGCTCAGGCTGAGATTCTAGCTGCGGAAATGGTTGATTTTACTGACGCTGAAATGGAAGACACAGAGGATATAAGACGGGCGGCGGAGGATGATGACGATGAAGATATGGACGACGCAGAGGTTGACCAGGTGCAACTAGATATGCACGTACAGCAGGTTCTCGGCGACGCTGCTGGAAATACTGATGAGGCCGACCTTGACATGGAGACGCGAGCAGAGGCGGACATTGCAGAGTTTGGGCTCCCGCCGCAGCCTCCGCCACCGCCTCCACCGCCAGAGCAGCCTCCTCCTGGGGATGGTGATCCGCTCGTAATTCTCCCTGTGACAGATGATCCGCAATTCTCTAGGAAGCCTGTCGCCATACCGAAGACTCCGGGAGTAAAGCAGAAAGCTAACCCTACATGCCTACCACATTGGCAAGAAAAGCCACGTCTATTCCATGAGAGGAGAAATTTGCCGCACGAAGACCTCCAGCAAAGGACGCGGTTAGACTGGCTGATTTTATATGATTTGCGCCTGTGGAAGAAGACTCGCACTGATGTGCGAGAGTTGTACTTGGCTACTGTCGTCAATGTCCCCGAGTTCAAGAGGGTGCTTGGTTTGCGATTCTCTGCGCTATACACTGCTCTGGCCCAGCTGTACCTCATTGCAGATAGAGAGCCCGACCATTCAATTATTAAGCTCTCTCTTCAGCTGTTCACGACACCATCTATCACAAAGGAAATAGTTGAGCGCGGGAATTTTCTTACTAGTATAATGGCTATCCTTTATACCTTCCTTACAACAAGGCAGGTTGGCGAGCCTCATGATGTCAGCCCTACGGCTACCCTTGCGATGGACTCTGGGTCAATCACTAATCGCAGATTATATCACTTTTTCCTCGATCTAAGGTACATCCTTGCCTCCGAGCATATTCAAAGCTATTTAAGGACGGAGAGACAGTATCTTTTGCAGTTTATGGATCTCGTCAAGCTTACCCAGGGTATTTGCCCTAACGTCAGAGCCGTTGGAGAGCATCTAGAATATGAAACGGATGCGTGGATAGGGGCTTCCATTCTGATGAGAGAAGTGACTCGCCTATGCAGGATATTCTGTGAAGCGTTCCGTCCAAATAACCTCACTGAAGGAGATAGCAACCTCGCAGATGCAATTATGCACGCTGCGCTTGCAACAATGGTCAATTCAATGGGCCTGGAAAGAAAACGTTTTGTCCAAGCCGAAATTAAAGAGCCAGTACGGTTTAAAACGGTGCCGTACCTCGAATTTGAGATTAATGCATATAACCAAAGTGGACGCCACACCGTGGTTGATTTCGTTGTTGAGAAAGGGTCGCTGAGTTTCCACCATGCTCTCCATTATATTCTCTCCTGGCTCCTGGAATGCGCGAGAAGCAAGCCAAAAGACTGGGTACGAAGTCTTCTGGTCCAAGCAGTCACGTTGATGAAGGAAAAATATTCTGTTACTCCACCGCAAGCGCTGGATGCAGACGACGTCATCCTAGCGATGTTTGACTTCCCAATAAGGGTTTGTGCCTGGCTTGCCCAAATGAAGGCCGGCATGTGGGTTAGAAACGGAATGAGTCTCAGGCATCAAATGGGCCAGTATCGTGCGGTAATCTCCCGAGATGTTGCGTACTGTCGAGATATTTTCTTGATACAAGCTGCTATGGCGATCTGTGATCCGAGCCGTGTGCTTGCAACCTTATGCGATAGATATGGAATATTGGAATGGATGAAAGGAGAATATGTAGATCGCCCTGGTTACGACGAAGGACAGCATGTGGATGTCGCTGACGAATTTATACATCTTTTGATCATATTGATATCTGAACGGACCTCTTTCTCGACGGGAGAAGATGGCTCTGCTATTCAACATCATATTATCAGAAGAGACATTGCTCACACCCTATGCTTCAAACCGCTCGCTTATACCGATCTTAGTGCTAGGATACGGGATGAGGTAGTTGAGGCTAGGGATTTCCAGCAGATCCTTGAAGAAGTTGCTACCTTCCGTCCGCCGGATGGTCTCAACGACACTGGAACATTTGAACTAAAGCCACAGTATATAGGCTTGATAGATCCGTATTCCACGCAATATAGCAGAAATCAACGGGACGAGGCGGAGAACATTTTCAAACAATGGAAAGCTAAATCAACAGGAAAAAGTGTTCAAGAAGCTATCTTTGAACCAAAGCTAGAACCAGTTCCCGCTGGTTTATTCACTGGATATACCAAATTTACCCGGACGCCTCTGTTTGCTCAAATTATTCACCAGTTCTTAGAGTACTGTCTAATGTTCAAAATATGCACGCCTACAATTCAGTTGACGCGGATCGAACCCTTCCTCCAAACTATTCTCCACCTAACGCTACTTGCTGTCTTAGAGGATCCCCGTGCAGATAAGGAGAACCCCGAGGCAGAAAAGGAGACATTCACTTTCCATGTTCTTACCAAATCCAAATCAACGCAACTTGGGGATTTAACCATTATCGGGCTATTCCAAAAAATATCGGAGGCCCCGCCCTATGAAGCCTGTGCGCCAAAAATCAGGCATATACTGAAAGGCCTTTGGAAGAACAATCCAAGGTTGTACTCCGTCATTTCAAATGATCTTGTGTTCCCATATGGCAATATTTATCAGTCTTCTTCTACTCCTGTATCAGACAATGAGGCAGAGCAAAAGAAGAAACGAGCCCTTGAAAGACAGGCAAAAATCATGGCGCAGTTCAAGCAACAGCAACAATATTTCTTAAATAGCCAGGAAAATATTGATTTGGGTGAAGATGAGTTTGACGAAGCAGAGGAGCCGCTGCGATTCTCGGAGGAGGTAATTCGGAAGTATCCTTCTGGGAACTGTATCTTGTGTCAGGAAGATACCAATGACTCAAAATTATATGGAACATTTGCACTTGTCACTGAAAGCTCCATTTTCAGGGAGACTGACTTGAAGGATCAGGATTTCGTTAAAGAGGCTCTTGCAACACCCTCATCACTAGATAAATCGGCTGAGTCGATTCGTCCGTTTGGAGTTGCTAGTGAAAATTTCGAGCGCGTTCGACAATTAGACTCAAAAGGTGAGCTGATAATATCAACGAAGCAAGGTCTAGGGAAAGGGTTCCCGGCGGAGCTACATAAACAAGGCCCCATTTCCACAGGCTGTGGGCACATTATGCATTATAAGTGCTTTGAAACCTATTACGCAGCTACCCGGCGACGGCACAACCAGCAAGTAGCTCGAAACCACCCCGAGAACCTCAACTTGAATGAATTCGTCTGCCCACTTTGCAAGGCCCTTGGAAACGCTTTTCTTCCTATTATATGGAGAGGGCAAGAAATGTCATACCCGGGGGTAGCAGCTCCTAAAATACCTTTTCGAGACTATATATATAGAAAGATAGACCCGATTCTTCTAAGGTTCAGTAAATGCGCATTGCCCAAAGACGATGATAAAAGTTTTATCCCTGGATATGGGGGGTTTTTTGCTCGATACTTATCGACCACATTAACACCATCCCTCTCCCACGGTGCAGATGATTATTTAATCTCTGGAGCGAGAGATCCACGCGGATTGATAGGTGATTATAATGCTACTTTCAGATTCAATGGCTACCAGGGCTTCGCAGATGGACAGATATCGGAAGATGATGACAGGCCCTTTCGAACTCTGCCAGATGATTCCCCGGCTACCCACAACCCTGGCGCAACCTTAGCGGCATTGATTGGTGCACCGACACTGGCAAATATTCCAAATCCTACCAGTTCCTCAGAAGGAGGCGAAGCACAGCCCACCGATGCTCCGTCGCCATTTTCGGAACTTCTTGCCGTCTATGCGAGACTACGGGATACAATGAGATTCAACGCTATCCCATCCCGCTTCGAATACCAGCCAGGGCATCTTCTACCTGGAGATTTAGTACACACCGACGCTCTAGCCAAAATATTTGCATATTCTATCACCTCTGTTGAAATTGCCCAAAGAGGCCAGGAAACAGGGCAAGGAATAACTCTGGTAAGCGGTATATCAGAGACATCATTAACACACCTACGAATTCTTTGTGATACTGCACTTGCCTACTCCTCCTTAGGCAGCCTGGAGTTCCCTTCTGCGTTGAAAACTTCACATGAGTTCCGTGACATGCATCGACGTAAGATGATCCAGCTCTTCTTTGGAAGTCCGTATCTCTCAAGTACGGGAATCTCGAATCTTGGCCGTGATTCTATGGATATCGAGCCATTACTTTCAACAGATATCTTTGCCCTTTTAGCAGAAGCTTCACTTTGCCTGGTTCCCGTTCTAGATATGGAGATTATGAATTTGGCCCAGCTTTGCTATATCGCTGAGATTATAAAGGTGGTTCTGGCGTATCTCTTGACGCCCCAGGGGCTGAAAGCAAATATGGAACAAGCTAGCGAAGATCCTACTACTCCAGATGATTACTCTTTAGCCAAGGACTTTGTCATGTGGGTTATATCTGCATACAGGTCCTGCGCCTCATTTGTTGCAGACCCGGCGTTGCAGGTGTTGTTAGATGGAATCGATAGGAATTTCATACCCAAATACCGACTCAGGGGCTGCCTCGAAGTGGTCCCAAAATATATTCTTCCTTTCCTACGCAAAACCGCGATATTGCTGAACGTCAGGCACGGCGTTGACTTTGCTGATCATGACTCAGATATTAAAGACGAATCGGAACTTGATCGTCTAACCATGATCCTGCGGCTACCACCGATTGATGAAGTGTTCGACAAATTGTCCGCCGCTGACGATGGGGATCCGCTATCCGCTATTGTTTGCGGGTGGATGGAACACTTCTGTATCTCGAAGCATGATGCTAAAGCCGCAGGCACCCTACAGCCACGCCTTTCTCTCATGCACCCAGCTATTTTTGAACTTGTTGGTCTCCCTTACTATTTTGACTCGTTGCTGGAAGAAGCCACTCAGCGCACCTGCATGACGACTGGAAAAGAGGTAACTGATGCGACCATATGCCTCTTCTGTGGTGAGATATTCTGCGCCCAGGCAAGCTGTTGCATGGTGAATACTAGGTTGGGCGGCTGTAACCGTCATCTTGCGAAGTGAGCAACCCCCCTTTTGTTTCTGTGTTTTACCTTTTCAAGTCTTTAGAATGTGCTATTAACAAACCGTGATACCTATAGGTGTGGACGGAATGCTGGTATATTTATCAACATTCGAAAATGTGCGGTGGTGCTTTTGCACAATGGCAACGGATGTTGGAGATTTGCACCATACCTCGATGTTCATGGAGAAGTTGATCCTGGCTTCAGACATCGCAGGAGGCTGATGCTCAACCAGAAACGATATGACCGTCTTCTACGTGACATGTGGCTATCTCACAGCATACCCTCTGCCGTGAGTAGAAAGCTGGAGTCCGAGGTCAACAACGGCGGCTGGGAGACTTTATAATTGCTGTATTGCAACCCCCGGACAGGATAGCAGGCTAGATGTTTATGCCTAAAATATTACTTTTTTTTTTTTTTTTTTTTTAGCTCCGGACATGAAATAAAAGATCTAGGAGTTACAATGTTAAAAAAATGGTTATATTCTACTTATTATAAATATGAGAAAGCAAACATGCACAATTATCTTCCTTGCGTATATCATCCGAATAAATCAGAAAGTAGCTTTTCACGTCTTTCTTCATCCTCCTCGCTATAAGAATCACACTCGACCATAACCTCGCTTTGCCCAATTTCCCCCAAAGGGGCCAGAATATAGTCGAGCCAGTAGGACCCCAGGCCAACAATCCAATATTTCCTTTCTTCAGCTGCAAGGCTCTCTTTTGCCACTTTTAACGTCTCCTGACTTTCTAGGATTTTATCTGCTCTGAATTGCGCCTGGGCAAGAGACTGCAGTAAAACACCATGGTTGAACTTCTTAGACCAACCGCTCCTTTCAACTATATTTATTGCAGTTTTCCAGCGATTGATCGCCTCGTCCCAGTTGCCTTGGAGATGAGATATCCTTGCGAGTCCAGCCCATGTTCGAAAGTGTTCTGTCTTTTGGTTTGTATCTGGGTCTTCGATTCCCTCAAACATCGGAATGAGTCGTAGGAGGCACTCCTCAGCTCTCTGGAACATGGCACGCATGATGAAGCTTTCAGCCAAAGTGAGACGTAGTCTCCTTGTTATAGAATATCTCTGCCATCCGCGAGCATACATTACCTTGACTGTTTCTCTGAGCGTTGCTTCTGCGTCATCAGGGCGTCTTACTTCAAGATATAAGTCGGTAACGTTGGCGAGAGCATTCATCTGCCATATCGGATTTCCACTGCAGTTCTCGCTTCTGATGTCGTGGAATATTCTCTCGAAGTATGGCAAGGCTTCAGTAAACAGCCCCTGGTTTTTGAGTAATCTCCCAAGAGCTACATTATGATCGCTTAGGACAGATGATTCCATCCTTGAAGGGCGGTTTGGATTTTTCGGCTGCCATGATTCGAGTTCCTTCTTTGCACGTACAAGCTGATTTTCCATTATCAAATTACCGGCATAGGAATTGATAAGTTTCCCCTTCTCAGCATTTGCTTTTGCGTCGATGTCCGATCCTTTAGCAAATGCACCATAGTAAAGACAGTCCTCAATAACCCTATATGAGGCCGCCATTTCCCCATGTAGGCGTAGTATGGTGCTTTCACGCCGGGCAACTCGTGCTTCTAGAATGGCATCACCATAGTCTTCGATGAGCTCTTTGGCTCTGGCAATCGTCTCTCGTCTCCATACATTACCATTGAATTTGGATCCTTCGAGTAGTAGTAAACAAAGAGCCCGTTTAGCCCTTGGATACTGTGGGCAGGCCTTATCCAGAGTATCAAACTCCTTTAGTACACGGGGAATATGGGGAAACATTTGGCTTCCAATATCCCCTAGGTCAGCAATTCCCCCGGAGAGCCTCTGTTTTCGAAAAGCGTGGGTCACAAACAAAATGGCCTGGACCTGCCATTTCTGCCGTACCTCGAGAGGTACACGATGAGACGCACAAGCCTGGACGAGAGGGTGGATTGAAAACGTCCGGCCGCTGGCGCTTATATTCGCCTGTATTAAAGAAAACGCCAGCAGCTGTTCGATAGCTTGATCTAAACGCATCTCGTTATTTACCAACGTGATAATTTCGGAGTCAATTCCTGCCTTGTCCGGAGATAGGTCCTTGACATTTCCATCATTGGCCCAGATCTGCATATTCGAGCAAGCTCGTCGAAGCATTATCTCCGGGATCTGAGTTGCTTCAAGAAACGAGAAGAGCAAGAGAAGAAGCGAGGCATTGGGGGCATCTTTCTCCAGCTGTCGAAAGTTGAGTTCCCAGACAGTTGAAACAGTCTTCTCGTGCAAACAAATGCCAGGTTTGATTTTTAATAGCTCAGTCTGTTCATTCTCCAGAAGACGATAATAATCTTTTAAAGATTTCTGCCTCCTCCGAATAAGAGCACCTGCTTGGTCAACAGCTAAAGCAAGGCAACCTAAATGCCTTACAATAACTCTAGCATCTTTGAGGACTTCATCAGTAGGATTGACAATTGCAGCTTTCCCTAACAGAAGTTTGATGGCAGCATCCTCTTCCAGAGGAGTGATGGCTGTTCCCCAGGGGCTGACGAGGCCAACGGTGGATTGATCCCGGCTAGTTATTATGATATGGCCCCATGAGGTATTAGGGAAGTAGTCTCGGATTGGAACGGTGTTCAGATCATTAAACCCATCAAATATCAGCAGCCAGTCACGCCTTGTTGGCTTTGAGAACCACTTTTTGAGGCAGTCTACCTTGTTTGAAGCTTTTCCTAGGTGTAGAAGGTCGTATATTCGGTGAAAATCAGCTATAAGTGTTGTGTTTGAAGTTGCGTTGAATAAGACAACTCCAGACTTGTACTTGAACCTGTTTTTGAAGGCATAGTGGAGAGCAGTTTGAGTCTTGCCAGCGCCTCCTAAATGAAAGGTTAGCATCAATAAATATAAAGAGGAAGACCAACATACCAAGTCCTGATATCCCGTATACCCTTTGCTTTTCTGGGTCAGATTCACCAAAATATAGCTCTATGTCGGCTAGTAATTTTTCCCTTCCTTGAAATTCAAGGCATCGAGCATATGGCACGTCAAAAAGGGCTTCCGTTTCAATAATCGGATTGCTCATAGCCGGGGCAGATGGAGTGAGCAACCGGTCAATTCCTTTACTGAACCCAATAAAGAACGGTACGATAGCTTGATAGAAAGGGTCATCGGCAGCATAAAATCGACATATATTACGGTGGTGAGTGTCCATCCCGAATATCTCTTCACCGGGTATTTTCAGGAGCGAGGAGTCTTTTGTCACAGCCTGCAGTACGTTAGGTTATAGCCAGCGAGCAGAGGGAGCACGGCAGCAGGGTACGTACAAGTATCGGAATACCCATAATCTTTATAGGTCTGGTCTCATAGCATGATATAATTTTATATTTGGAAACTTCATGCATAAAATCGAGCGTAATATCAGACAACACTTTGGAGCCTTCATGGAGATAAGTCACCAGATCCCTACCCGCAGAGAATGAGAACATTCCTAGGATAAGACGACTGATTGTACCTCCACTGCGTGCAATGCTACTTCCACTATGCGGCGTTGCTATATTTCCTTTCAGTTCATCAAGTCCCGAAAGTGCTTGAGGGCATTAAAACTAACCCAGAAATATAATGCCGTACGTTGCATCCTTAACTTCTCCACACTTTTCTGTCGACCTCTGGGATAATGCCTGATACGCAGTTAGATGCGTGTCTGTAGGTTTTATTTGATACTCGGGGCTACATACCTTCTTGACGACGATACCTCCCAAGCTATGGCAAACAAAGACAAGGGGCCGCTTGGATATCTAGCACTATGTAAGTCATTGGTATAAGTTATATATGTAGTCAAGCCTCCCACCTTATCCTGCCTTAGACCAGAAAGCTGCTGGAGCAGATTCTCTGCGATCGTTCTTATATCCTGGTGGGCAGTGAAATCATTAAATTTGGCACGATATCCATAGGTCATTATCCTGGCATTCGGCAGTGTTTGTGGCAGCAGGTCTTTCAGCCACATAACCCGAGTCTTTTTATGCGTCCAGGTGTCAAACGCATGACCACTGAGCCCGTGAACGGCTACAACGCTATCGAAAAGTGTTAGTATCGTCAGTTCGTTGCAGAGGGAAGTAATATCCTACTCAAATATGGCATCTTTCGGTTCATGAAGGACGGTGATTCCCCAGGAGGAATCCTTCTCACTCTCAGCTTCTCCCATCGCGAACAATACACATAACCTACTGCCAGAAGCATAGGATAGGTGCAAGATATTTTGAAGGAATGCGTCTGGTTTTAATATAAATACTGGTTGCAAGGGTATTTAGCGCCCGTCGGTCATTCTAGCGGTTTCCGTACATAGTCTAACCCATTGGAAGGGCGTCCTCTTGTCTTTCCGAACAATCCGCTGCCTACATGCATCTAAGGGGCCAATCCAGCCCAATGACGGCTTGTTCCCGTCCAGGCGCTTAGTTGCATATCACTAGTTAAATATGCACGAAAAGGTGGCAGCATCCTTGTAATTCTCATCTCTCCGTTTGTCGTCTCTCAACAGAAGTGTTAGACATTGTTTCAACCGTTGTCTAGAAATTGCCTGCTTGTGTAGTTTGTAGCTCGTTTGCTTTTCAGTGAAAATGGGTTGTCCCTGTCTCGGCAACCTGAAGCATGGCAACCAGTTATATGTATTTGCGGGAAGTATGGAAACACGAGGCTGACCTTTTTTTAGATAAGTTGGGAGAGTTAGCCGCTACTTGGTTAGAGGTTTAAATAGTTTTATTACCGTCCCTTCGAGGTGGTGGCATCTTATATGCATATCTACCTCCTAACAATAGGGGGTGCTAACATAAACATCATAAAGTGATGAAGTGCTGGTAACCAAATAAAAGATAGTTATATTTTCCGCAAAGCAAATGAAACGAAGCGGCTGTGTAGCTAGATATCGCTCATGAACTATAACTTCTCAATCAACCATCACTTTCTTGTAGCCAACAGCCCAGGAAACAAAACAGTCGTGCAGGGGCTTTTGACACCGTATCAGACAGAAGAAAACACAGCATCGACCTCAAAAACCAGAATCAAGAAAGAAAATACAAGTCTAAACACGCCACCCTCTTGCCCGCCAGCTGAGTGCCCGTCTATAACAGTTCATGCAAAAAAAGAAAAGAGAAAAAAGAAAGAGTAACCGTAAAAAGGAGCGATAGTAAGGAACCGGGCGGGATGCTGAGGACAAAGAGAAAGAAATTCATAATAAAGTATGGGGGCAAAGGAGAAACCCGTTGGGCGTGGTGTCATTATGCATAAAAATGGAAGGAAAGTCATAAACTATTTAACATTAGTTATAAATATGAATGCAGCTTGGGGTCAGCTTTATTCCCCTTGATTCAATAGCCAAAGTGATGGGTCTATCATTGGCTCAGGGAATGCCCGTGTGTCCTCAATATCTTTGAAGATGCGCGGCAGGAAGGCATCAAGAGTCGGATTGGCTATCTTTATTTCAGTTCGATTAAACGACCTTAGTGTGGTTTCGATGGGGTCTAAGATCCTGGAGTCAGGGCTTCCAGTCCGAATAACGCGAGCAAGGTATGCACAAGCAGTATATATGGCTGGTAAACGGTTAGTCTGGAGCCTGGTACGTCCATTGGTGGAGGAGGGATACTCACATAAAAGAATGAAGGGGTTAAAATGCTTAATATTATGAAGTAAGCTGGCTTCAAGCATGACCCCCGAGAGCGTTATTATCTCCATGGCTGAGTTCTGGCACCTCATTTGCCACGATTCAATCAGAGCGACTGGCAGCCTGGCCGGTACCGCTGCGGTGATGGCTGTTTGATAGAGCGAAATTGCTGCAGCATGCCTGGCAGCATTCAAGAAAGAAACCGTCGGATCAGCGAGCAGTGTGAACTGGGTAAGGTCTCCAAGACAGGCCTCTACTTTGTTCAGAGTTTCGTCAAGGGCTTGATGGCTGGCCCAGAACTGATGTCTGTTTTGATCATCGAGATCGAGGCTTTCGGCATCTCGGGTATGCCTGAGAGTTTTGGCCCATGTCGTAACGAGGATGATGGTAGCCATATAGGGTGTCATTGGGGATAGGTCGGGAGATTGTAGGATATGGCTAAGAGTGAATGGCGGTTGAGGGGGTAATATCTCTGAGCTAGGGTGAAGATATCTAGGAAGCCGAGTAGATATCTGAGTATTGAAGTTAGCACATATTGATCCTATTCTACTGGGATGTAAAGTTTAGTCGTGCCATACCTCGCGCTCCGAAAAGGCCAGAGAGCCTCCAAATGATATATTAATCAAGCAATCGAATATATAGGTAGCCCAAAATGTGAGTCTCTTTTCTTCGAGTTCTAGCTCATCTTCCTCAGGGGCGCCAACTCGATCGAGTTTCTGCAAGCCCAGCAGTTGAACTAGCCGGGTGCATCTAGCGTGCGAGATCCATGCCTTAGGTAGATATGACCGCCTGAATTCATACAGAGCTATTAGAAGCGAGGCCTGAAGGGTTTCAATTCTGAAGAATTGGCTTCCTGGACCGCCCATGTCTGATAGCTCGAGTTCTCTCCGGGCCCGGTGGTAGCAAGCCTCCTCGAGAGAAGGGTTGCCGGACACCAGAGCCCCATGAGTGCAGATGGCGTAATAAATACTGCTCTTCCATGGCTCCGACTGGATCACCACCGGATTGGCGAGATTCCGCCACTGGTCTAGCATGGGGAAAAGGTGGCTATGTGACTGAAAAAAGGCTTCTTGGCTGGAGAGAGAGAGAGAGAGAAGTTTTCTTGTAAGCAAAAGCCCCTGATCTAGGCGATAAGGTGGGAGTAAGCTTACAGCTTCTGCATGTTCTGCGGCGAAAGCATGCGATTTTCGTAATTTGAGTGAGGCAGAGAGAAAGACGAGGAAGTAGAAGAGCCAGAGGACGGCTGTGTGACAGGTGGGAGCCCGGCAAAGGCGTCTAGGGTCCATTCTGGCTGTGGTGATTCCATATCCATGGGCAGAGCCATGTAGGAAGATGGGCTGAGAGGAATGGGGCTCTGAATAGTATTGGTAGGCCAGCTGCTATAGGAATAAGTGCCTGGCGTAGCAAGGGGGTCTTCGGTAATGGCCCAGCATGCCTGGTTTGCCAGCTGGGCTTCGGCTCTCCCTGCTCAAGGGGTTCAATTAACGACAACTCGCAAGCAGGAGTATGGCACGCAAACAGATATAGAGACATACTGAGCCGGTCGTTCATCATCTGGAGCTGCTGGGTGAGATCGGACGTGCCAGCCTCTGAGCTCGACGGCGTCGCATAAACACAGGGCTGCGACTGTCCGGCGCATCTGGAACATGGCTGCTGTCCATCACAGCGAATCTTGCGCTCACGGCAGGTGCGGCAAGCAATGTGTCTTGGGCGTTTAGACATTGTTCGTATATTGTCTCCCTTCCTGAAGTTGAATGATATAGGACAGGAGGGTGTATATGCTTTTGGTCAAGCTGATATACCGTCGTGTGGCCTCTGGAGACGTCTTCCCAGAATATATAGATCGAGGAGAGCGAGAAGTATAATCAAATGGCAATCCACATTCATTGCTGCAGGAGAGCTCGTGCCTTCATATATGTACTTATATCCCACACACCCACCCCCCTAAGCCTCCAGAGAGAAGGAGATCCGTGAGAGGCTGGCATGGACATGGGATCTTTTGACAAGCCCCACTGAACACACTCTCTCAAGTAGATATGCATCCTCTCCCGCTCGCTGGGAATTTGGAATTTGCATCTTTTTTTGTAATTTCGGTTCCAGCTTTGGCTTCAAATCGAGAGAGATGATGAGAGGCCTCCCAAAAGTTTGAGACCCCTACACCATGTGTCTTTTTTTATTTTTAATTTTCAAATAGAAGAAAAAGAAAGCACATAACTATCTCTCGTTGGAACTTTCGCAATATCGGATGGCCCCCCAAATGCGGGCCAAGTTGAGCGCTGGGTCGGGGAAGTGGAAAAAGGATGCCAGCCCTTCTTTGCTCCACCAAAGCGCTACCAGAGCGAAGAAGAGGCAGAGAGAGGCATAGCGAGAGCAGGGGGTTGGAGATGCAAGACCAATCACTATGGTCCAAGGCTGGTCTCACTTTTGCATCTCGCATCCACTCGTCTTCAGTGCTGCCTCTGTATTGGAGCCAAGGGATTATGTTCCTTCAAGAAAAAAATAAAAAGGCAACGTCTTAGCCATCAGCCAGGCATCAAGCTCGTCCGCATGAAGGCCCATTAATAAGTTTAAAACTCGACGTGTACGTGAGCCCATGCCTGGTATCGTTACCTTACGGCGTACGACAGAAGAGAAGAGAAAAGGAAAAAAAGAAACTTGGATGTTGACGCTGTTGACGCTGTCGCAGCAGTGGAAGCCCATTAATTCGATCGGCCTATAGGCTTTTGCGAATGAACCAGATCCGATGCCCTTTAGCTATTTGATAGCAAGGATGACTTCCCCCATCTGCCGGAATAATAACTGATTAGTACTCCGTAGGTTAGTTACAGTGGCCTATATCGTATCGCAGAGGAGGCTCATCCTTCTTCACACACCTGGGGTTCTTCCTGTTTCATCCTCTAGAGGGAGAGGCTGTGAGGCCGTCAGCCATAGTTGGTCACGTACATAAACCCAGCAAGTAACTATGCAAGCCCAGCTGATGGATGCTGATCAGTGAGCCCGAAGGCAGAGCCGACCAGATATCGTTAAGACACCCCTTTCCACAGCCTTCTGGTATATGTTCCAGATGGACTATAGTGACAAATTAAAGATGCTGTGTACATCTTCTCTGAACGACCGATTAGCCTGATATGGTGATACATTGCGCCCTCGATGATTCCATCAGTCCGTAACTGGCTTGTCAACTAAATACGAAGAGCGATCGTATTGATGCTTATTCCACCTGGGATGGTTACCAGGGCCACGTTGAAGTAGGGATGGCAGAGTTCTGTTCACAGAGTTACCTGTCTGCATGTACAGTGTAAGTATACCCTCCAGAGGCACCAGGTCGAACAAGGGGGAAGATTTCCTTGCCTGCAGCCACCCGGATGAACCTCCTTCTATTCTACCATCGTGCTATGAACCTGCCGAATAAAAGGCGAGACGGCCGTCATCTACATCTGTGGCATTAACTAGTTGACTGTTCAAGTCACTATAGAAAAGCCGAGATAGTAGGAGCACCTGCATGGGCTATCACGGTGCGAACTCCGCATATCTAATTTCCCCGAAAACTGCTATCTTATGCATAGCCGACTATGAGCCAGATACATCCTCATTCTCCACCGGAGTGATGAAGTTATATCATCCGGAAAGTCAGGGAGTGAACATGTAGCTAGGGGGTTAACTAGTTCACATATCCCCCCGTATCCCCTACTGTTGCACGCACAATCCGTCTCTCGCCTCCATCAGAGAGATCATAACTTGCTCTCAAGCCGTGGGGTTCGAAGGATCAAAACGTGGCCGGCGATCATCTCTCTCTCTCCAAAAGGGTTATTGGAGATATCGTCGGCGGTGAAAAAAAGAAATGAGATGTAAAGAAACAAGAAATACAAGGGAGTCGCAGCTATATAACTTACTACATATGTAAGTATGAAAGAAAAGAAAATTGATAGGGGGGGTGTCCCCTGGCGTTGCTGCTGCAAGGAGAATTCTTGTCTTCTTGTTGGGCAGTTTTACTGGGCCATATGGGTGAGGCGTAGGGAGATCGACTTGAGAGAGGCCATTTTATGCATCAGAATCAAGAATTTCAGGCCTGGTTAATGCATTCTTTTCGTCTTTTCCACTGTTAATAACAAGTTAGTCTGCGTGAAGTATGGAGTATTGGGAAATGAAAAAAAAAATACACCCACACGAAGCCTACAATGAAGCTTAGGGATATCCTCTTTTAGATGACGTATAGAATATATTGGGTCGTCTGAGGGCATAATGCATGCACTGTATTATGTATCAGTATTATGTATCCTTTGGCGCCCCCTGAGGATTGCACTGGACTCGGTGTCGGTAGCCACCAGGGTAAAAAACCTGCGTTGAAAATGTGTCAAAAGACACATCCGGAGTCGCGGGATACTTGAGGGAACTTCATCATTCCATCTCGTAACAGAGTAAGCAGCTCTAGTAGCTAGCTAGGAATGCTCTGATAACGGGGGTGGTCGCAGCTACTCTTGATCCAGGTAACTCCGCAAACCAAAGAAGATGATGAACGAAACGGAGGCACTCGGGATGACGACATTGAAGACGACAATACGATCCGTCGTGGGGGTTATGGGGGCTCTTATCAAGGTAGCCGTTAGATTTGATATTGTCCCCGATGTCAGGTAGACGCACATTTATCTTCAAGTTGATAGTCATCTGTCTAGAGGATGGATATCTGCAATCTGACGCCCAGCAAGAGGAATAGCTAATAATTAAACCAGCAGAGGCCGATTTCAAACTCCTCACATCCCATATCTACACGTCAGTTAATGTATTATACTCTTACCATGCTGGCTGAGGAATATAAGGACTTTCTAGTATACATAGTATAACTATACGATGGGCACACTACTACCAAAAGCTCCGCCTTTCTACGCCTTCGTTTCTTCTTTGACTGATATTCTCTTCCAACTTATAACTAGCAGGTATGCTGTTCAATTTATGAACCAGTCCTATCTTTGATATAATCGTCAGGACGCCCAGGATATATATATTATGTATGTATGAACCCCCGAGCCCATCTAGCCCCCTTTTCACCTGTTATAAGAACAAGACAGCGCAGTGGCATTCCGATGCTCTAGTCAACTTATTCCCTGGTGGGTGCTTTCTGCAATACTAAGAAAACTTGCAACCAACCGGATATACCTGAAGATACCTAGGCCACATCACAAAGCTCGAGAAGAGCCGCACTATCAACGGCCGTAGAGATCTATCGCGGGGTATAGATCCTAGTTCGCCATCTTCGCTACCCCGTGTTGAAGATATAGTAGATGTAGGCGACACTGCCATGCTGTCGGCAAATAATTCCCATATCTATATATTTATAGTACATGAACCGCCTAAGCCTTGACGGTTGAGTAAATGACGGTTCTTGATTGCGCGTTTCAAAGCTCCCTTGTTTACCTATTTACACCTTCTTATAGCCCTCTATCTTCTTTCTTCTCCATCTTTTTGAACGGCTTGCAACGCTCATAGATGATGACCGTTTGGACATGTGATATGCACAGTGCCCTGCTCAACCTACCTGTTCGACCTAGAGAAATGACGAGACACGAGGAAGGCTATGAGTTTACTACCTTCAGGGGAACAGACGCCGGAGTGGTAGCGTCTCAGACGAAACGGCCCCCCTTGACCAGAAACCAGGTGCTGGTCTCTATAACTCACTCAGGTGTGTGCGGAACAGACCAGCATTATCGAAAGGCCGGCTGCGTACTTGGCCATGAAGGTATCGGCATTGTGCAGTGTCTGGGACCGGATGTCAGAGCTCTGAGGATGTTAGTCAAGCCCTCTCTTCCCCCTTCAAGCCTGATACCAATATCGAGCATGATATTCATTGAACTAGTGGACAGCGAGTTGGCTGGGGCTATGTCCATGGTAGTAAGTTGTTTTACCCCTTTTTTTACCATTTAACTCAACCGCCAGTTATAAAAAGATTGTTTTCCGACAATCGCTTCGGCCCCGAGATCCCGTTGAAGTAGTTGTTTGATATAGTGTACTCGTGGCAAGGAACGAGGAAAAAGTCACACACGAAGGATCTAACTGACTTAAATATTCCCTGTCTAGCATGCCACAAATGTCGACAGTGCCTTGAAGGCTACGATCAGTTCTGCTCTTCCCGCAAAGTGTACGGCGTGACGAATCTCGATCAAGGGTCTATGGCATATGCGGCCATATGGCCCGAATCCTCCCTTTATGCAATACCCGAGAAGCTCTCCTCGCTCGACGCTGCGCCTATGATGTGCGCCGGAGCAAGTGTCTTTGGCATCTACGAACAGTGTGGGATAAGACCCAATGATCGAGTTGGCATCATCGGGCTGGGGGGTCTTGGCCACATGGCAGTTATATTCGGGGCCAAGCTGGGCGTAGAAACCGTCGTCTTTACACATAGTGTGGCAAAGCAGGTTGACGCTATTGTCATGGGTGCTACAGAATTCATCCCCCTTGAAGACCTACCGCAAATAATATCTGCCCGGCGGAAGCGGCGGAACAGTGACAGCGGCATCGATGACCAGGAAAGGCGTAGTAGCATGGACGACGATACTAGCGAAGACGAAACTAGGGGCATTCGGCCACTAGACCATTTAATAGTCACAACAACAGAGGACGTCGTTTGGTCTACCTTCTTTGAGCTCATGGCTCCACGTGGTACAGTGCATCTGCTAGCCGTGAGCTTGAAGGATGATCTCACTGTCCCTTCAGCAGCCTTGATCGACTCCGGGTTACGGGTATTAGGCAGCCTTGTTGCCCCAAGAAGCGTCATGATTCGAATGCTGGACTTTGCCGCCAGGAACCGAGTGAAGCCAATTGTGCAAAAATTTCCCCTCACCGCAGATGGAGTCAACACCGCAATGAAGAAACTGGATGAGGGGAGCATTCGATACCGCGGGGTGCTGGAAACTCCGAGAGACTGTTTATACAAGGTTTCATCGTAAGCCATTCTACTTACCTTTTACGTACACGATCTACCTTATCTAACGTTGATTGTTATTTTCCTATTCGTTGGCCTGGGTGTTTGAGATGCATTCCTTTGTTCTCTTGTCTCGGAATTAGTTAGTACGCAACTGCGCAGATTCTGTCGCCGCGAGAGAGACAGTGCATATGGTTGCTCCTCTTCCGTACGAACCCAAAAGATTATGTCCATGTTATTATATCCCTATACTATTGATCCCAAACGTTGTATCTACTCCATACATTACTTACATGGTAGAATTCCTTTTAATCACAGGGTAAGGATCATATACAAATCAACGTACATCTTCCGAAACAACGCCTGAAGTTCATGCATGCCCGTTTGTCCATTAACATGTAACACGGTTACTCCGTATTTATCTACAGAGCCAACTTTCTCCTTGTAACATAAATACATCGTATACAGTAAAATAAATGGCAAGCGTGAATATAAGTTAAACCCGTCAAGATAACTGCGTGTGCTATCCAGATCTGCCAATGATGTCATGAGAAACAAACATAGAGTAAAGCGCTTTTCTTATTGGCTAATAGAAGGTTAAGGTTCGATTCATAGACGCCGATCATTCCCCGTTTATACACTAGCGCTTTTTTAATTTTTTTGCAAAAAAAGCTCGTGGAGCAAGCTCAACCCTAACCTTATTTGAAACCTTAATTTGTTAGTTCGCAAAAAAAAGTTTCCCGTCGATGCATAACACGAAGCGAACATGTGATGTGAGCAGAGCAACGAACAGTGAACTGTAACGCAGCGCGGCAGTTCTCTCCAGGCTCGAACGGAGAGTTAAGTTACACTACATGAGGGGAGAGGTGTACGGTGCCTGGCTTGGCCGGTTTTATACTGTTGCCTGGGAAGCTCGAACCTTGCTGTGTTTGTGCCAGGCCTTCTCCCTCTAGACCTTGATGGACAACTTTGCACACTGTAATTGCTCTAAGTGATATATACCAGCACTTAACAGGATATATATATGTGTATATACTTCAATGCGGAGCACAACGTTCCACTTACCCGCTATCGCCAAGGTGACACATCGTACATAAGCCCCCAGGATATACCCAGATGCTGACCAAGACTAACATCGACCATGATGTATACCGTGCGAGCAGCCCCTCGATGCGATTAATCAACATCAAGTCAAAGTGTCTCTTGTTTCAGATGTGAAGAGACTGCTCCGCCACGTGGGTCCAAAACTATTCCCTGTCGCCATGTTTCCTTCATAGAAGAGAAGTATATATAAAAAAGAAAAGACAGGCACTCTCATCCTTCAAAAGGCTAACGAAGGGGCATCGCAATGTGCTCCTGGCAGAGAAGAGTGCCTCAATACTTCAATCACTGGTGGTAGGGCGTATACGTGCATAGATGGAGACAAATTCCTCTTCCTGAGATTATTCCCCTTCCTACCGTATGTAATATATGACATTTTATATATTAAGACCTACCTGTTATATGACGATAGCTGGATCGGGTCTTTATCTCTTCATCTCCCCAATGGCAATCCTAGTTTGTGCCACCAACCACGGGAGATTTCTTCTCCTCCAGCCCATTCCTTTATCTTGGACGAAAGAGAGGTAAAAGGAAGAAGAAAAAAGGAAGGCTATAGAAGTTTTCGGCTCTAGGATATATCCCTTTACGCAAGGATATTACTTCAATTTAGCCACCAATCATATATCTACCCGGTGCAAGATATAGAAGGCTGAAACACAGCCCTGGAACCATGCGAAAATCAGCAAACTATGCTATGTAGCTGCATCGCCAATCTTATAAATCTATACAAGACAGGGATAAGCAACCATGGATCGGGTGTTATAGAGACAGCTGAAGAGAGAAGCGATTAATATAATAACTTAATATCTCCAGCGAGCTTGCTACTTTTCTTGTGTTATTTTATTTTTGGGGGCCAGTTCACTGAAATTCCACATTTCTTCGTCGATCGTATTTGAACCCATGTTGCCATGCGACAATATAATCTCAAACCACGTTTTTTTTCTTTATTTCTTTTTAATCGAATGTTAGGATGCTATTTTTCCGAAGAGTTGTGGTTAGAAATCGATTATTGATCTTGACCAAGCAATGGAGGATCGAGAATTCGCTTGGACAGCGCCCCATTTCCCCCTTTGGAGAGAGAAATTATGTAACGATAGAGAAGGAAAGCTAAGATTAGGCTTGTCTCAAGGCTGTACGATGATGATACTAGAGATATGATATTGGCTGGCCCCTAAGCTGTTCCTCACGGCTAATATACATAATATACAGCGTTATCATCCCTCGTTAGGTGAGATTTATATTAGCTATGTTGCAACCATTGCGTGAAGCCCCCTGCCGCACATTTATCACAGAAAATATCTACGATGGCATTCGGACATATTCTATCATCCCCATAGCAAATCCTAGGCAACATGTTGCCTATGTAGCATCTCTCGCAGATGCTTCAGTCTTACAGAGGATGGCGTTGCAAAGTGGATAAATACTTGGGCATTTCCTTGGGACACGGCAAAAGCCTTACAGCTCCCAAGACAACGGCTTGTCGATGCGTTGGCTGATACGCTTCCAACTACATAGATCTATACGGAGCAGTTAGCGATATAACTGGCCAGCTAACCGTTAGAGACCACACGGGCATAACTATACAAGATATAGCATGATGGAGACCCCAGGTCAAGCTGCTTTCCCTTGCCTCCAGCCCGCGCTGTACATGAGAGTTTGTGTCCCCCTTTTCCTTGTATAACTTTTGCTTCTGTCTTATATGGTTACATTCTCAGTTGCATCTCGTACTCAGCTCTCCTCTTGACTAGTTTAACTGGTAGTTGGCTATCATGAACTGACCAGTGGCTATAGATTCACGTCGGCGAGGTATGTATCTCAGTCAACCCTCCACACCAGCGACCCGTTTCTCCCGCAAACTGTTTGCCATCCGAGTCTCAGATCCTGACGGCTCGAGTCAAGGGCTGTGCTTACAGCCACAAGGCGATCCAGCGCACTAAGTTGTTTAGTGACTTCATCTTCCCCAGAACTTGGATCTAGCTAACTAGTTAACGCGGAATGACGCTGCTAGCATTCGCCCCAAGGATTCATCAGATCGGTCGATGGATTCAAGCCGTATATCAATGCCACTATTACCTTTGGCAGTGATTGGCTCTCACCCGGCTCCCTCGATCTGCTGCCACGTATGAACATGATCGGCCTGGCGGAGTGAGTTACCCACCATTATCACGTTAAAGCATATCGATCTATTTTTCTTCCTCGCATTGGTTTCTATTTCCATCCTCACCTGGTTAACCTTTTGGGCTAGAAACCATGACGGCATTCCATTTGCATTCCGGTTTGACGGGATAGTAGCCATGGCCAAAGATAACGCGGCAACTCCTACACCAAATATATGCGGCGTAGCGCCCAAGGCTGCCCCGTTTGGTTACTCGAGTAAGCACTACGTTAACAGTCTCTATTTTTACATCTTCCTCGCAAATACATTATATATATGCGTGTCCTTTTTATAGCTAACTTCGCCGTCTAGCCACAAACCACACCTTCTCGACCGGCCATGAGTCTTTTCAGGAGATGCTAAACTACTCTTACGTTGGCCACAGCAGATACACTGTCTCCGGAAACGGCATTCTCGTCGAATGTTTCGTATCTAGGCTGACACATATTTACTGAATCAAGGAAAAAGAGGAGAAAACGAGGAGATTTAAAGAAACGGCTGGCCGATTGAAACTCGTTTAACTATTCATGACTTGTGATTTCCAGTTACATTTATTGGGTGGGATTGTCTTTTTTTTGATGGCACTGGAGTCCTCAGAGGGGAATCTGTCGTTTTTATTAAAGGTTGGGATATTTGGTTAAGCTCAGGAGAGTGCTTTTAACTTGCTTGGCCATTAAGAATGGGCATCCGGGGAGGTGTTACCTGTCGATGTTAATATACATGGAATCAATGTACCGCGAAGTATCTTTACGGGCCGGGAAAATAGACTGTCTTCTGCGAGCAGAGTACATCACAAATTCAAGTTTGTTCTATTTGCAAAAATACCTAGTCATAGATTACTGACAGAAAAGGGCCCTTCATTAAAAGCAGACATAAGCCTCACGCAAGACACTTACCTACATTGACCAGGAAAGCGAGAAGAGAACGGACGGGACGCTCGCCGGACCTCGCTTAGGAAGTTGGTGGGGATACATCGCCGGTGATTGATGGGAGATGGGAAATGCATCAATTGTGCCAGCGGCGTACGTAAGTCCTCCTTCCACCTTCCCTGACGTTGCGTCCGGTCAAGAAGAACGCACCCCCCCCCCCCCCCCACGTCCGACAGGCCCTTGTGTGGCTGTTGCAATGGTATAAGGCATATCTACGTCTATGCCTGGGTCGGAAGTGCATGATAATGCTGAATCCCGTCAGGATAAAAAAAAAAAGAGGACACGGGCCTTCAGCTGCGGCGGCGGGAATGCGGCGGGACCGCAGCGGGAAGTGGAACCGTGGGGGTTATCGATAGAAGAGATTCGCGGTTCGAGGCTCGACAGCTGCAACGACGGACACCGCGTACGGGCGTGGTGCATGGAATATGCCATGGTTGGGATGGCTGCTGTGCTGTCTCTCTGTACTCCCAGACCATGTTAGACGGGTTTGAAAGATTCTGCAATTTGGCCGTGTGGGATGGTATATCTACATGGCCTGGAAATCCTCTCAATCCGCTTTGGGAAGGCCCTGCCCAAACGTCACAAAGAAGCAAAAGGACCAAGGATTGCCTCGAGGAACCCATGCCATAGCTACCTGCTCCCAAGCATTAGGGCATACATGCCGGGATATGCTGCGGTAGAGAAGATGCAGTGTTCTCGGGCGACACGGTCTTAAGTGAACGTCCTGGTATCATTCTCATGGTTTTCTCGCGCCAGTATATAGAGCTATCGGAGTCTGAGCCTGGGGCTATCGGATTCCCCAGACGTCGACATGCTCAGCCCGCAAAGTGGGTTGCATGAATGGCAATTCGGACCAAAGCTGATCCGTTTACCAGAACGACGGCATCCCTGATAGGAGATATTTTCCCAGCCAACGAGTCGAGAACCCCCCTCCCTTGGACATGCATAACGGGAGGTTATTATACGTTATCTCACGGTTCGGTTCAGGATGACCAAAATGGAGGTGGTATATTGCTTATGCAGTTGATCCGCCAATCCCGATCCGTATTCGAAGTTGGGAGTGCATTTTCATTCCACGAACATCCGGCGTATCCCTGAAAGCCTGCAGCTATAGAGCGCCCCAACGACAAACCGGAAAAGAGAGTCGCTATGCTCCGCTTATCCTCCTTCTCACCCCAACTATCGTGTGAGCATGAGGGATGGACAACTGGCACACCACCTCAGATCCCAACGGAGGATTGACAGATGAGACAGCTCAAGAGGGTATATCGACGAACCCCGGCGTTGAAGAGGCGGTTTTCCTGGCCCTTGCCGGCATCATCCATCTGTATGTAAGACACCGTCCATATATAAACCCCCGCGCCTGGAGATATCTGATTATAACGGCTGCAACGGCGGCAAACAACCGGGATCTACATATTATATGCAGCAGCCAACCCTCCTCCCCAGCGAGCGGGGGGTAGTGGAGATATCAGATTACTTAATGGAGGTATGGACATACAAGCATCGAGCAGTGTGACGGCCGAGTTAGCTATGCGACAGGGAAGAACCTTGCCGGGCAACCACAGGGGGTTCTCAGCTTGTCGGATCAGAGCATGAAATATCCCGATCCCATGCGCATTTTACCGACGGAAAAGAAGGATAGAACAGTTTCCTCATCAATTACGGCGTTGAGAGCGTCGAGAAATTCCACGTATTCGTTCAGGCGGCTCTAATCCATTGACGGGGATTCTGGCATTTGAGAGAGCGAGGGCTCCTTTTCTCGCCCGACGGCCACCACAGTTTCAGCTTGGGCAAAGAGAGGCTCAAAGAACCCAAAGAGAAACCATCTGCTCTTGGAGCCTCGAAAAAAAAAATTGATGTGAATACTGCGTTTCTATAGCTGGTTCGATGGAGAAGTGGCTGTTGATTCTGTCAACAATATTTCTCGATTGGTGACTGGGATGATGGGAGTTCATATCGATAGGAGAGCCCAATCCATGTCTAACCTCTCTCGAGGTCAATATAAATCGAAGAATATTGTTTGAAACCACCTCCTCTATCAATTCATTGTAGAGTTGACTTGATCAGAGCAAATATCTTCACGCACTCGCTATCATTCCCGCCAGAACACCGGCTCCGATGATCGATCCGTCGCTTGCCTCTCGCAAGAGAACACTTTTACCGCCTTCTTGAGGCCCAGCTCGTATTACCAGGCGGTCAATATAGCCCTGACATAACGCTTTGAAGTTGGGGTAGTGTTGGATGATGTCGCCAGTGTACGCCACGACGAGTTCTTCGGGCCCTCGCTGCCAGTTTGTAGACGAACTGAACATCGGCAGCAGCAGCGGGTTCTGATATGGCGCAGCGATAGATTGCAGCTTAGATAACGATGTACATCTTTGCGGGCACTCAAGCCGGATTTCGTGGTTGCAGGCCAGCAGGGCCACGGAGGCTGCTGCTATTAAGGCAGCGGAACGAGTCTGTACGGCTGCAGCAGTGAGCCGTAAGATACAAGCTGAGGTTGGCGTCCAAACCCATATATCCTTGACGGGAGAAACGAGTTTGCGAGTCAGTCGAGCAGCAAGTTCGCAGTCTGATCGAGAGCTGGCGATAACATCGGAGACAAAGTCAGTTGTTAGGGCGTAAGGTTTGGTGAGAGCACAAGGAAGGACAGCGGAGGAGTAGGACAGAACGGTTGTAAAGTAGTCGTAGACGATGATACGGATGAGTTCTCCAATGTATCTGCCACCGGTCATATATTCAAACGGCTGGAAGCCAGGCTTGACGGAATTGGCGTTTAACTGATCATCCCATTTCGTGTCTATTGCCAGCTCCTTTAAGGGCCCTTCGGTCCCCTGGAGCGTCCACTCGGTGCTGATAACTCCCTCGGTTGCCTCTGGGCTATATGAGTGTATCTGGCGGGCTTTTGTTTGATGGAGATCCTGCAATTTCATTGGGATGGTAGCATTGCAGCCTGTGCCAACGACGATGCCCATGGCAACTCTGGTGTTGGGCAGCGACTTGACCGAGTAGGCAAGCGAGACCAGAGTTGCGACAGTGTCGTTCGTGATGGCGACGATGTTGAGGTCTGGCAGAGAATACGTCTTGCGTCGTTTGGTATGCGGTTGCTGTACTCCCCTGTACTGTCGCCGAGAGTGACGCTCATAGCCATCCAGCACAGCTCTGCGAAGGTCAAGGTCCGATTTGATAGTAAACCCTTTGCCAATTGGCATAAGTGTTGCTTCGTCCAGCGAAGTTTGTCTGTATCCATTTGGTTTCCCTTCTTGTCAGTTCAGAAATTCTGTGCATGATATATGGGGTGGATGGCTATCGTACCTGATAGGCAGGCTGAATGAGATACCAGTCTCTATTTCACGAGGAAGAGACTGAGTGCTCGAAGAATGAGATATAAGCTCATCCGCGACGACTTCAGCTATGCAGCTCCCTATCCAGCTAAAGAGAGCTTCTTCCTTATCCTCCTTCAGGCGCTCTTCGATTCGCCATGCCTTCTCGATCGTCCTTCGCACCCTTCGATCTGATACCGCCTGAGAGACGGTTCTATCACTGTGTGAGAGAGGATGAGCTGACGAGCAGCCTAGCAGCTCAATAAATGCGACTGTTAGGTTGGTCACCCCGACATCGACGGCAAGGTAGACGCCCATCTCTCTGCCGCTGGGCAACCTGGTTACGGGGGTAGGGAAGAAATGACCATCTCCCGTCAAAGCAAGGGTACGGTAGACCTTCGACAGGCGGTACGAAAGCTCATAAAGCGTAGCATCGTCGATGGCCAGCGGTTTGAGGAATATGTCAATGGTTTGGGAACAATGCTCCTCGTCGTCAGAGGACGAAAGAGTCGACATGACAAGCTGGTTCCGACTGTAGCAGAGCTTGAAGCAGCTACCGAAGCGCCTAGCAGGATATTTCAATCAGTAACTAAAAAAGCGGTCTTTCAACGATGTAATATTAGAACAAACCAGTATGTCCATTGAGGATGTTATATCCCAATATAACAAATACAACGCCAGAACTCCCACCCAATGCAGCTTATTTTCTTCTTCTCCTTCATCTTCTCCCTCTCTCCCTCTCTGACCCATTCTCTCTCTCTCTCTTTTTTTTTGTTGTTGTATGTGATGCTACGGTGACTCCACCGTTTGCTCGCTGACTTGCATCATGAAGTCGAAGAAAAAGAAACGACCTTGGCGGTTACCAGTCCATGTTACATCTGGCAAACCTCGACGTTGCAAGGACAACAGCTAGAAAGGAAAACTCGTTTCATCCTCGGTCTGTACGAGCTGCGATTCGCTGGCTGGAGATGTCAGGGCAGCGTCTAGTGATAGCTTTCCCGTGAGAGCTTGTCTCAGATTTGTGCGTAAAAGAGGGTTGGAATATGATCATTCAGCCCTCTCGCCTTCCATTGTTGTGAAGATCAGGATGACACTTGGGCAGGCCTAGACATATCAATGCCTGTCTTTTTCCAATTTGGAATTCCGGGTGTCACTTGGGGGACTGTTTCGAGGCCTGGTCGATGAGCTGGAAAAATCACCAGGACTTTCCAGGGATATCAACTCCATATCGCGGTGTGTAGCAGTAGCATCAGCTGCAGCATCATCGTGGAGACCCATGATGGAGATCATGGCCTTCTTCAGTGCAGAGATTCGTTGGTTATATGTGCATTCCAAGTTGATATACCCACTCGAGGCCGCTGGTTGTTCATCATCGGGCTGGACCACGGATAGGTTCGATCATTTCGGAGATGCTGCGTTTCTTCGTCTTCTTCTTTGGCTGTCTATCGGTTGGCTGCTCTGTTGCAGCTCTTTTCCTCTTCCTTGGGCTGGACTGTGGTGCTGGAGCCGGAACCGGGGCCGGTATGCCGTCTGGCGGCACGAATCTAGGCTTATATGACGAATTCAATTAGACCAAACAAAACATGGTATCAGCCTTCCTGGCCTTCTCTTGTCCTGAAGAAGACTGCAAATCAAGGACAAGATGGTCGCAGCTCTCATAGGCATGAGAATCTTCTTCCGTGCAAGGGGGGAGCTCAGGACGTACATGGGCCGGTATTGGTTCTCTCTCTGCAGATAGAGCGCTCTTCTCGATCAACTCGAACATCGACGGGTCAGGGATACCGTAGAGCCTCCTACGGCGGCATTCGCTAGGGAACGTACAGTCCTGCCAGCATCCTGGAGACGGTCTGATACCCTTTTCCCGCCGGACCGCTCTCTGCCATTCGCTCATGTTCTCCCAGCCAGCGTAGTCAAATGAAGACCCGCACGGAGTTCCCAGCTTCTTCTCTCCCTGGGTCTGCCTCTTCTTGCGTTCCCAGTGTCTGCTGCCTTGGGCAAGGCCGTAGCAGTAGTAGTGTCCGTCTGCCAGGCATCGGTTCGTCACCCCGAGGGCGTAGTAACTGTGACACTTGTGGCATCTCCATGCCCATGGCGGCGGAATATCAGGCCGTGGAGGCAACACAGCAGCTCTCTCTTCTTCTTCTTCTTCTTCTTCTTTATTCTCGACTTCTATTTCATCTTCCCTGGCACCTCGCTGCTTGTCTCCCTGGTCTCCACTGTCCTTGTCCTGCCCTATTGCTCTGCCAGCATCCCGGTCTTCGATGCCCAGAGTCGAAGGTCTGGGTACATCTACTGTTGACGAGCTGTCCGTAGACCATAGCTCAGGCTCAACAGCCAAAGGAGACAGCTCCTTTTCTGCAGCAAGTTGGGCAGATGTAGGTATCTCTTCTCCTACCGTCATCCTCGAAGCTGCAACCATTCAGCGTTTATAATGGTATCTCGATATCAACTCAAGGCTCGCATCAAGTGGAATAAACATAAACAGAATAAAATTCATCAGACAGAGAAGGGAGAAGAGAGATCCTCCTAACTATATAGCAGGCGCAAACAAAAAAGCAGCCAAAGGTTAAGGTAAAGCAAGTTCTCAGCATGAAGAAGAGAAAAGAAAAAGATAAACATATAAGAGCCCGCCGGATGAAGAACTTGTTACGAAGACAGAAAGCAGGAAGATGCCTTTTCCAAGTGAAGACTCGACAGCGATGTTCAATAGCATTCAATATCAAAGAACGCTTGCTAGGGCTTTGTCCTCGTTTGCTACTTGGTATACTTGGTTTATCAAGAGAGATCAGGATGCCTCTAAGGTTGGGATAGCATAGCAAATCAGGAGAAGCAACCCTAGAGATATACAAGTAGACAAATAGAAGAATAGAAGAGACATTATGAATTATGTTGCGTATCTCGGAATAAACGTCAATGTTGATATACTCTGGCCAAAAACTCCATGGTGCATCCTCGCTCCATATCACCTAGAAGAAACTCGAGAATTAATACATGGTAGGCAGAGAAAGGAGGAAAAAGGGGAGAATAGAATCAGCATCCACGGGGGTATATCAGTAAGTAGTCGTTAGGAGTAACCGTCATCGCCCATAATAACTGTCGCGTCATGAACCATGAAACCCGTCAACATCAGCCATCAAAACACCAGGCCAAAAAAAGAGAAAGAGAGAAAAAAAATATGTAGGTGAAATGAAAAAGTCCAGCCCAAATTAAGCATCGCGTTTCCCTCGTTTGCGCGCAATAAGCTGCTCCAAGTTATCAAGGTGATTCTGCAGCCCCTTGCGGCCGGCGTTGGCAACCAGCCAGGCCTCCATCTTCTCCCGCACCAGCCTCATGGAGTTGACGACTGGGAACGCAGGCTGCTCGTCGGTAGCCTCGGTATCAGGCGAAGCAGTCTCTCGTGCGTTGCGTTCAATTTCCGCCCACTTGGGGCTCAAGGGGTTAAGAAGTAAATCGAATACGTCAGCCCAGATCTCACGTTCCCAGTACCTCTTGAGGGATTCCTTGATTCTGTAGGTCTTCTGCGCTCCCAGACCATGGCCGTTTCCAACAATGCTGGGAGATCCGGGCCCATTGCTAGTTCTCTCCGTCACTTGAGACACCTCCATATACTTGCCGAAAAGCATGATGTATATCGTTCCCGCCAGGCCGTACAGATCTACCTGGTACGTCCAAGGTCGGCACTCACGCATTTCAGCGCACTCGTGCTGTCCAACTTTCCAATCAGCGACGAACTGGACCTCTGGCTTGAAGACACGCATGTCGATACCCCGGCCAAAGTCAATCAGTGTCAGGCCTTTGTTTTTCCATCCGTATAGTCCAGACGGAGAGTATTCGACGTTTCCGTCCTCAGGGCGGACGCCATCATCGTCATCAAGGAGCGAGCCACTTCGAGGTGAAGGAATTGCCGTTGCAGAGGTAGACTCGGTCAGCCGAACCAGGCAGTTGTCTGCCTTTATATCACCGTGGAGAATCCCACAGGAATGGAGAGCTTCCACTGTACGGAACAATTCTACTGCAAAGAACATGATCACCACTTCCTCGAGCCCCTGGTCGGACGGGGCCACCCCACCAGCGGACTCGGTTCTGATGTTAATGAGGTCAAGCAATGTGCCCTGGTTCAGATAGTCTTCGACGAGAATCGATTCGTCCTTGAAGAGGTGCATTTCATGACATTGTACAATGCTATCCTTCGCCCGTCGATAATGAGAGGAATTCTCGATGCGGTTTCTGGCTGTCTGGAGCATGTAGAACTCCCAGGCAGACGGCGGGTCAGACTCAACCTTGAGAGCTTCCAGGGGCTTTCGCTCAATATCTCTGAGGACTGACCTGTTCCCACAGGCCCAACTGGAGCTTTTGTTAGGTGGTAGATTTTCTTGTTCAGAGTCAGAAAAGGTATCCGGGGAATCGACGCTTTCTGCCAGATAAACGGGAGCAAAGCCACCTTCTCCAAGCTCCCTCTTTACCGCATAGCTCCTGGAAGCTCCTGAAAGGCAGATGATTGGTGGTATTGTGAACTGCTTCTCGCCTCCATTGGCTTTGGATGGCTTTGCCAATGTTTTGAGATACTTCTTTATCTCGGCGGCATTCCCACCTACTTGAGCAGTATGGTCATGATAGCCAGGATACGCTCGCAGAGGAGGGTGTATGCTGTTAATGATCCTCTCCCTCACAGCAAATTCGATGGGATTGCACTGCGCGTCCTCTATGATCACACGAGGTAGAGCCATGCCACGCTTAAGCGAGTTTCTCGGAGACTTGAACTTTCCAGCCATTTTGCTCGGAGATCCGTCGCCAATGGTATAGTCAAAGTCCGTATCGCCCTGGTCTGCGAATTTACCAAATGGGCTCTCCAAAAGGAGATCGTCAATTTCCGGGACTGCAGGAGTTTTCGCCGATACCACGAATTTAGACCCCTTGGAAGGTGTTTTCGCACTCATGTAGTGTTTGCTCTTGAACACAGTCGAAGCGAGAGAAGTTTCAGTGTGTTCGACGATTGGTGTCATAAAAGGGAGTCGATTTTGGGCGGCTACAAAAGCATCTCGATACGGGCCCCTGGGAGGATTATAGTCCTCTGGTGGGACAAGGACAAAGTTTTCATCCTGGTGAGCGATGCGATCCCCTTGCCGAGGAGTAGGAAGTGTTCCTAACGCATCATGACTCTCGCCGTCCTCTTCATCAGTTGGTGTTATTGTTCCCGGCTTTGGTATGTGCTGTTCAGGAGAAAATTCAGTCCATTCGCTGACACTAGTATAATCCCCTTCTGTTTGGTCCCCTAACCCATCAGCTCCAACGCTAGCTCTGGTTGCTTCAAAAGCACTGGTCTCCTCATCTCCAAATTCACTGCCTGGAGCAGATATGCCACCTGTAGCAGTGCTTTCTCCCGCGCTGGCACAGTCATCGTCTTCATAATCACTTCCATAGACACTGTCTAGGTCCTTGGCAAGCTGAAGTTCAGATTTCAATGGCTGGTTGAATATACCATATATTTCATCTGTGGCTGCCTTAGTGTGGAATGTCATTGTTGGTTCAGTGGACCCTCTCTTTTTTATCCTTGGTCCCGTAGGTGAATCAAGATTTGTTTTGACTATAGTTCATGTTAGTGGTCTACTATAGAACAAATAAACTGCTGGAACTGGTACCCTACCTATCTGGGTTTCTGCTTTTACTTCTTTAACCTTGAGCTTCTTGACTCTTGCGGCTTTGTGGTCACGGACAGTCTCATCATGAATCTGTAGTTTCTCCTGCAGAGCCACAGATAGATGTTTGTCTGAGCCATAGTCATTTTCATTCATATGCGGGTCTTTGCCTGAGACTTCATTCTGTGGTATCTCTCTCAACGGTGCTTTTCTTTGTCTGGCCCAATCTTTACTCATCCAGCCACGACTGGCTGCCCTGAGCTCGTCAAGACTCATCTCAAGGGCGGGGTTGTTTGGATCTGGATATATGGCTTCAAGGTTAACGACAACACGTTCAATTTTTCCGGTTCGGGGGTCGACTCTTTCTTTATTATTATTGATTGCTTGCATTGGTTTTGATCTATGTTGTGACGATGACTGAATTTATAAACAAAACAGAAAGCCGAAAAGACGTTTATGCCAGCAATTAGTCCTATGACCGTAAATATAAACATCATATATCAAAAGGGTTGAAAAGGAAAGTCAAATTTTGAGCTCACCTCATCTTTAAATACGGCCATTTTCTGGGTTGCTGCAGGCTTCTTCCCGGCCTTCAAAGTCTGCCCAGCCCACGGCGTCGGCTCGATCGTGTTTTCTTTCCTACGGTCCTTTAGTGATCCGATGCTGTCCCATCCTTTCGTGCCTGGACCAGAGCTCGTCTTCAGGGCGTCATCTCCCGCATTTGCATCAGAGAATATCGCCATTTTTGGCTTACCACTGCGGGTAGCCTTTCCGCCTCCACCTCGACCCGCAGGCGCAGCTTGAGGGTCCTGACTCGCTGCGGATGATGCAAAGGGGTCGAACTTGGCTGCCAGAGCTGGCCGTACGGTGGGGAGTGCAGGAGACGAGGGACCACCTGAACCGCTTGGTCTCTGCTCCATCCGCTTCTGAAACTCCCCAAACTTTCTAAAGAGTCGTTCGATCGGCCTGGCTTCCTTCTCGATGCCCATCTTATATACTTCTTCGGCCTGTGACACCCTCCCGTCTCGCTCCAACCATGAAGCAAACTCCTCATAAAAGAGTGCCAGGTGCGCGCCAACACCATGCCGTGCTAAAAAGGCAAACGTCTCTCTGGGAGAGTCTGAGAAGAGCTGTATATAATGTAGCCAGAGCCGCAGATATCGTGGATCATTCTTGTAGTGGGCTGAGCTTAAAAATGCGTTTGTTGCGCGTTCTAGTAATGGGAGCAAGCCCGACTGCGGAGTTGCTTGCGCAGATGGATATGCGTCCAGCGTCCATTTCACATATCTGTCGTATATATCGAGAGGATCGTCTGATTCTGCAATGGACTCCAGTTCAGCCTCGTATTCACGCCGAACCGCATCGTTCAGTGTCCTTGTTTCGTCCAATCCTGGTGATCCAGCGCCCTGGTTTAACGGTCGAGGGGAGAACACTGCTGCCAGCGCCTTTGCCGACCTCCCACTGGGCAGCGACTGGATATTCTCTTTCTGCGTCTCGATGAGATCAAAGTCGACAAGGTCGTTGGCCGGTCGTGCCATCTCGATAAAACCGTGGCTGTTGTGCTGGAATCAGGCGTAGAGACGGATCAAACGATCGTGACAGTCACAAACAGGCTTCCTTTTGTCCTCATTCAAGGGCTCTCCGTCCGATAACAGCGTCTAAACGCCTTTTAATCCTGAAGTCGATGTTTTTTTTTATTTCTCCTTTTTTTTGCTTCCTTTTGATGAAAAGTCGCGGTTGGCCGGGGAACATGTCACGTGATATCAGATATCAAAACGACGCTCGCGAAGAGACCGAAAGCAAAGTCGAGCATGAACGTTCGAAGAAGACATTCTGGTGCCGGTGAGGTGTTCTGAGGGTGCTGATACCTTGTCCTGATAGCAACATTGCCCCCGCTGGCTGTGGGAAAAGAAACCCTCTGACGATGCCGTCCACCCGGTCAACACGGAGGAATCCTGAGGTCAAGACTACCTCGACAGCGGCGGATGATACCCAACAGACAGCAAAGTCAGGAAGAAAAAGAGGGCCAGGTGTGAATCAAGCCTCGCCGGCCAAGAGGCCAAAGAAGGACTCCAACAACCCGCAAATACGGTCTGAGGCTGAAGGAGACTCTAAAGATACAGACACCTCAGCCCAGAACAAAGTATCAAAGAGCGGGAAAGAAGGCAGGGTAGAAAAGATCAAGCCTGAAGACGAGCAGGAGGAGGAAGAAGCAGAGGCCGTGATCACGAAAGATACAGCCCAGAGCAGACGAAAGACCAAGGAAGATACATCCGCAGAGATGGCACCCCTAGCATCCCGAGCTACCGGGCTTCGGATGTTCGTGGGAGCTCATGTTAGTGCGGCAAAAGGTGTGTTCAAGAGTCCTTGGGGGAAGCATTCACCCTGTTGGTTATCTAGGCTAAGATGAATATGCCATAGGCGTCCAGAACTCCATTCCAAACAGCATTCACATCGGGTGAGTATACCACTTCAATCGTTAGTGTACTCCTAAACAGTTGCTGACTATCTCTCCCAGTGGAAATGCTTTTGCACTATTTTTAAAGTCCCAGAGGAAGTGGGATAATCCTCCGCTCCAGGAAGAGCACAGAGACCGGTTCAGGAGAGCATGTATCGACAACAACTACGATGCTGCAAAGTATGTCCCCAGCTACCCTTCTGTTTGGGGCTCAAGAACTAAACCGTCAGACACATCCTGCCGCATGGCTCGTACCTTGTGAATCTAGCCCAGGAGGATCCAGCCAAGGCGAAAGTAGCGTATGACTCGTTTTTAGACGACCTGCGCCGCTGTGAGGCCCTTGGTATCAAGCTATACAACTTCCAGTAAGCTGCTTTTCCTTGGCCTGGCCGCCTGTGACGGTAGCCTAACTTCATCCTAGTCCAGGGGCAACGAATAAGACGTCCCTTGAGTCTTCGCTCTCTCGCCTAGCCAAAGCTCTCATATCCGCTCTTGACGCGACAGAGACGGTCATCCCGGTGCTCGAGACAATGTGTGGCCACGGCACCACCATTGGCGGCCCACTGTCTCACTTCCGCGATCTGTTCGCCCTGATTCCGGAGTCGTACCATCCTCGACTCGGCGTCTGCGTCGACACATGCCACAGCTTCGCTGCAGGGTACGACCTGCGCACCCCCGCTGGCTGGGAAAGGTTCATGACGGAGTTTGACGAAACCGTTGGCCTTAGGTTCTTGCGGGCGTGGCATTTGAACGATTCGAAAACGCCCCTGGGCAGCAAGCGAGACCTCCATGCCAACATCGGCACAGGATTCCTGGGACTGAGGGCATTCCACAACCTGATGAACGACAAGAGGGTGGAAGGGATGCCCATGGTCTTGGAGACCCCGATCGACCGGCCTGTGGAAGGTCCAGGGGGAAGTGCCAAAGGCAAGAAGACGGTTGAAGATAAGTCTGTCTGGGCCGCGGAGATAAAGCTGCTGGAGAGTCTTATCGGCATGGATCCCGAGGGCGAAGAGTTCCTTGCCCTGGAGGCTAGGCTGGCGGCTGAAGGGGAGGAAGAGCGAGCAAAACATCAAGCCATGTTTGACAAGGCCAAAGAGAAGGCCGGCCCGAGCAAGGACATCCGATCCATGTTCCGCAAGGCCTCAAAGGAGGATGGCAGCGGACATGAGTGATGGATTGGGGAATACTGGTTTAGCCCTGCTACTTGCTCCGGTTTATAGCCTACAAAGTTGATATAGAGGTCTCCAAATGTATGAGTTATATGTTATATGCTGCTTTATATCAACGAGATCCTTTTCACCTCATCTTCTCTTCCATCCGCCGCCTCGCCGTCCATTACACCGTGTACATACGACTCCCCGATGAACTTGTACTGTAGGCCTACCGTCTTCCTCAGCACAAAGGCCGCCCCGGCCCCGGGCAAGACCCATACCTCGTCGCCCTCCGCCATGCCGGCAGGCCCCAGGCCCAGAAAGCGATCCCTCGTCACGAACAGCCGCCGTCTGCCTACTGTGCTCTGCAGGGCCCCGACCAGGCTGCCCCCCTGGCCGAGCAGCGCCGAAAGGCCCACGGACGGGTCCTCCTTCTTGGCCGCCAGCCTCTCCTCCAGGTCGAGCAGCGAGCTGATGGACGGTACGGAGCAGGCTCCCGCGGGCTCTGTCAGCGCCAGGACATGGGCCTTTAAGAGGGTGTATACCAGGCTCTGGGTGTCCGGGGAGCTGAGGTTCCGCGACGGGTCTCCAAACTCGCACTCGAGGTCCGCCCGCTCGAGCTGGGCCAGCGGCGGCGCAGAGAAGATGTCGAGCACCCGTTCGACGCCGTGTCCCGTG